AGCCTACTCTTAAGTATTAATATAAAAGTATATTCCTTAAGTAGGTAATTAAAGTACTCTATTAAGCTATTTAATTAATATTACTTAATAGGTATAAGCTAAAGAATAATACTATAAAAGTAATAGTAATAAATAATATTATTTAAGATATTCTCTCTAGTCTTATTTATATATAGAAACTAATAGTAATACTTAAGTTATTTATAAGTATTTAGAAACTTCTTAAAGATAATAGAGAACTCTAATATTATAACCTATTAGGTATAACTAATAAGGAACGCCCCACTAGGATACTAAGCGGTTATAATAACACTTTTATATATAAGGTTATAGGAATAGGGAGGACTCCTTAAAACGGAAGAACTATAGGTAAGTTATATAACTAAGGAGATATAAGCACTAATAAGATAAGATATAAACCGCTTATAATATAGATTATAAGCGCTCACCTTAATAACCCCTAAGTAATTACATAATAAGCAATTAAGGTAAGAAACTAGAGGAATAGGACTTATATATAAGATAGACTTAAGTCTGCTTAAGGATAGACTTCTATAGCTTTTTAGTAATTAACTTATAAATCTCACTTAAGACTTTTAGCTATACCTAAGTAATAATTACTCTATAACTCTTATTAAGGACTTAACTAATTACTAAGCCCTTTAAAGACCTATAATTACTTAATTAGACCTATAGAACGACCTTTAACTATTTACTATTATTATTACCTAACTTACTATTAATATAAACCCCACTATTAGTTAGCTAGCTATAATATCTAATTTATATTTAAGTAGGTATACCTATAAGTAGCTTATAGTAATATATAAAAAAACTACTTAATAATATTTATTACTCTATTTAATAAAGTAGAATAATCTATAGTGATCTATATAGACTAAACTTAATAAGCTAATAGCTTATTTATAGGTATTACTAATATATAGCTTTATAATAAAGTAGCTCTTAATATAGATCTTATAGAAATAAGAGTTAAATAGAGGAGGAATAAAGCTAATAGATATCTTCTATAGTTACTATAGGCTAATAGGGCTAAAGTATTAAGCTTATTAATAATATAGAGCTTACTATAGAGGGTTACTATAAATACTATAGCGTTATTAAAGAGCACTATAGTACTATAGTAGTTAAATATAAACTAGACGCCTTATATAGCTAGCTAGGGAATTAATATAAAGTTAATATACCTATTTAAATAGTATAAAGTATCTCTAAGCGTTATGATAAGTATAGCTATATTAAATAGCTTTAGTTAATAGGTATTAATACTCCTAAGCGTTATAAAGCCTTTAACGCTATAAGTTAATAGTCTTTTAAATAGTATAATATTAATAAAACCCTCTAACTAATATATTAAGTACTAAGTATAGCTAGTATTTAGTATATAAATATATTAGAGTAAGTCTATATAGGTTTAACTATTAATAGTAGAGAAGTTATATACTATAAAGTTAAATAAGGGAGAATAAAAGGGGTATTATATCTTAGAGGTAGTACTATAGATATAAAAAGTTAAGAACGCTAGATTAAGTATAAGACCCTAATAGGCTAGAGGCTTTAGAGGCTAATAGTAAGTAAAAGACTAAATAGATATATTTAGAGGCGCCTTAATAGGCTTAGCTTAGTTATATTAAGCTTTCTTTACCTTTTATTAAGCTCTCTAAGCGTTATACTCCTTATATTTCTACTTCTATATAGAATATAAATAGGGATACTTTATAATATATATATTATCTAAGTAGTTATTCTTTTTATAGTAGCTATATTAAGGCTTATTATTATTATTTATTATAATAAGAGTAATTAGCTTATTAATACCCTTAATATATTATATTAATATATATTTCTCCTTTTTAGCTACTATAATTACCTTATTAAAGGTTATAATAGGTTTATTAATACTATTAGCTATCTTTAAAGGTAGGGGGTTATAGGCTTAATTAAAAGATATAAAAAATATATTATATTTAGGGCTTAAGCCTAATAGGAACTTATAAATAAATAGAGGCTTATAAATCTTAATCTTAATATATAAAGCCTTAAGTTTAAAGTAAACTTAATAGAGTTTTATTAAAAATTAAGTAATAAACCTATAAGCTAAAAGTATAAAGGAGTTATACTATATAATAAGTTTCTTAAATATAGTAGAGCTAATAGGTAGGTACCTCTCTTTAAGAGTAATAATAATAATAGGGGTATTAAGGTATTAAGTAATAGCTTTATTATTATTCTTCTTTTTATTTATCTTTTATTCCTTAAATATAAATAGCTAATAAGGCTTATTACTAAGGTAAGAGTGAATTATATTAATAGCTTTATTATAAGTATTAAACTAGCTATTTAGAAGGTTACTAAAAACTAATTAAGTTACCCCTTTAGCTTAAATAGGTATAGCCTTTTAATAGCTAAAAAGCCCTAAATAACCCTAAATAAATAAGAAGTTTATTATATTTTACTTCTATTAAATTTAGCTAGCTAAAGATTTAAGTTTAGTAATTAATATTAAGTTAGTAATATTAAAACCTTTTTTAGTCTCTATCTTATAATATAGAGAGATATAACTATAAAGTCTCTTATATAGACTAATAATAATACTATTAAGTACTATATTTCTAAATTTATAGCTTTATAAGTTATTTATTATACTTATTAATTAATATAAAACTTTAAGTAATAAGTATTAGATTTAGTAGCTTCTTTAAATAATAAGGGGGAAACTATAGATATTTATTTATATTAGGGTTTATATATACTATAAATATATATATATATAGTTTAAATAGATTAATATAACGCTTAATTCTTTACTTATAGTATTATAGAGAGATAAGTAAACCTAAAAGATTAATATATAGTATATTATTAGTCTAAAAAGATATATTTATAATATCTAATAGTAATTTAAGGTATACTACTAATATATTAATTAATAAGAATATATTATAAAGTAACTTAAAGTATAGAGGAGAGTATATTATAAGTCTAAATAAGTTAAGTTTATTAGATTTAAAGGGTATATCTTCTAAATTAGTATATCTAATAGTTAGTAAGGTATCTAATTAATATAAGAGGTCTAAACTATAGTTTAAGCTTTAATAATCTATAAATACTATTAAGTTATTATTTATAAGAGTAAATTCTTCTATAAGTTAAGGGAATTAATATTTATTAAAAAAGTAAAAGAGAAATAGCTTTTTAATAAGCTAAAGTTAGAAATTATAATAGGTATAACTATTAATACTTAGAGTAATAAATAAGCTAAGTATTATAATAAAACTTATTTATATAGGTAAAATTAGTTTTATACTTATTATAAGTTTTATAACATACTTAATAAAGATATTCTTTAGTATTTTAGAGGCTATTTAAGTAATATTACTATAGTATTATATTATAATAGAGTTTTTAATATTATAAGAGGTCTAAATAGATATATTTAATATACTAGAGATTTTAAAGTATAATTTCTAAAGTATAAAGGCTTATTAGGGGTTTCTAATATTATATAATATAATAAGTTATTTAGCTTTAGTATATATAGCCCTCTAAGTTTATAACCTATTAATAATAGGTATATATAAACTTATAAGTATATTGCTTCACTTCCTTAGGGCTATAAGAGGTAGGTATAACGCCCTCTATATATATCTAGGGATAGCTATACTACTCTACCCCTATTGGGTCTCTAGCTACTATGGCACGTACTGCAACAGCCATCCCAGTACCAGGCATCGTACGTGACACCAGCAGTACCGACTGCAGTTACCGACGCGAAAACTGCAACGGCAGCTAGGCTGCTCTGTGTAAGGAGAGGGGCGAGGAGAAGGGTGCTGGTCTTTATGACGATGTTCGAGATTGAGAAATTGGGAGGTATTTAGTTGGTGGTTTGAAATTGTAGATGCGATTGTTGATGGAATTCTGTGTTCACAGATGGTCTAGTAAAAGGTTGAAGGCTCTCTTTAAATACTTCATGGTTTCTTCCTACCTAATGGTTCTGTTTCCTAATCAAACTAGGTTTTCGCAACAAGAAGGAACTTTCGCAAAGGGACTTTCGTAGAGTGTCCATCGTGAACCTAGTTGTGATGTAGGATATTGAGGCTTCAACTCCGACATCACGTTGAAAAGCGCATCTCGACACTTGTGATTTTACCATTTTGGCAAGATCTTCTGTAGCTGATGACGATCTTCTGTCGGCCCCTTGTAAATATGTGCCGATTTGCGAATGCCTTGGCGAGAACATCGGTGAACACGGTTGGCACGGAGTTTTTCGTTGTCACGATCCTTGTAGTCTGTTCGTGCAAGAGAGTGCTGTGCCTCACGGAAAACCTGACGCTGCACGGGTTTTTTAGATGGCCCCACGGGCAATTAAGGTCCAACGAGGCTTTGAGGCTCCACATATCGTGATATTCCAGAGGGCAGAATGGAATTTCATTGCTGTACTAAACGCGCTTCCATCTCTGGTTGAGTGGGAAGTACCGAATTGGATACTGGCTAGTCGTTGGTTGGACCTTGTCAAAGACCCCACGTATAAACCTCCAACAGAACCAACACGAAGACCAAAAGACTCAAGAATCTTGTATGATATCACAGTGGGGACTCGGATCAATATTGTTTTGGGACTTTTGAACGAAACACTTGATTTCAACGTAATTGAATTCAAAACGAAACCTGTCGGTAATTAAAGCTGTAACCACCGTACGTACACCCATCGAGGTGGAAGATTTTCTATTATTTTGAGTTGGAAAGGGACAACGACATTTTGCAGGAGCAACGTTCATGAGTTATGAGTGTGGATTCAGATTCGAGTCGGTTCATGTTTGCTAAACAGGTCCTGTAGGACACTGAACTCAAGGCTCCGAAGAACATTTTCCAGCGAGCTCCTCCACTTGAAGCGGCTTTATGGTGATGTCGCCATGATCAATGCTGATTAATCTGGCTACACATATGGGTATCTATACAGAATGAACGGTCGTATTGATTCACGGCCAGACTGTTTTCGCCCATTGAGGGTCTGGTTTATCGTGTCCATTTCCAATCAATGCGCTCAAATCATCCCGCCATTCCTCTTCTTCTGCAAGTAGCGACCTGCATCCAGCCCTGCGCTGCGGTCTCGCCTCGCCATCGTCATCCAGCCAGCAATACTCGGGATAGCCGCCGATGACCCAGTTCACCGCCGCAGCTCGCCTCAGCGCTAGATGCCAGGAGAATGTAGAGTCCCGCACGCCAATGAAGTAGCCGGAGTGTTCGAGTACTAGCATGTCCACAAGAGCCTGCTGGTCCCAAGTCATTTTGCGGAGCGCAGTACCCGCAGAAGTACCCTCTGGGAGGAGGTCGTTCTTCGTAACGACGGTCACGGGAGCGATTTCCTCGGCAAGGGTAGCAATGCCATCCTCGTCACCGGACGCCACGTATAGCACAGTCTTGCCAATGTCTGGCAAGTCCGTGTCCGGAGGGTGCTTGCTGCTACCCTTACGCTGATGTAGGCGCAGCTTCAGGTAACCGAGCTGCTCTTCGTACGAGAGCCAATTGGCCTCACTTGCGTCCTTTTCGACGCGCAGATGAACGCCAATGAAAGCGTTGTCGCGTACGAAAGGCTCTTCGCTATTGCGGAAGTCGATGTGTGTGTCGAATCTTTCTTGCATTTGCAGCAGCGCTGAGGCCGCCAACATCTTGACCTCATCCCGGGGACGCACGAGTTCACTCATGACACGCACCAGCGCGGGCGGATCGTAAGCTGTAGGAAAGGATAACATGATGGCGTGAACTGAAAAGGAGACCGGCGACTGAGGTGATGGCGGCGTTCCGTTGGTCATTGTCAGGATCCAGTCGTCCATGGCCGGCGGCCATTGTGTAGGGTCTGTGGGGATAGACCAGTCGTCCAATGTGCCATCTACAAAGTCTCTCTCGAGACCCATATCGAGGACCGGAGATATATCGCCCAAGTGTTGGATTCGCGACGATTCATCATCAGGCGGGCGAATGACGAGGTGAGGGCAGTGTAACTCAAGACTACGCCACAAGTGTTGCTCGTCGATGAGATACTCGAGTCCGACATGTTCGTTTGTAAGGTAGTCCGAAATATCGTCGGCGTTGCGGCGGCTGACAATCGGTAGCCTCATGGAAACTGTAAAGAACGACATTGTCAGCGGTTTAATCAGACAAGCTGGGGCAACTTCACAAAGCGAAATGCTTACCTCTGGCTTCAATGACGTAACGGAGACAGTTCAAGAGGCTCAATCGGATGTTGCCAAAGCCGCCGTTGAAAACAGGACACTCGATGACAACATTCGGATTCCACTCGCGGTCGCCTTGGCTGCATAGCGTGGCAAGGTCGTCACCAATGTCGGCCCCAGTGATTCTCTGCGTGGACAATTCTGCGGAATCGTCAGCTGGCACCCAGCTTTTGACTTTAATACCCTTAGTTCCGAAACGCCAATTTCTTACCTTGTAGGACATCTTCATCATAAAAGGAGACTGTTTCGTCGATCTCTTCGTCGAAGAGCTTGTCCGAGGGCTCGTCAATGGCTTCGTAAGTAGGTTCGTAAACGGGTTCGTCAGCTGGCTCAGTCGATTGAGTTGTTTGTTTTGCAGTATCTGGGCCCGAATGCACCTTAACGTGGTCGCTCGAAAATATTATATCAGTCCTAGAAGGGAGATATAAGTTAAGGATGAGGAGGATTATAACTGCTACCAGCAAAGCTTGGGTGAGGGAAAAGCTTGTTCGGCGTTGGAAAAATGACAATCCTGTCACTGAGCTGGCTTGTACGGCCATAATTCAAATGTGAGGCTTGTACAAGCTTGAAGCAGATGCGAGAAAACAAAAAAGAACCAGTTGACCTTAGCTCGTCAGCAATGCATCTTCCGGTGTGCTAAGATGTCCTCGTATGTTATGTTACCAGGCAGCCTCGCCGAGCTTTAGTTTTAAAGCCAAATGTTGACGGCAGCGAGCTGATATAGGTGGCTGGAACAATTCGTATGCACTGCTTGAGAGAGATGACTAGATTGACGACGAAACCGGGGTGTCGCAGATATCTGTGGCTGTTTGCGGGAACACGTCGGAACAAACCGTTCTTCAAGCAGGATTTAGTGCGGCAATTGCAACCCAGTCTTGGCTGGTCATACTAGCCTTGGGTCTCCGGGGATTTCACCTGATCGGTCCGAGGTTTAGAAATCCGGTTGTTATGTTAGTGGTCTGGTTCCAGAACACAGATTCAGGCCCCAAAGGCATCCCAGATGAAATGTTGTGTGAAACGACATATAAATGTGTCTGGTAGAAGAAAAGTCCCTTCTTTGTGCCTGTCCGTGCTCGTATGGCCATTTCGAAACGGTCGTGAAGAAAATGGCGATGAAAGTCATCCGTCTGGCGCGAAGGTGCCTTGCGATTTGAGCCAGCAGCAGAGCGAAGGGAAATCCTCAGAAATGAGTTCAAGGGAGGAGTGTTCCCGACCAGGCTATGTTACACTCCAATCATGTCATCAACATATGAATTGTTGAAGAACCAATCAGTGACTAAGCGGAAGTGTGCCTGTCTCTTCTTTTTCAATTCTATTACCCGCTTGGTCTGCTTGGTGACCTCCCCGCGCATGTCCTGTGAAAGTCGAACGCAAAAAAGGTTCTCACCAAACACGTGGTAACATATCCCACCAGAATGGTCGGGCATCTTGCGACCATCCCATTCCGCCTGAGACTTTGCACCGCTGAAGCACCCATGCCTGTTAGACGCAATGCTTGGCAAGGCTGCCCATAAACGACCCGATTTGAGGCAAAAGCCATGCCCTCCGCGTGCAGTACATCACAAGAAACCGATAAATCGACCGCAGGCTATGCCCAGAACCACAGCAGTGGTTGATTTCCTAATATTCCCAAACGGCTTTCTCTCCAAGCTACTTGGCATGTTGGGCCGACACCATTCGAGTCTCCATTTCTTCATGTTCATGAGCACAACATCGAGGTCGAGCAGTTTCACGTCGCAAGTTGCTGCTGGGCAAATCTGTGTCGTTCCGTTTGAGAACCTGTCTCAGCGGTGGTCCCAGGTGAAGTTGTCGGCTCGAGCCACTTCGTCGAAGTCTATAGAGCCCAGTCACTGTGCTCGAAGTCAAATCGATGATGTTAGCTTCTTAATGTGTCTTTCCAATGGCATTAAAAACGTTAGGTTCGTAGGTGTGGATTGCGTTGGTAATTCGCATGTACTTGGCCTTGCCTAATGAAGGTCGATGCTTTCGATCACCCAGATCAGACCGTCGCCTCTAAACCATTCGAAGTCTCCGCTGCCTTCTGAAGATTTAGAAGTACTACGAGCGAAGTAGCCTTCGTCATGGGACTCGGAAACCGGTGAAAAGGACTCTGAGCCAGCAGAGGAGAAGCAAACCACCAGGTCAATAGACCACTACTGGCCGAGATCCTGGAGGACTGCAGGCATAATCGCTTGACAGAAATAGCTTCACGAATCCGACGTGGTGCGGGCTGGGCTCGTGAAGAGCAAATCCGCCGTGGAAAGCAGATTAGAAAGTCTTGACCTCCCGAGGAAACACAATCGCGTCGAAACACGCGAGATATTGAGGAGACGCAGACTCCCCTGTAGCCTCCAGAGGAATGAAGGGACGCGCCAGACATTCCATGTACAACCCTTGAGGATTGAATTCCAGGAGCTGTCTTGCGGCTGAGAAGCAGGGATTCACGCCTCACATCTTCTATTGAGATATGAGAAGATTGGCAAGGTTGGCCCCAATTCAGGTACAAGCCATAAGATCCACTGGCTTGAGATGGCGAATCGTTGGGTGGCCGTCTAGCATACGGCGAGGTTCAGTTCTGGCAAAAGCCGCGATGCTGTTTGGGCTCATCATAAGTGTCTAGCATAGCTCCTGCTGGTTCGTCATTTTGCTGTACGGATGCGTGAGACACAAGCCTGTGGTGAGCGCCACCATGTTCTTCCAACGTCGCCTACACGTGGACATAGACGGCTAGGCGCAAGTATCGGAGAAGTAATTATTCTTCAGAGAAAAAACATTTCAATCTCGACGAATGCATTTATGAGAGACTATGATTGTTATTCTTTGATGCCGAAGGGAAGCCTCTCATAGGCAGCCAGCTGAACCAGCCCGCGTTCCCTTGAGAACATTAGACAACGGCAGAAGATACTCAAGGGATGTGAATACTTGCCCCCGAAGGCAACACGGTACAATTGTACCCCGTGGCTACTGGGAGAATTCCTCCTTCTGATTCCTCTGATGCGTTGGCTGGAGATACGATATCGCAAGCTAGAAAGATATGTCCGTTGACAAGAAATGCTGCAGTAGTCTATCATCGCTGAAAGCGATTCCACAGTTTGGTCCATCACAGTCCGCCCGATGGTCCAGATTGCTAGTGCTGTGCCACAAGTCGATAAACTTCCCCCCTCCATACTTCTACATTCGTAGATGGTACCACCCTCCCTTATCCCTCGACTTGACGATGCTCTCGGCTCTTGTCACCACAGCTGTCACACACGCACTGCCGTGACCTTCCTCCACATTTTGCCACCCACTTGTCAAGTTTCGGGAACACCAGAAGAACCAATTTGCCCCTAGAGTTCCTCGTTCAAGTACCAGGTGTATATTTTGGGTCAGTAGCGTTGGGGTTGGTCTGAACCACCAGGCAACATGGCGGGGGACATTGAGTGACCATGAAAATGGCACTGTCTTACTCTGAGTCAATACATTAATCCAGAATTAAGGGACGTTTGGAACGGCACCTATTTAATGTTGCAACGCTCCCGTTCTACCGTCGAATCGGGGTCCTCACACCTTTTCTTACCACGCTCTTTATCCTGAGCCATTGCCTGGGGTCGCCAAGTACAATACCGCCAGTACCCCCCATACAACTTGAACTGGACCAAGACATCCCGCGCGCTGTCGAAAAGCACCATGGACGTGTCCAAGAACCTCAACCGCCGCGCTTTCCAGATTCTCTGGTTGGCCGCGGCGGTCTGCTTCCTCCTCGCCTTCTTCCATCACACATCTTCCAGTGACGCCGTGGGCAAGTGGGCCAGCAGCAAGGTCGGCAGCTTCGTCAACAAGCATGTCGGTAGAGAACCACTCGACGAGTACATGGCTCGTTCCGAGTCGATTTGGGCCAAGACCGTGAGGCAACGTCACGAGATGATTGGGGCGGATTGGGGCGACGCCTCCAAGATGCCACTGTACGTTGCTCCGATTCTAAACCTATCTTCCCTTACACAGAACCTCCTGATTCTCATCGTTGGGACACATTGCTGATAAACTCTCCTTCGGCCAGGTTCTCTGCCACCGTAGAACCCGAGTACGTCCGGACCCCGTACAGCATTTGGGATTTCATGCCGGCGTCTTACAGCTGCCCGTGGGAGGTCGAGCGTATCGGACGCATGGGAGATGGCGGAAAATGGGTCTGCGGAATGTCGAAATACGAGAACTATCCCAAGGACCGAGAGTGTGTCATCTACTCCTTTGGTGTCCGTGACGAATCCAGCTTTGGTAAGAAAATAACCCACCGTCATCCTCTCATCAATGCACTTAGAATGAAAATACCAAAAAGCCAAAGTACTGACCGGAGGGTGTTACTACAGAACAAGAAATGCTGAGCCGCACCAACTGCGTCGTCTGGGCTTACGATTTCTCCGTCGTTGACTTCGGGGAGCAGCTCCAGCCCAACCACCGCAGCCGCGCCCACTTCAAGCAGGTCGGAATCTCTGGCACGACGGATGAGAGCAAGAGCCCCCCGTTCTACAGCATTGCAGACCTGATGAAGATGAACGGCCACACTTACATGTAAGCACACGTTCCCTCCAGTTTGGTTCACGAAGACTCACATCTCCTCCAGTGACATCCTCAAGATGGACATCGAGTTCGCCGAGTTCGAAGCTATGGACGGTATGCACCGCGACTTCCCTCTGGCAGCGGGTGAAGAACTGCCGATCGGCCAGCTGATGATTGAGATGCACCTGTTCAACAACATCGGCTCGAAGACTGTTCTCGACTGGTGGGAGCGCCTCGAGGGACGTGGACTTCGCGCTACGTGGACGGAACCGAACTTGCTCGCTGTTACGATGCAGGTGGCGGGTAAGGACCCGATCATGGCTGAGTACAGCATGGTCAACGTCAAGGACAGCAGAAACGTCCTGTTTGGCCATTGATTTGGCTTCGTGGCTGGGGCGATCCCATAGTAATACATTTCATCTGGCGTCTCTAATTCGCAAAGCGCTGCCGGCCCCTGTGTACTCAGTGATGTTCTCAAACCTTGCTTTTCAACCACGACATCTTATTATTTAATGGTATGGAATTGCATGCGTCATATGTGATCAGAAACCGCAAGTATTCTTCTAATTTGTTCTGCAAAAACTTTGGTTGTTTCGGTTTTGGATTCTCGTCACGTCTCCATTCAGTGTCCATGTCATTGTACTTGGAGCAGAGTATGCAAAGCTCATACGTCGCGATGATATCTGCTAATCGATGCTTATAAGAGCTTCATATATTTGCGCACTCATGTGAACATTTCTCTTCATTTCAATTGTCCGAAACTTATGAGTGGATTCCCGGCTTTTCCCCTCTCAATTCTGCGTCTCACCATTCACGTACTCATCTGGCTTCGGTGTCTCACACACCTTTTCAGTATTTCTCAATCTCTTATGAGGTAGAATCATGGCCTTTATGAATATTTTAGCTGCTACACGTCTGCAGGTCTCCTAAGAATACAGAAGGTGCAATCTTTACGCGCATTCTGTGATGCAGTAAGTTGTGTCGCGGTCCTCACTTATTCATGATGAGTAGAGCTGAGATGTTATGAGATGCATATCTCATCGCCTGCACAGCTCAACACATGCACAATGCTTCCAATTACAGACAATGAATTTCACCCTGTAAAACAGCCGTCATGATCAGGAGTTCACCAACGAACACATTGACAGGACTTGAGAATATGCTTACGGGATAAGACGATGCTTCAGTCCCGAGTCAGGGTCATCCAAAAGTGCCTCGGTCTGCGGCACTGATAACGCGCGGAACGCGGTTGTACGTACCATTTCAAGACGGTTCCGGTAACGGGCTTGCAGCACAGGTGGGACGGCCCCGCTTAACGCGATGGCATCATCAAATGAAAAATCTCACCTTCCGGGATGGTTGCGATAAGACGCCCGAAATCTCTTTCTCCCACCCTTTGGTCTGGTTCCGTCTGTTGACGACCTCCTTTTGTTGATTCTCTCAAACCAAGATGACGGTACTGGCGTAGGATATGGTTTCGTTTCGATGAGGTGAATCCCGGTTGAAACTTTCGTTGCTCAGTCTCCCGCGACCGCGAAGTATTACCTAATATTTGCCCTGCACGACATCAACAAACCCTGCATTGAAGCACGGAATCGGACGGTTTATCAGATCCTCTCTTATCGCAGGCCAAGCTTGCTTCACCTCGCCTCTCACCGCGCCCAGTCTCGGTGAAAGTAAGCGGAGGTACAGGTAGCTGCGCAAAGAGCAAGATGAGCCACAGCACCGAGACGATCCCGTTCCCGGGCGCCAAGTCCCCGGGCATCACCGATGTCACCCGGCATGCTTGGATCACATCGGACGACATCGAGGCCTCCTCGGCGGCGCGCGGCGGTCCCTTCGAGCCCCGCGATGACCACAACGGCGATCTCGTCACCGCGACCGAGGACCGGGACCTGAAGCGCGGCCTCGAGCAACGCCACTTGTCAATGTTGGGTATCGCTGGCGCCATCGGTACCGGTCTCTTCCTTGGTCTCGGCGGCGCCATCCAGACCGGCGGTCCGCTCGGCGCCCTCCTCGGTTACGCCACCGTTGGCCTAATTGTCTGCGCCGTGCAGTTCGCTCTCGGTGAGGTCTCCGCGCTGCTGCCCGTCACCGGTTCCTTCGTCCGCCACGCCGAATTCCTCGTCGACCCGGCCCTCGGCTTTGCCATTGGTTGGAACTTGGTTTACGGCAACATCCTCTCGATCCCCTCCGAGATCACCGCCATCTGCGTGCTGTTCCAGTTCTGGACCGACCTCAACCCCTCCGTCTTCATCATCATCTTCATCATCCTCACCTTCGTCGTCGGCATCGCCTTCGTGCGCGTCTTCGGCGAGGTCGAGTTCATCTTCGCCCTCCTCAAGATCCTCCTCGTCATCTTCCTCATCATCCTGGGCCTGGTCATCGACCTCGGAGGCATCCCCGGCACGCCCCGCATCGGATTCAGGTACTGGCAGGACCCGGGCCCGTTCGTGGAGCACATCACCACCGGTAATTGGGGTAAGTTCCTCGGCTACTGGGGCGTCATGACGAGCGCCGTCTTCTCTTTCGCCGGCGTCGAGTCCCTCGCCATGGCCGCCGCCGAGACGCAGAACCCCCGCCGCGCCATCCCCCGCGCCTGCAAACGCGTCTTTGCGCGCATCGTCCTCTTCTACATGCTGGCTGTGTTGGTGGTCGGTATGATCGTCGCCAGCAACGACACCCGCCTCAATGACGCCTACGGCACCGCCGCCCAGAGCCCCTTCGTCATCGCCGCCTCCGCCGCCGGTATCCCCGCCATCCCCAGCGTCGTCAACGCCGTCGTCATCACGTCGGCCTGGTCTGCGTCGAACCAGAGTCTCCTGGCGGGCACGCGTGTCCTGTTCGCCCTCGCTCTCAAGGGACAGGCCCCGAAGATCTTCCTTCGCACGACGGCCTGGGGTACCCCCTACGTCTGCGTGCTTCTCTTCACGGCGTTCATGTTCCTGAGCTTCATGAGCTTGTCGAACGGCGCTTTGACGGTCTTCTGGTGGTTGGTGGACCTTACCGCAGCTGGTGTTCTGGTTTCCTGGTCGGCCATCCTTACGAACCATCTGCGTCTCAAGGCCGCGATGAAGAAGCAGCATATCCCGATCGAGAGGCTGCCTTGGTACAACTCTTGGACTGGTAAGTTACGTGATGAGTGATTGGTTGCTCCTGGTACTAATGGAGTTGAACACAGTCTACAGCTCAAGCATTGCCCTCTTCTTGTGCATCGTCATCCTCTTTACCAGCGGTTTCGAGGTCTTCACCAAGGGCAACTGGAGCGCTAGCGGTTTCGTCTCTGCCTATCTGTAAGTCTTGATATGTTCAAGTTCATCTCGAATGGTGTACTAATGAGCTCTCAGCGATATCCCTTTGGTGCTGGGTGCATACACCATTTACAAATTGGTCAAGAAGACCAAGATCGTCCCCCTCAACGACATCCCGCTTCGTGATGCCTTCGAGCAGGCCGATGAATATCCTGAAGAACCCGAGCCCAAGAAGACTGGCCCTGTCCGCTTTGTAAGCTGGATCTGGGACTAAGCCGGTCCACAACGGGATTCCGGACTAATTCTGTACACATACTTCAACACATATACAAGTATATAATACCACATAGACGCCCGTATCGTATAGGGACGAGATACAATAATACCAAACGTTCAACACGAATGATCTGTTGAGGAAAGCCCGCCGTGTGAATTTTCTTGGTTTTTGTCAGATTTGTCAACTACTCTACACTCTAAGGATTAATCCAAATCAATCGTGATTTGAAATAACTCTGATGTCTCCGTATTTGCAGCAATTCAAGTTAAAAGCTGCCTTTAAAGGAAGGTGATGAAGATACCAGTTGCATCGAACCAGGCTGCTATTGCGATATCTCTACGCGTCACTTTGGACTCAAGAGATAAGACAGTATTTGAGAATAGCGGTCGCTGTCAATGTAATCACATCTGCCGTGTAACAGCAGATGCATTCAACAAATGCATTCGATGTTGCAACGGACACCTTGATAGCCCGTCAGAATCCCTCCCGTTCCTCATCCGCTTCCCGTCCCTCCCCCTCCTTTTCGGGCCGTCACATCGATAAGCTCCAAGCTGAGATGACCCCAGCCCTTGCATATGACGCAAGGGAGCAAACCTCCCCCTCGCGCCTTCGAATGTGGGGCCAGCTGCAATTGGGATGTTTCTTCTCTTTTTTTGCCCTGTTTGGAGGCGGGGAAAACCGAGGTAATAGGAAGAAAGGCGCAATGGCGCCGGTTGTCCTGACAAATCGCCATTTATGGGTTAGACTTTATGAAGCTTTGACGTCGTGATCTTCTCCGCTTCTTCTCTGCTTCCTGCGTCCCAAATCTGAATATCTAGCTCTCCAGTTCCGTCAACAGAACAAGTCCTCTCAATTGAGTCCAGCAAGCAACAAGCAAACAATCTCTCAAATCCCTCTCTGCGCAAAGAATCAGCACCATGGTCCAAGTCGGCGACTCCCTGCCTGAGGGCACCAAGTTCTCGTGAGTTAGCGATCCATCTTCGTCGCCGGATTCCACCCGGTTGCCCCGGTCCCCATCACTACCCGGCCCCGGTGGAAACGGCAATACCCGTATTTCGGATGGATAAACCCCAGGAACACTGTGTTTCTTTGGCCAATACCTTCAATTGCGCATCAAAGAACCCCGCATCCATGTCTCTGTCTCGCAGAATCGAAACTAACGCACTCTTCACACCGCAGCTACGTCCCCTACGACCCTTCCTCAGACTCGATCACCTCGTGCGGGATCCCCGTCAACTACGATGCGTCCAAGGAGTGGGCGGACAAGAAGGTGGTTGTCTTCGCGGTGCCGGGCGCTTTCACGCCGGGGTGCTCCGCGCGACACCTGCCGGGGTTCATCCAGAAGAAGGACGAGCTCAAGGCCAAGGGGGTCGACGTCGTGGCGTGCGTGGCCTACAACGACGCCTTCGTCATGAATGCGTGGAGCAAGGCCAACGGCGTCAAGAACGACGACATCCTCTTCCTCAGCGACGTCGAGCTCGCCTTCAGCAAGAAGCTCGGCTGGACCCTCGGCGAGCGCACCGCGCGCTACGCACTGGTCATCGACCACGGCAAGATCACATACGCCGAGAAGGAGGAGTCGCCCAAGGAGGTGAGCGTCAGCGGTGCTGATGCTGTGCTCGCGAAGTTGTAGAGAACTGAGGCGGTATTGCTGTTACGACTCTTGCGATTACTTCATGGTTGGCAACGCTTTCGGTTGAGGCGTCTGGGAAGTCACGCATGATCTTTGTCATATCCCAGAGATTGAAGACTTTGAGACGCCGTGACATCAAGATCACAGAACTTCCGAATAAACCCGCAACAAATTGAAGATGTCCACCAGCTTGCTTTGCCTATAACCAATGGTTTGCGTCGATGACAATCTCGAAGCCGCAGGAACATTGCCGGCGTCCTCGGTTCATCTGATCTAACCTTGATCTTGGCTACATACCTCAATCGTCCACAAGATGATGCAGACTGTCATAGGACCCGACGATTCGGTTTGCTCGTCATGCTCCATCGCAACGCCCACGTGCGAAGTGGAGATGCTGGACGGTAGTTCGCGTCGGGTCGCATCTCGGCTCGCATGTCGGAAGCACCACGAAGTATCGTCAGCCCAGTCCAGTGGGACCGGCATGAACTGATCGAATGTCGGGAGATCACCTGACCCGCGTCGAAAAGCTTCACCAAGAGTACTCCCAGATGACGGGCACACCAAGAATCCTCGGCGAGTGCTAACAGACGCTACTTGAATCCAACTCGTTTTGGCGTTAGTACTACGGAAAAAAGATCCACCTGATCGGATAAAAACCCCGTTCGTGACATCCTCGACGGACGACTTCCGAAGGCCGGTCCCTGGGTTCTGCGTCTGTCACTTGGCCATGGCGCCGCGGACGCGAGTCAACCCGGCAAGCATCCACTCTCTAATCCCGCCCGGCGACGCGACTGAGAAGGGGGAGAACTCCAGAGTTCCCAAAGGTCCTCCATGATTTTCTCCACCGAGTACCCCGTGGGGATAGGATCCGACTGGTTAGGACGAAAAGAAGCAGGATAAATACTCTTTGACAGCCGAACTCCCGGTAAAAATGTGACCCGTGTGTTCGTGAAAGATAATAGTCGGCGGCGTCCAGCATCGAACCGGTCCAGTTCGCAGTATTCCCGTTCGCCAGCTTCGTGTGCTTTCACTGCCAAATTTTCGATATCGGTACAGCGACGTCATCATGGGTGGTTTCAAGGCCGTCGAGGACCGGCCGACGCCGAAAGAGGTTTACAACTGGCGCCTGTACCTCGAGGCGTCCATCATCGCAACCGGATCTTTGCTGTTAGTCGAAGAAAACAACTTGTTTCGGGGAATCTGTGTGACTTACTTCTTCCGCCAGGTTCGGTTACGATTCTGCCTTCATCGGAACCACCATCGCTCGAACCGGTTTCAAGAGGGACTTCGGAATCAACTCCCAGAACTCCGACAACATCTCGAGTAACATCACCTCGGCTTTCCAGGCCGGTGCTCTCGGCGGAGCGGTACTTTGCTTCTTCAGTATGGCAAAATCTTTCTTAGGGCAGTGCTGTGATGGCTGACAAGTACGCGCAGTCACCGAGCGTCTTGGCAGAAAATGGACTCTGCAAGCCAACGTCGTCATCTTCCTCATCGGTGCCATTCTCATGGTCGCCGCGACAAACCAGCTCTCATACATCTGTAAGTCAACAATGGTGGCTGCATATCGGACCCGACATCAGCTAACTCAGTGACAGATGCGGGCCGCGCCTTGACGGGTATTGGTTGCGGTGGCATCACGGCCACGGTCCCCTCCTACATCGGCGAGCTCTCGATTCCCTCGATCCGCGGCATCCTCACCGGTCTCTTCGAAGTCGCTTACCAAGTCGGTTCGGTCATCGGGTTCTGGATCAACTTCGGCATCACCCAGAACATTAACCCGAACTCGGCTGTCAGCTGGAGGATCCCGATGGCGTTCCAGCTCGTCCCCTCCGGCATTCTCTTTATTGGGTGTTTCTTCATCCACGAGAGCCCGTTGTGGTTGATGCGTAAGGGCAAGACCGAGCAGGCGCACAAGGTCCTCGAGACGATTAGACATCTTCCCATTGATCACAAGTGTAAGTTGCGAGTCGAGTCGGGTATGGCTATGGCCGGCGGGAGCTAACATAAAGAATCAGATATGCAAGAGGAGATTGATATGTTGCAGAAGAAGATGGACGAGGAGGCATCCGTTGCTAGCGGTTACGGTAGCGGCCAGATGGCTTATTTCCGTGGCGTTGTCAACATTCTGTGCCGCAAGGGCATGTGGAATCGCCTGGTCCTGGTCTTCTGCATCTTTGCGCTGAACAACCTGTCCGGTGCTGCTGCCATCAACTACTATTCTCCGAGTAAGCAACCCCCCGCACCCAAGCCTTCCTGGATTGTCGGTGGTCTTTTATATCTAACAAACCTTCCCAGCCCTGTTCTCGTCCATCGGAATCACGGACGTCGCTCTCTACACCGGTATCTACGGCTTGATCAAGGCCATTGCTTCAATCATCTACTTTATCTTCCTCATCGACCTCCTCGGCCGAAGATGGCCCGCCATCCTGTCGTCATTCATTTGCGCTCTCTGTCTCTTCGTTGTCGGAGCCTACGTCAAGATTGTGGGGAGCTCCAACCTAGCCTTTGGCTTCTAAATACTTACGCCTGATAGGGTCACCCTGCCGACATCATTGCCGCCGGAAAGGAGCTTTCCGCCTCGACTGCCGCTGGAGGTAAAGCGGCTACCGGAATGATCATGATTTACTCCATCTGGTATGATCCCTCTCCTGCATACCTGCAATCATGTGTTTAACCAAGCTTTCAGCTGGTCCTTCGGACTAAACGGTATCCCCTGGATTGTCTCCGCCGAGATCTTCCCGGGCGCTCTGCGCAACTTCACCGGCACCTTCGCTGCCCTGTCTGTCTGGTAAGTTCTCCCGACGTCATAGCAACTGGGGCCATCGACTAACTTCTCTGCAGGGTCACGCAGTTCGCCATCACCAAGGCACTTCCTTACATCTTCAGCTCCTTCGGCTACGGCACGTGGTTCTTCTTCGCCGGCTGGATGATTGTCGCAACGGTCTACTGCTTCCTCTGCCTTCCTGAAACGAAGGGTCTCACCATGGACCAGATGGACGTTATCTTGTACGTTCCTTTTAGACTCGCCGTTGTACTTGTCAACTATGCTAACTTACATGTTCAACAGTGGTTACGCTCACGATGCTCGCCCTGAGCCATCAGCCAAGGTCATCGACAACACTTTTGACGACGCGGATAAGGCTAAGCAGAGTGTGCACACGGAGGATGCATAAGATTGTCTGAGATCTATCGGATCTGACCGTCTCTATGATGTGAATAATTACGGGACTTCGTACCCGAATAGTAATTTGTATGATACCACAACTTTGAGAACATATTTCTTCATGCTCCACCCTATCCAATATGCTACTTGATCGCACCCTGAGCCGTGTGATTGCATGTATGAATGGGCCCCGATGATGATTTGACTGTTACTGTCTTCGACTTTAGAAACTGGCCTCTTCGTCTAGTCGAGTCGGTACGAGAAAGCATTAGCGTGATCGATCGCTCCGACGAAGACTCAACGCCCGCAGACTTTCAGCATATCCTCCAATTCCATCTCAAGGTTTGATATGGACGCTTCCGACTATCACCTTATCCGGTGAACAGTGAGCTGGGGCGAAATCCACATCCTTCGAAGAACGTTCTCGCGTCCTTCTTGTTCTTATCGCTACTTCCGCCTATTGACATACGAACACACAGCAGATACTCCGTTTGACCGGAGAACCGATCATTGGGCCGTAGATCTCATGATTTCTGTTCATGCAAGCGTATCTTCATTATGTCTTTGCTATACATCTATCAAACTGATTTTGAAGTTTCCCAAACGCCATTTTTGATATCATTATTATCCTTTTATGCCTTGTTAAGCTTGGCCTCCTCCGCAGCCAACGGAGCAACCAGGTCTGAAATCCAGGCCTGCTTCTCGGCATCCGTGTACTGGGGGTAAGGACGTCTGCAGTGGCAGCTCGCCAGAGGGTAGCCAAGCGACTTGGCAACAACCCACTTGGTGCCGTTGATGCCACCCTTGCCGAACGCCCACTCCATCTGAGCAAGCTTCAGCTGGGCGGCACTAGCCTCTTGGAACTTGCCAGCGTTGTAGAGATCGAAGATCTCAATGCAGTACTTGGGGTACAGGTTCGCGACGCCGGTGATGGTGCCGGTGCTGCCGACGGACATGGCGGGGACGAGCCAGTCGGACTGGCCGGCGAGGGCGAAGAACTGCGAGGGCTCGAACTCGGCGCGGACGCGGGCGACCTTTGCGATGCCGCCGCAGGTGAGCTTGACGCCGACGATGTTGGGGTGCTTGCCGAGGCGGGAGAGCATGTCGGAGTTGACGTCGAGGCCGGCGGCGACGCCGGGGAAGTTGTAGATGATGATGGGGACGGGGCTGGCGTCGGCGAGCTCCTCGAAGAAGCCGACGATGGCGGCCTCGTTCATGGCGAAGTGGAAGTAGCTGGGGACCAGGACCAGGGCGTAGTCGGCGCCGGCGTCCTTGGCCAGCTTCGTCTCGGCGATGACGGCGCGCGTGGACTGGCCGCCGCAGCCGAGGGTGATGGTCAGGTCGGGGCGGCCGGCGGCGACGGCGATCTCGCGCGTCTCCTGGACGAGCTTGGTCTTCTCATCGTTGGTCAGGGTGACGGCCTCGCCGTTGGTGCCAGCGAGAACAACTATCAGCGAACATTATTAGTGATGGATCGTCTCCTCCAGTTAACGAGATCGCTCACCACCGTGAAGGCCGGACTTGACCAAGAACTCGAGGTGCTTGGACTGGACAGCCCAGTCAATCTCCTGGCCGGCGTCATCGCCGAACCAGGTCAAGCTGGGCACGTGGATACCGGCGGGGAAGGACTTCGCGGCCATTGTGAGAATTTGAAGAATGGAGACGAGAAAAGGTGGAGTTGATGGAGAAGAGGAACTTGGCAAGAAACGACGGGATTTTCAGGATCAAGAGTAGAAAGAAACCAGCGGAAGATTTGGCTGAAGATGCTCGATAGAAGTATCTCTCGTCTTCCGTAACTCGGCCTGTCCGACCCCGCGCCCTGCTGTCACTATCGCGGGGCTCGTCAATGTGGGCATGTTTCCGACAAGCCGACCTTTTTCCCCACGGGCATGAACCCGACCAAATTGAGCGAGGGGTCTCGTGGAGTCGTGGAGCGTGGGGTCAGCGCCAGACCGAGTCTGTCGGGGCCTCAGAATGGCGTGAGGGCTGTTCGGAGGATATCTGGGCCAATCGGTCATCTCTGGTCGGGGAAGTCTTTACCTGTGGCGTCGGATGCGGCGTGAACACCATCATTGAACAGGATTCCCGATCGGAAGGCCCACTTCGGCTCCGCGATGGACCCACCATATCGGCATCGCGTCGGATGCCTTTGCGAGTGTCGGGCCCAGAGAAAGCCCATTATTCGAGCTGACTACGCAACAGAGTTGAGAATGATGGAAATGTATTGTTCCGTCTTGTGTCTTTGAGCCGCATTGTGTAAAACGTGTCTCGGGCCTAAGGAGGAAATCAAACAATGCCGTGATATTGACAATATACTACACTGGGTATCTAACGAACGAAGACCGACTGAAGCTGGCTCCGTGATATAAAAAGCGGTCTTTGAAATGAGGCATCGCCTGTGTACCATCTCCGTAAAGATGCCGATATTCGCTTCAGACGATCGCGAAACATGAGTTGAAGATCGCATGCATGACAGATCTAATGTCGACCCGGAGCTTCTCAGCATCCTGCCTCGCCTGCACCTCTTCTAGCACCTGAGCAGTGATCTTCGCATTGCCAGCGACCCTCTCCATCCGGAGAATTTGAGTCTTGATCCACAGCCTCTCTTGCGGATCCTGTTCCTCGGAGCCTAACATAAGCAGCGGCCAGAGCATGTTGACCGGCAATGAGTTATCTGCATCGAGTGAGTCGACGAGCAGCCGCGCCAGTCGTCTGATTTGGTTAAGCGCGTCTTGCGCCTCTTTCGTTAAGGGGAAGGTCTTGTATGCCACCCTGTGCAGATGGACTTTGCTGGCGTGATAGTTCGCCAAGTACGTGCGAAAAGCCCGAGTGATTACGAAAGCCAGGTGCGCGGAGACATGAGGCTCCGTCAACTTGCCCGCCACCGCGTAGTCCATCAACGGAGGCCGCTGCTCGTACAAGGTGCGGAGGTCTGCGGCAATAGCAGCGCCGATGTTCATGACCTCCGTCTCGTCTTCGACGGTGCCTCTCGAACGGTGCCAAGGGTCGATCTTGGATATTCGGCCCATGAAACTCTGTACCTTCTGGAAGAAGACGATTCCCGGCTGGTACATGACTTGGAACAGGACGTCCTCAATGTCGCCGTCAGCGACGTCTTCCTTCGAAGCGTCGGCAACCCCGCCGTCGAAGCTTGCTGGCGATGCTTCGACAAGGAGAAGCTCGTCGTCCTTGGACAGGAGAAGACCCTGGCCTCCTGCGGAAACGGCGCGAGCGTCGAGCAGTCTCATCCACTGCAGAAACTGTTTCTCGATGGCGGCGAAGCTGCTCTTTTCGCCCTGTTGGAATATTCCGTACGCTCGTTTCAAGAAAGAGTCTGCAGCCTTGATCGAGCCACGGAGTATGTCAACGTAACTAAGAAAGAAAAGTGTCGCGAGGAGATGCTCCCGGCGTGAGCTTCGGCTGTCTTCTCGCGGAGAAGAGTCCTCCCCGTACGCTGCGACCTCGGCAACAGCCTTTTGGTAGTGATCCTCTGGACTGGCCAGCCAAGCACCCTCGCGACGGGACAACATCAGGTTGGAAAAGGCGAGGACGGCCCATTTGACCATTTGTGACGCGCTGGCCATGTCGACGACGACTTGTCTGATCGCCAGCCACTTCTTCTGGGTCTCGACTTCGGCGAGAATCGGCGGTACGACAACGCGACTGAAGTAATCCATGAGCCTGTCATCTTCCGTAGGAACCTGTAGAGACATGGTCTGCTCTGACTGGCTACTGGCGTCGGGGATAGGAGATGGATCAGGTATGTCTTCCATCATCGTCCGATCAGGGAAGGTCAGGTCAGGTGGGCTGCTCATGAGAGCTGCTGGGCGGCCCCCAACGGGCTGAACACCGTACTGGGCTCTCTAGATGCTGTCAGTTGCGCATTCATGTTTAATCAAGGGCGACAGTCTTACAAGAACTTGTCCATCAAGGCTCATTTGCTGGCCCGAATCCGGGTTGACCTGCTGCCAAACATCGCCGGCGTCCCACATGAAACTGGCGTAGTCGAAAATCTCATCAACGGCCTGCATCGGCTGAAAGACCGACGCGGCCGGCGACACGGAGGCATCGGTGGCGTGAGACCGCATCGCCGGGCTGTGATCGGCGCCGGGAGGCACCGCGGCGGCCAACGTTGCGTGAGCGGCGGCGCTATTGGACTGCGGCCGCCATTTGCATTCCAGGTTTAGGCGCTCGCAATGGCTGCATCTGGGCCTCGACTCGTCGCATTTGACTTTTCGTCGTCTGTGGAGATTGTTACAACGTTAGCCAGCCAAGGCAAGTTGAAAGATCATCTCTCCCAGTACGGGTGCCGGTCGGGAGTCGGGAGAGTGTGTCCGACGACCCTCTGCCCCCTCCCGGCGGGACTAGATGAACAGTACGGATAGAGGTGTGTAGTACTCACTTGCAGGTTAGGCAACCTTCCCTAGACCTGACCGACCTCCTCGGCGGCCGGGAGTAACTTGGCAGAGCCGAGGGCGGTCCACTACTCTCCTGCATGGCGTTGGTCGCGTGTGGGCTCGTCGACAGTGACGGACATCCTCTTGTCTATCCCGTCGCCCGCTCAGTGAACTCAACCTTCCTAAGTCGCTCTGGAATGGTCTACTCGCTGGCTGTGAATGAAGTGGATGAACAGCATTTACCAAAGCTGGGGAAAGGAGCGCGGGGGAGGGGGTCCAGCCGATGTTCCCCCTTTCCCCTCCCTTCGACTCCACGTTGTGGGGTGTTGCGTGCGGAGAGTGAAAATTTTCAGGGGGAGTTTGCCGTGATGTGGACTGACTCGTGAGCGGCTTTTGTTTGCTGGATCAGAGCCGGCGTTCCCAGGCCTGGTTAGTAATGCCGACCAACACAAGACTTGACTTGACTTGAGTAAACATAGTTGACAGCAAGAGAGGAAGTTGTGAGGCAAACTAGGCCCTGCGGATTGAGTAGCCATACGATCAAGATGAAGATACTGGCCTTGGAGTTGCGACAATTGAATACATCCCTGGACAAGCTAGAGAGGTAAGTAGTTAGCATCAGTGTAATGTGGCCTCAGACTGAATATCGAAACAGCACTATCCAGCTGTGTACTGTGACCTGAGAGGAACAGGCCCTCGCTGACAACAGTTGCTTCGTGCGTTTGCTTTGATAAATTTGTGACTGAAGAGCTCACTTGAGCTCAGTTCACTTTCTGGCCGATTGACCTGCAAGAAGAAACCCCCTTCACTCTGACATGTGGGTGATCATTGATCTTGGAAAACTACCAATCGGCCAGTGGGTGTCGCGATTGAAGCAGGGGCTGGTGAAGCGCGTTTGGAGTAGGCACGGAAAATCCTTCATATGCGGAGTCGTCTTGGCGACGATGCAGCTCGTCGATTTCGAGGTTGAATGACACTCTGTTGCTCTCTCTGGGTGCGATTTATTCTCACGGAAGTTGACCGAGCAGCGTCTGTCGGCTAACAGTAGCGCATTGAAGCTAATAGAACTACAGCGGCTGGCTGTGATTGATGACGGTATGAATATTGAACTCCAAAAGGATCGAGGAGGCCGTTATTCTCGAAGTGTCACGGGACGTTAGTGAGATTGAAGTTGCCAGCATCTCGACATAAATCCTCTGATGGTACGTCGCCGCTCGCCGCCCTTGACGCCAGCTCGGCCCGGTGGGCAGCTCCGGAGGATTGCCCCACATGCGGCGTACATTTGGTCTCCGATGAATATCTGGCCTCCGAAAGGGCTTGGTATTAAGAGGAAAGAAGACAAGGCGATACTCGATGGTCTGATATTCATGTCTACTCACATCATCCGTAAATCCGGCCGCGAAGCTCCAATCTCTGCCATATAACATCTCGTTCGTCGGCACTCTTTCGACTACCAGTGTGTCTTCGGCTCAGCGGACGCAATCGTATTGACACTCGTATTGTACATCCAAACGGTGTCCCGGAACGGTGATGCTCAAAAGAGGCTGCGATATGCACGGAAAAGCACCCCCACGAACCGAGACAAATCCGCGCCAAGCCGCCAAATTCAAGCTTGTGGGCGAGAGCAACTAAACCCCAGACTGGGGGTGGCTGAGCATACCTAAAACTGTGGAAAACTGTGAAAAACTGGACTTCCTAGTGGTATCCGGTGGTATGGCAGGAATAACCGATACGACCTGGCAAAAGACAAATTCACGATTCATCAAATCAACGGTCAAATTGTATGGGTTCGGGGTTCGGAGGCCAGATGGTAGATGCGACTGAGAGACAGGGAGAACCGAGGATGAGAGGAGCAGGTGTTGGTGCTGCAAGCATGCCGCACCCATGCCGCAGCATCACCTGGCTATTGTAAGCGAATCAGCAACAGACATCATTTTATCTGAAGGTGCCATTGGACTAGAGCTGGACTCTTACCCAAGCAATGCGGCAAGACCAAGACGAAGCCCTGCATGCCGCCAACAAGATCTCAGTCGAAACGGCGGGTGCATACGAGATAAAAGAGGCAGCCAAGGAAACACCAAGAGGACGCCATCACAGGAATAGGCTTTCCCGCCGAATACTTCGGAAGTTATGATACGTTGTGGAGAGCCGCTTCCTTGACAGCGCAGCGGCTCGCGTGGTCTCGGAAGTCAAAGTTGACTACCGATGAGGAGGTTGGGGGGCAGATCCAGACCGGGGCCGACGCCGAACGCACAGATGAACTGCCAAACGAGCGAGGGTGCATCCCGGCTTCTCGCCCATGGTTCTCCTCGCGCCCGCACCTTGATCCAACTTCAGACCTCAGCTGGCCATCTTCCCGGTCCTTTGGGACGGAAACCACCTGCCTGAGGTCGCTTTCGGAAATCATACCTTAGATTCCAAACCCAGGTTTGCCATATCGTCGTGTTTTTCGAATGTATATCAACATTTTGGTTCTCCGGTTCTCCCCGGTTCTTTTCGTCTCGGCGTTTGATCAGAGTTAGCGTTGTCAGATAACTCACAGGTCACGATCCATCTCCCCGCTTGAAGCCCAGCTTCTGGACTTATATCTGGTCTCCGTTCCGCGCAAGAATCACACGCGGGTTCTATTTCTGCATTTGTCCCCGTTATGCCGAGATGCTCAAAGAAGACGCCTTGATGGTCGCTATGGTCGCTGCTAGACCGCCACACCGCCTGCTCAGACGACTGATGTTGGGAGAGTTTGCGAACGAGGATGTGTAGAGTTGGTACGGAATCTTTGCCACGATTCGAATAGAAACCTCTTCCATTGCGCAGGATTTCCGTCAATCGCTACCCCTCAGTCTGCGAGGCTCGTAGAAGCAGGCTGTGCAGCTAGATGTAACGGATAGGGGACTTGGCGCTTCATCTCTTGATCAAGGCAAATATACGTACATGTAGAGCGGCAAGCAGAAGATTTGTCGAAGAGGCCCAAGCAAACCGCGCTTTGGGATGGCAAAAGTCATCTCGTGTGTTTGCTGGAACTCAACGCTTGCCATTTGCTGTGTGCTTCAGACGAAAGAAAGTCCTCGGTCCTCCCCTTCTCGGCGTCTTTCTTGGCTGATCCACACATCTGCTGACGCCAAGTCTGCGCAGTGTGCCCTGCTGCCCAATGATACAGGGGCGCAAATGTTATCATGATCAAATCTCTTCGCTGGTTGGAACGGCGTTTCTAGGTTGTTCACTTTATCTTGTGTTACCCACAGTTCTCACTGTGAAGTATTCATCAGTCTGGGGAATGTTCCCTCTGCCCTACCAACGGCAGGTTTTGACGATGACCACCCTTCTTTTTCCCCATGGGGGGCATCGCGGGGTAAACGACGCCGATCCTCGTCTTTCCCACAACAATGTCCCAAACGAATGGTTTCTATTCGACGAAGGGTACATCAAGCTTATTATGGGTGGGACGTCATGGCGACCTAGATAAAGCTTGCCCTTTCCCGCCAACCTCGTCGTTCATGGTCCGTCGAGTTACGCAACTTCTGGGGCTCGCCAACTCTTCGGTCTCCCTGCTGTCAGGCGCTCCAAATTGTGCACGGTTTCCCCAAGCGGCTTCTCTTCATCGCCCACAATGGGCTTCTTCAGCACCCACGCGTCTGGGACGCTCGACCCTCCCGAGGTGCGCAACTGGCGCATTCACTTGATTGCGCTCGTAGCCAGCATGTCTGCTTTGGCCAGTAAGTGCGATTTCGCCTGATACTCGCCGACGCATCATATGATGGCGTTCTGGGCTGGGACGCTCAGAGCTCTTGCTTCCGGCATGATACTTCGGGGCTCGCCGCCGGACCGCCCCGCCTCGTGTCTCGGCAGCTACCCGGGAAAAGTGGTTCGCGCGGACCCGGACGGCCCCGGCACACGTCGGAGTTGAGAGACCGATTGCTAACTCGCACCGTTCTCTAGTGGGTTACGATACGGCGGTCATTGGAGGAACCATGGCGTTGGACTCCTTCCGACGCGATTTCCACCTCGACGAAGTCAGCACCACCATGCGCGATACCATCCAGGGCAACATTGTTTCCACTTTCCAAGTACGTGCCTGCACTGTCGAACACCGCCGTTCCGCATTGACTTATGTGATGTATCCAGGCCGGCTGCTTCTTCGGCGCTCTATTCACATTCCCTATTGCTGAAAAGTTCGGACGAAGGAAAACGGTTATGCTTGCCGGAACTGTCTTTCTTCTCGGTGGAACCCTCATGACCGCAGCCCGAGGAAGCCTGAACATGATTTACGCCGGGCGCGCCATCGCCGGACTCGGAATTGGAGCCTCCTCACTCACTGTCCCCGTATATATCGCCGAGACCGCGCCTCCTTCCATTCGTGGCCGCTTGGTCGGTATCTTCGAAATCGCTTCCCAAGGCGGCGGCATGCTGGGCTTCTGGATCAACTACGCCACCGACAGGACAGTAAACGTGAACAACCACGCGCAATGGATCATCCCCCTCGGTCTGCAACTGGCGCCCGGTCTGGGTCTTGCTCTCGGTATGATCTGGTGCCCTGAGTCCCCTCGTTGGCTCGCTCGCGGAGACCATTTCGAGGCTGCGGAGAAGATTCTGGTCAACATTCGTGGCCTGCCTGCAGACCACGAGTACATCCGTCGCGAAATGAACGACATCCGCACCCAGGTCGAGGAACGCACCAACAACCGCATGACCAAGAAGCAGATGTTCCAGAAACTCTTCCAGAAGGGCATCCGCAACCGCATGGGTCTCGGCATGGCTCTCATGTTCCTCCAGTCTTTCACCGGCGTCAACATCATCACATACTACGCGCCCCGCATTTTCGAGAGTCTGGGTATCTCTGGAACCTCCACTAAGCTCTTCTCTACTGGATTCTACGGTATCGCGAAAACCTTCGGCATGTTCCTCTTCACATTCTGGGTTGCTGAGCGTGTTGGTCGCCGTAAGGGTCTCATCTGGGGATCCGCACTCGGCTGTATTCCGATGTTCTACATCGGAGGGTATGTTATGCGCGCCGACCCCGCTGCAAGGGCTGCAGCCGGAATCGTCGAACGTGATGGATGGGGATACCTCGCAATGGCGTGTGTATACATCAATGGTAAGCACTTTCATCTGGCTTATCTACTACGGCATGGCTAATAAGAGAAGGTGTCATTATTTGCGCCACATGGCAAGGTATCACTTGGCTGTACGCCTCGGAGGTCCAGACCCTTGAGATCAGGATGTTGGCAGTGTCCATCACCACCGCCACCACCTGGCTTGGTTCCTTCATCATCGCTCGCTCCACGCCCTACATGATCTCGGATCTCGGTTACGGAGCCTACTTCTTCTTCAGTGCCATCCTCGTATGCATGGGTATCTGGGCATTCTTCTTCGTTCCGGAAACAAAGGGTATGGTCATGTTTACTCGCATCACTTCCACAGCTTTACTAACGAGACACAGGATTGACTCTCGAAGACATGGACACGCTGTTCATGAACCCGACTCACAAGACCGTGTGGGCGCAAATGAGGGGCAAAGACGTAGTCTCGGCCGGACGTGCCAGGTCGCCATCCATCACCGACGAGAAGTTCGAGGCAAACATCGAAGCAGCCCAGGTTGAGCGCACCAAGTCATGAGACTAGTGTAAGCCTTGCTGGGATCAGACAGTCCCATTCGAGGCTCGCGTCGTTCTCTTCTGTCGGCCCTTCTTGTCATCCATCTTTCACACTGCAAACGTTTCGGCACATGTAGCGAGCACATATCAGGACGAAAATACCGGGTTATGTACGTACGAACACAGAAGTCTTTGGACAAGGGAGAAAACGGGAACTATGACGCGATGAGTAAGAGAAGGTCATTCTGATAGCGCAGCTGTCGGCTTCATTATTCACGATTTGCAAGCCATTTCTCAGATTATGAGAATCTATGGCCACCACAGGGAATGATTATATGATTTTGCATCTTCGAAACTTGCACATCTATGCAGCATTGTGAATAAGTCCGCCGGTAATTGACAGAGTATCACGCACTGACAACAACATAGTATGAGGATGATCCATGCTAATCCAAGTATACTCATAACTTTCCTATTTACTACTGTTTCTACGATATATTACTTATCAATCTTTTGTCGGTGCCTCCTCTAAGACGTCTGGATTAAAGCGCTTTACAAAATCAACCATCTCACGAGGAACACTTGTGGCGTTGCTCGGCCTGATCATCCGAATAGCCCGTTTGAAGTTGGCGTTGTTAAGCTTCAACTTACTCGTCTCCAACACCTTGTAGGCGCCTTCCCTCCGCACCTGCTCGATGGTCCACGACAATCCAGCCTGCGCGCAGACGGCGCGCAGATCAGATCCCGAGTACCCCTTCGTCTCTTTCGCTACCTCACCAAGGTCGACGTCGTCTTCCAAGTCGTCCGGGGTAACGAAAGTACCAAGGATTCTGCGGCGGCACTCCTCGTTAGGCAGATAGAAAAAGATCTTCTGCGGAAGACGTCGGAGGAATGCTTCATCCAAGTCCCAGGGCCTGTTCGTCGCGACCAGAACAAACGGGGCCTTTCCGCTCTTGGACAGACCATCCATTCCCGTAAGGAACTGCGTCAACGAACGTCTCGTCCAGTCCTTATCACTCGACGATCGCCGATAGAACATGGCGTCAACCTCGTCCATGAACAAGACGCAAGGGTGAAGCTTCTCGGCCAGGGTGAATGCGGCCCTGACGTACTTCTCCGATTCTCCAACCCACTTTGACTGCAGCGCTGCGCTGTCGACGGACAACATGTTGGATCCGGAAGCCGCCGCGATGGCACGGCAGAGGTGCGTCTTTCCTGTGCCGGGCGGGCCGTACAGGAGGGCGCCGTTGATACGGATGTGCTTGAGCATGAAGCTGGACGTCGCTTTGGGTCGGAACCTCGACATTGTGACCAGCTGCATCATGGTGTCCTTCGTGTCGTCGTCGTCGAGAATGACGTCGTCCCAGGTGATTTTCAGCTCGCTCGGATTAACCACGCAGTCGAGTAGCTGGGTCTCGAAATCGTTGCAGCGACCGGCCATCTCCCTGACCCTCGAATTCCACGTCTGTTCTTTCCGCTCTGCCTCTTCAACCTCGACGTTGGACTCGGACTCCGAATTCGTTTCGTCGGTGGACGTCTTGAGGAAACCTAATCGCCGGAAGACTGTCCATATATCATCGAGATCCGCTGGCTTGCCGCCTGTGCTTCTGCCAGGGATCTGGATTTTGGCGCGTCTCATGGCGTCGTGAGACCAATCGCGCCGTCCCATCGCCTCGTATTCTTCTTCCGATAGTCCGGTCCATTCAGTGAACGGGTCAAGCAGACCCGGCTGAATGAGCTTTGCGCACCGTTCACGCAACAAACGTTTGATTTTCCAGATATTGTTTTGCCGAACTCTGGCTCTCTCCAACTCCGCATTGTCCGTGATAGGCTCCGGAGGCTCGATGGTAATAGACAAAGAAGGCGTCCCACACAACTGCTTTCGAAACATGTTCTCGTACCACCGACTTTGGCCCGACGTGCAGCATACGAGTGCTATCTCTTGCCCTTCCTCGCGCCGGTCTCTGACCCACCGATGCAAATGACATATGCAGCGACCAGCCATGTTGCTGTCCATATCTCCAAACTCTTCTGCGTCACGGATCTGGATCAATATGGCTGAATCACAAATCGGTTCGCCCTCGGAGGTGATTTCGGGCGATTCCGCGTCGTCCGGCTCCTTGTCGACTCGTTGGAAAAGCTCCGATTGTTTGTCTTGCACCGCGTCCAAGATGGCAGACATTGCCATTTTTTGCCGATCTCCGCTCCCGACGTCGGAGAAGAAGAGATTACTCATGGGATACCTCAACTGTCGGTCCGGATAGCGATTACCCCATGGTCTCGACCTTTCGCCATGTGTCTTTCTCCACTCGATTTCTTGGGCAAAAAAGTCGGTACCTAGGTTTTCCAAATCCTGCAAGGAGACCGTCACGACAGCTGCCCCCATCTTCTGGGCGAGGTCTTGAACAATCCAATCCAGATAGTGTCGCCATGCCACTCCGGCTGTTGTTGAACGGATCAAGAAGTTTGACTCTGGGACCAAGAGATCGGTGTTTTCGTCGAATACCATCAAGCCGCGGGCCATGTCGAGTAACTCGGCGAGGGACTCTTTGGGGGCACTGAATCCTGTGGCGGTATCGGTCAGATAGCCGCTGGCGATGTCGTCCTTCGGAGCGTCACTCGGAGTAGACCCCCCTTTTCCATCTTGACTGCCGTTGGTGGGATGATCTGTATCTGATAGGGCTGGGTCAGCCGGAGGAAGTTTGATGTTCCGCTCCCAAAACCAATCTGAAAGATAGTAGCTAAATTCTGCATCGCTGTTGTTGGCCATCTTGGATTTGCGAATATGCTCGAAGAGTTGGAGTTGAGAAAGTTGGGCCGTACAAAACGGTTGAGATAGAGTGATGAGTGATTATAGAAAATTTCTGCTTGGGGTGTGCAGAGATCGAATTTATGTATCAAATCCATCGCCTTTCGGAGATGCGTCATACAACTTCCGTTCATCAAGGTAACCGTATAACTAACAAGACAAGTTGGGAATCAGCCCTTCAGTTTCGAGTCACCAATTACTCAGCCAGAGTCCATCAATGTATGGAAGTTTAGTATTCTCCATTCTGCAATTACTTTCCCGTGTTCAGGGAACTCGATGAGTCAAAGTCATGGCTGGCAATGAGATCAGGGTAGGTAACACCCGCTGCTCTCAGTACTTGCTCCATCGTCTCCATAACGAGTAAACTCTCCTCCCAAGGCATAGTACTGCTCTCCAGCTTTCCGTCTCTGATGCAACGCGCGCACTCATCCGCCTCCCAGAACGTCCCGTTGCCCCAGTTCCGCTCTTCATCCTGCGGCTGAGGGCACTCAACAACCTCAGTAGCTGAACCCTCAGCTCCAGACTTGATGACCTTGAAAGAAAGCGGCTTGTAGGCAGGATGCTCCACCTGGATCTCTCCAGCCGAACCTTGAATGCGGATCGCAGGGTTCCCGACCTCGCCCGGGTCGGTTGCCACACGAAGAGATGAGGTAGCTATGCCGACAGTTCCATGGCTTGCAAAGTTGAGGAGGATAGTAGCTGATTCGTCGATCCCAGTGTGGTACTTCTGCACGGCCGAGAGAACCTGGGGCCGTTCCTTCTCACCTTCAGGCTGTAAATGATATAGAATCTGGAAGACCCATGTCAACGAGTAGATGCCTAGTCCAAGTAGAACACCTCCGGCCAGGTCTGGATTAACCATGCGATGAGAGTCTTCGTAGTTAAGCTTCGTACTTCCAGGCTCGGGACTACTGTTCGCCCGCGAGAGGTCCGCAGTAACGCGATAAACACGACCGATAGCGCCACTGCTAACCAACTTTCGTATCTTCACACTTAATGGAAAGAATCTCGTCCAAACTCCCTCCATGAAGAACAGCTTCTTCCTGCGGGCAGTGTCAACAAGTACTCGTGTCTGCTCAGCAGTGACCGTGAGAGCCTTTTCGCATAGAACGTTCCGGCCCGCGTGGAGCGCCAGCATGGCATTTTGGAAGTGATGGCTGTGCGGTGTGGCGATGTAAACGATGTCGATGTTTGGGTCTCGTACCAATTCCACGTAGGAGCCGTAGGTTGTGACCTCGGATGGCCGAGGATGATCGATGCGGGTGAGGAAGGCTTCGGCTCTCTGTGGATCGTTGGAAGACGAGACTGTCGTGATCTTGTGAGCGACGTCGCTCACACCGCGGCATGCCGGATTCGTCAGGAGGTCTTTACAAAAGTCTGCGCAGCTGAGTATCGCAGTCGAGTGTTGGTAATCGTGGGAAACGTACACTCCGACATGGCCCCTGTGGCCATGATGCCCCACCTAAGCACAAAGGGTTCCGTGGTCATCTTGATAACTAGACCTGTCGACTCAGTTTTCAACAAGGTTCGAGTACCCAGGGTTCAAAGAACAATTATGGAATGTTTAACACCTAACAATGCGTGTTGTGAGAATCATAGATATCAATGGCAAGATGTGATCTGACCAGCTTCGGCAGGCGGCATCTACCTAGACGGCACCGAAGTGGAGAATGACAAAGGCTGGTGGGGATCAAAGTTCGGGGATGACCGGGTTTTCGGGCTAATATGCACCGGACTAACCGCGGCAGCGGACTGTCGGTTTTCTTGGAACGGTCACTCACTCAAAACTGGAAGTCGAGGTGTAGATGGCAATTATCATTTGTATTTTTGATTATAGTATGAGACGTCCAAGTTCGTAAATCATCAGCATCAGCCCAAATTGGCTTAAAATCCTCCGCTCCCTCCAGCCCAACTGACTATCAAGATTAGAAGTACAAGCTTCCGGCATTGTTCAGAATCCAGTCGGAGCTCGCCTTCCTGAAGTCGTCCTTGAGAATACCGGCCTTGTCCGCGAAGAACTGCACCAGGTTCTGTCCCTGGCTCCACTGGGGCCAGTTGGGGTACTGTCCGCTGGACCCGGAGTTGGGGTCCAGGTCGGAGACGAAGTTGGTGTAGTAGGTGCGGATGCTGCGGGCGGCGTAGTTGTCCTTGATGCCGTAGAACACCTGCAGCAGGTCCGAGCCGTGGAAGGTGCCCAGGATCGGGGTGCCGTAGTTGTAGGACGCGAGGTACGACCACGAGGGCACGCTGGGGTTGATGGAGACGGCGAGGTTGAGGAAGACGCGGCGCGTCAGGGTGAAGACGAGGTCGCCGAGGACGGCGGAGCGGAGCTTGAAGCCGGGGAAGATCTCGTTCAGCAGGCCCGTGCGGTGCGGCGCGCCGCCGGTGATGGTGACCAGGCCGTCGCCGTAGGTGCCGACGTATTCGGCGATCTGGCCCTCGGTGGCTGTCGCAAAGTAGTAGTCCTTGAGGTAGCTGACGAACTTCTCCGTGCTGGTGAGGTTCGGCTGGAAGATTCCGAAGAGGGTGCCCTCGTCCTCCTGGTCGCCGATGATCATGGGAACGGCGGCGTATCTGCCCTCCTTGGCGAGGGCGTCGGGGCTCGCGGGGAGTGCCGTGCCGTCGGGGCGGGGCAGGTAGGACAACGCGAGGGAGTTGTACGAGAGGATGCCGGGGACGGAGGTGACGGCGTTGAGGAAGGTGGTGTACGGGACCTCGCGCAGGCAGTTGAGCGTGTCGGCCTTGCCGGCGCACCCGGCCTCGGCGACGACCTTGTCGTAGACGGCCTGACCCTTGGGGCAGTCAACGGGGTCGGTGGGCGTGATGCTGCCGGAGTTCATGATGGCGCCGCGGAACAGGGCCTTTCCCTTGTACTTATTGTCGCCGCCGTAAAGGGCCATCTGGTCAAAGACGGAGATGGCTCCGGCAGACTCGCCCCAGATCGTGACCTTGTCAGGGTCGCCGCCGAAAGCCGCGATGTTGTCGGCAACCCACTCGAGACCCATGCGCTGGTCAAGAAGACCCAAGTTGGCGGAGCCGTCGGCGAGGATCTCCTTGCCCGGCATGAAGCCGAAGCCGGCGACACGGTAGTTGACGGCGACGAAGACGAAGGGCTTGCCGAGGTCGACGCTTTGCTGGACGAGACCAGAGCCATCGTACATGGAGGACCATCCGAGCTATCAGATGAGAGTTAGAACACGGCACGAAAGGGTTCGGCTGTGAAGAGAAGAGCGTACCTCGAAGCCACCTCCAAAGATCCAGTAGAGCACAGGCAGCTTCGCATCAGCCTTGGTGCCCTCAGGACGAGCCACCGTAATGGTAAGGCAGTCCTCGCTCTGTCCGGTTGCCTTCTGAATGAAGGGAAGGTTTGCGATATCTCCCAGGATGTCGAAGAGGATGTTCTCACTTTGGGAAGACGAGACCATCTGAGGGCAAGCGCCGGCCGGGCCGGTGGCGTCGAAAGTGCCGATGTTGTCCGTCAGTCGCACGGGGGGTTTCAGCCGGAGCTGGCCGGTGGGCGGCTTCGCGTACGGAATGCCGCCGAAGGATTCGACCTTGTTGATCACATTTCCCACAACAGTGGCCGTATCAAGGACGACAGTCGCGGTCACAGCCCTATCTTCCAAGGGCTGGGTGTGCTCTGAAACCGCCAAGGCGGCCCCTAGGAGGGAGAAAGACGAGATGAGGGCGGGAAGCTGCATAACGGGCGAGCAGTTTTCTTCTGGAAACCTGCAGTCTGGAAACCTGATGGAGGGGATGAGCTTAGGATGCACCCAGTCGAGGCTTGGCTTGGCTGAAGTCGATCCGGAAGAGCTATCTCGAACGCCTCAACATGGGATAGGCCATCGTGGAGAACGGGATGATCGTGGGCTATTTAAGTCCACTCGTCAACTCGACCCAATGCCTTCTGTTCTCGAGTCCACCACCGCGAAAATTCAGTCTAGGCGGATGGGTCGTGTGGGAACCAAGACAAACGGCGCCCACCACCCGTACGAAGGCATCCCGGGAAGGGTGTGTGCGCGTGGTGCAAGTGGCCCGGCCGCCAGGACTAATGGAAATGGGGGCATCATTGGGTCGCGAGGGAGCAGGACATGGAGCTTTGGCAAAGGTCCCCGCCGAAGCCTGAGTCGCGATCGTCGTCCATCGAGCGGGTATCTTTGTCGTGCTGAACCATGTCTTGCAGATTTGGGAAAAGCGAAGAAAACAACTCAACAGAGCCTGCAGAGTGCAACGTTCCCCATGGGGTAGCGGGGCTCGTGGCCGGGATGGGAGATGCATCTGGGAATACGCGCCCGGTAGAGGGCAGCCGAATGACCACGGCAGTTCAAAAGGTCAGCAACTCTCGGGAACGTCGAGAAACCCGCGCAACGGAACAGCCTTGTGACGTAGGACTTCACATGGGAATATGCAAGAGTCGACAGGGCCATGTTCTTGTCCGCCTCGGTATGTCGGGCGGCAGAAAAGGGTCGCATTGTCAGCAACATGCAACTGCATCGGATTGGCGACGCAGCTCAGGACAAGGAACAAGACAGAGAGCGGTCAAAGTCGGCGTTGAATCGTACTTCCGGAACGCATGTGATAGTGAGACTATCCATCGCGGGACACCAGGAACCAGGAACTCCGTCCCAACGAGGCATTGATGTTCCTCTGATCTTTCGATATATGGTCGTAGACCTGTCTGGCTCGCAGTGAGTGTGTGTGTGTATGTTTGTGTGTGTGTAAGACTGTAAATATGTCGTGGTGGTTGCGGCGGGCATACGCGCCCTGGCTTTAGTCTCTGCAAGACAAACAGCGGCATTGTGCGACTAACTAATTGGACGGCCAAGATGTACGTCCCCAATAGTGCCCGTCCATCCCAGGATTGCATGGCTTTCGTAATGGAGGTGGAATGCGGGGTGATGGTTCATCTGCACAATCTCGAAGACAGCCCCATCCAGAAGAAGGTCGGCTGACGCAGATCGCCATCCTGGATCCTTGTACCGGCACTAGACCAGCCATCCACGAGGTGCAATTCACTCGGATTTGGTATCCAACCACGGTAATGGGCTCCGAGTACGTGGGGTTTTCTGGATCGAAATGGTTGCGAAAGAATCGATCTTTTTTTTCGCGTCGTCGCTTTCGTTACGAGCAATACGTGGGCTCCAGGCTCCAGCTAGACCATGCCCGGCCCGCTCACAAATGAATTGGCCCAAAACCGTTGGGGTGCGCGGATGAGGCGGGATATTCCACCAGTATGTTAGCTCGAAAGCAGCGCATCCACAAGAAACACGAGCAGGGGAACTCGGGTTTGCACTACGCTAGCATCTCGGCGGGGAGCATTAGTTCCTGACCGACACATTTGGCAAAGATGAGCTTACTGGCCGGCAAGCAGTCATCTAGCTCCCGAAAACGAGGAACGGGCTCACGATCTACGGGCCACACATCTGTTCAAGTGCCCAATGAAGTGAAGGAACGACGAGAGATGCCGGCTACGACGGACCTCATCCGACTCAAAGCGTCGTGCACTTGAGGGTCAGCTTCGTATGTTTGCAATCCAAATTGGGTTTCCAGATCGTACGGGACACTCAATCTGTCCGAAAACCTCGGTCCGACTCAGAAATACTGATCAATTTCATATAAGACTTCAAGCAAAGCTTTGACACATGCTTCGTGGTTCTGTTTTCCAATATTTTGGGTAGTCGAGCAGTCCGCTGTTGTCAAACACAGAAAAAAGAAACATTTCATGCATCTTTTTCTTCATCTGCAAGCTTGTTAAGTGGGAATTGGGGCACTCGGAGAACCGGTAAATCCCCAGCCATATTCCTTGTCCCGTTTTCACACTTCCACACCGCTTCTGCGGTCGATTAGTCGTCAATATAATGTTGCGGGGTTCGACTTGCCGTCGCTTCTCAACGTCTGTGGAGCCGAGCGGCTACCCTGACCAAGATTCCATGCCCCGTTCAGAAATTTCCATGCCCCAGAGACTGGACAGAGCCAATTGTCTGAGCCATTCGCATCTGTCTACGGATACATGGGGCTTCAGACACCAAGTCTGGTCATCGCCATCTTGGATCGTCCTTTTCGTTTTGTGAGCGATTTCTTATGCCAAGAAACCGGGTCCAGGGTCTTGCAAAATTGCGTACCCGCAAACGTTGAGGAACTAAAGAGCCTCTAAAAAATTTCAGATGTGGCTCTGAAGCGACAAGTGCGGATTCAGAGAAGAGCGTAGATGTTCTAGAAGTTGGCAGAGGGGCTATCATCTAAACTTGAAAGAGACACCATCGCGAGCGCTTGGCCGTGATGTAAGGATTCAATTGGGCAAGCGCCACGTGCGGGAGCAAAGACGTTGGTCCTAGCTTCCGACCGTTAATTAGTCTCAAGTTCAGGAATGTGTTCAGTCTCTCAAGCGTCCGAGCATTGTTCCTTTGTCAAGTTCAAGCCACATCCTGCATGGAATATTCGCCGAGAAGTTCGAGTAAGGAAAACAAACAACACAAAGCTTTGTGGGGGAATTACCGCGACTCGCAACAGATGAGTCAGTTAGGCGCGCTCGCAAAAGACCCAGAGTGGAGCTTGACTGAATTGGCGCTTCGCTGTCTGCTACGCCGAGAGAAGCCTCATCCTTGCACCGTCTTTTGTGCCTCGTCATTATTGCAGCAGAGAGAAGTATCGACTGAACCTGAGACATATCAACAGCTCTCCATGAATACGCCAGCAGTGGAAATGCATCAGTGGTATTGTCCACAAGGCAGGGTAATCGATGCTAGCAAGCTTGACAGCGCACGAAGGCCAGTACCACGTGGGAAGAGTCAGGAAGCAGGTATGACCGGACAGTATGATGGAACGTGCGGGTACAGCTTGATCCCGAAAGATGGAATATTACATTTCTGTGCGCGGCAGACTTCTCCAGCCGCTAAGGTAAGGTATCTCAAGCTCAAAGCCGATTGCGGGGCCGACCCGACCGAATGCTCCGACCGGATTCCGGGGCCCACATCGGGACTCACCGACTCCACCGAGTCACCGGAGGGCTGACAAGCCACACCGAAGAAAACGATGCCGCACGGATCACCAAGGACCCTTAGACCCCTTTTTAAAGTTTTCTAACGATCACGAGCACGTGGCGGGTCTGATCCCGACGAACGAGCGAATCGTAAGCACCAATTAAGCGAAATTACTTCTCTCAGGCAGGCTTCGCGGGGGGTAAGGTGAGTCGCGCCCGACATCGCGGTTCCAATTTTTCCCCTTCTCTCTTCAATCTCACAAATCCACACACCACACCATCAGCTCGCAAGCTGCAGATCATTTATGACTTCACTCCTTTGAGTCGCATATCGGCCGCCGCAATCGCGGCTGGTTGCATCCATTCCTTATCTCATATTATCAAAGTCACTCTTTATCCGTACATATTGGGGAGCTCTGGTTCGAACCCAGGCCCCTGTCACTCGTTGAAACCATGCGCGGCGCCTCTCTCTCATCGCTGTCGCACCTTGTTGTCTCACTGCTGCTCGCGGCTTCATCCCCGTCCGCCGTCCTGGCTGATGGCACCGTCTGGGCGACGCCTCATGACAGCTACTCCTCCTCCGTCGGCGTCCTCGGTTGCAAGATCAACACCGATCGCGTCGCATACTGGCCCGGCTCCGTCGACTGCAACAACCTCTGCATCTCACTGAGCTACGAGGACCGCACCGTCAAGCTCCTGCGCATCGATCAGTCGCAGGGCGCCTACGATATCAGCTACGATGCGTGGAACTACCTCTACACGGGCAACTCGGCCAAGAAGCTGCCCGTCGCCGGCGGCCCGCTCGCCATGGAATACAAAGAACTGCACGCCGACGAGTGCAAGGAGCTCATCAAGACCAAGAGCAAGAAGCTTCCTCTCAGCGCCTCCAACAGCATGAACTTCCTGGCCAGCTGTCTGGATCAGAAGGACAGCTGGGTGGCCAAGAACTTCGCACTGTACAACATGCTCGATTCGATTTGCTCGTGGGGATACGACGAGGGTTGCGAGCTGGACTGGCCCACGGCGAATCAACCCACGTGCAAGCACTCGCTCGGCATGCCCGTTGAGCTGACGGACGCCCCCGTGTACAACGTGCAGTACCCTACCGGAAATGTCGTCGAGGCATCGAGCGGCGAGAAGATATCCAGTCCGGGTGATAGCACGAGCGACGCGACCACCACCTTCGCCATGCCATCATTACCTGTTCCGACAAGCTACAAGAATATGCAGAACGGTGCCTCGGCGCTGGGAATGCTGGGGATGTTGATGGCTAGTTCACTTTTCTGGACTTGTTTTATACTTGGGTCATGTTGATGTTAATATTTTGGAACGACTAGGAAAGAGAAGACGATAGATACCTTGAGATACCATCTACTAATGTCATACGACGATAATGCCAAATACCATCACCACCTCAGCCATGCGTGCCATCTATCGTTACGTCTCAACCCCGTCCCAAACTAAACCGTTGTCAATAGTTAAACATTGGCTAGTTGCGCATGCCGCTGGTTTATTCTTGATGCTCCGTTCGCTTCACTTCAATGTTCTGAGCGCACACTTCACACTAAGAAACCGCTGGTTTCAATACTCAGAACAATAACTATTTTGTGATCTCAGCTAAGACATGTCTAGGTTTACCTGGCAAACGATCCCCAGGTAAAGGATGTAATCACGCGATGCCTGTCATGACAGCCACAAGCTGCGAGCATTGGCAACACACCATCGGTTTCCCAGTCTTCCCACTTCCCAGACAACAGCCTGCTCAGCGACCACTGGGGATCAAGGTTGGGGGGCAGCGGTCGGATAATTCGGCGTCGGCACCTTGGATTTACCGTTATTGTCCCTCCAGTGCTTGCAATAGATGTCCTTCTCGCACCGCCCCGGTTGGTAGATGCCGAGCCACGGGGTCTTGCCCGGGCCCTGGAACCCCTTCGCAGGCTCCCACCCGCTTCCGGGCGCCAGCTTATCCCACGACATGCCCTTCGGCCACGTCTTGCCGTCCCTCGGGACGCCGCAGGACCAACGCTTCAGCCTCACGTTGTCGTAGTACAGGAACCCGGTCGTGGGCTGGAGGAGCCAGCGGCACACGAACGGGCCCGGGTCGCAGTTGGTCCGGTGAGGCGTCCCGCTGCACCACTCGGCGTCGTAGTGCTCATGCGCGAGGGGCGAGACGTTGATGAGCTTGTTCGGCATGTTCTTGATCTCGATCACCGGGTCCGTCAGGCCCTGGCCCTCGGTGCCGTCCTTCTTCGTCCAGATGATGGTGAACTCGCCGATGCGCGGGTCGTTGCAGGTCGTGCGCCCGCCGGGGAAGCAGTTCGCGGCGCCGTTGATGTTGGGGAAGTAGGGGCACTTGATGGTGCCGCCTTTCTTGCAGGTGACTTGTGCCTGACAGTTTCCGCCATCCTTGGTTTCCATGTAGATTTCGCACATTTCGGCGGTGTAGTACTTGCCGATTTCCTTTCACCGTCGTCAGATTGTTTCAAGATGTGTAGAGAGATTGAATAGACTTACCCAGAGCAAATTGTTTCCTTCAGGTTGACGGACAAGGTCCTTCTCGCGGCGAGCCTGTGCTTGAGTGCCGGTAGCCCAAAGTCCCAGCCAGGCCATAAGGCCTAGAAGAGAGTCTCCTCGAACCATGGTACTTGGTACAGTAGAATCTGGTCGAAACGTTTCGAGGCGCTAGTGTGAGTAGATGTAAGTGGAGAGAAGATCAGAGGTGGCTAACGGAGAAAGCTATTGCTTTTATAGACGACAGCTACAGCAAGGTTTTTCACCTTGATCGTAACTTGAACATGAATTCCACGTCACCAACCGCTGCGGTATTGGTGTTGTGCGGATGCTCAAAAGGGTTGAGGCGACCATTACCGTGGCTGCGCAGAAGTCTATACCGTCCTCAGGCGACCGTTCGGCTACAGCAGGCAGCTTGAATGGAATTTCTGGATTATACCAAGGCCACACCAATGACTTGAGTCATCGCATGTCTCCCTGGCGGCATACCCACTAGCTACGCGTCATCTTGGTCAAACTGAAGATGTCATGTTGGCTATTCTTTCAGGTATCGGCGAGATGAAGCCCTTTCATTTCTAAATTCGGGAAGACCTCTTCGGGAAACATTTGGATACGAAGGTCAAATGCTGAACCAGCTGGGATGAACATCCTTTTTCCTATTTCTAGTACTACAGGAATACGTTCGGCAGTCGTGGCAAACTTCCAGCGAGAAAGGTCTGCCACAAGCGGCAAAAAGCATCAACCACTCAACTCAAAAACCTTCTGCATGTACTCCTCAACTCCGGTTGGCTTCCAATTAGGAAAGATCTGGTTCCACTCATCGGACACCGCCCAGGTACCGCGAGCCATGGAAATCAGCATAGCAATAGCCACGACCTTTGAGAACTGGACAATCTCTTCTTCGGACAATCCAGGAAAAGGGATGCGCTCGAAGCAACTTTCATCCAATTTGCCAGATTTGAGGTCCTCCTCCTTGACTTTGTGAATGTCCAATGGCCGTCCTATCCGTCAAAAGGTTAGCCAACGTCCCAATAAACCTTGCTGACCACGCCTGGAATGAACACCCACCTGCAGCTTTCTCCGCCAAGCGCAGGAACTCCGAAACCGTGGTCTTCTGACCACTGATGCCTCCAACCGTAGGCCATTCGCCGTCGTATTCGACAGCGTGGGCGACAACTTCCGCGATGTCCTCGGTGGTAGTCCAGGTTATTTCGGAGTTTTCTGAGCCTTCGATGATGACAGCCCGTGCTTCTTTGATGTTGATCAATGGGGCGCCGAGAAAGTGGGTGAAGAACCCGGATTGAAATAAACTGTATTCGATCACCTAATATGAGAATAATGTTAGTTTCTGTCTGGATCATTGTAGAAGGCTGTGGTGTAGAAAAGAGTTTGTCAGGGTGCTGTCGTGTTCTTTCTCTTACCTTTTCGGTCTTGTTGATCTTCTGTAGGTATTCTCGAACCGCCAGTTTGTCGCGGTAGAACGGCATGAACTCGACGACTTCTTCGAGATTCTGACCACTGATTCCCGTCATAAGCCGTCGATCACAGCTGAAAGCTGACTGACACCTCGCAGGATAAAAGTGTACTACTCACAGTGCCCATTCGCTGGGAGCGTAGCGCTTGACACCAGCTTCGATCGAGGCGTCGATCAGACGCTTTTGGATTTCGCCATTGGGGTCCGTGACTGGGTCAACAATGAACGACAAAACAGTGTGGACGCCTGTCAAAATCTTGACCAAATCGGACTTGTCTTGATAGTTCGCCTGAGTCCATTTGAGGCCAGGTACGGCTGGCAGAGACGCTGACGCTGGATCCTAATAACAGCTGGGTTAACTCAAGTCCAACGACGACACTGAAGTTTTCAACAGTATCCCCGTCTCCTTGCTTACCTTTCGTATCAGACCGATGATCTCATGTTTACCAGACTCGCTAAGCTTCTTGGCGACTTGGAGAGCGAGATCTCAAAACGTCATTCAGTTAGCATAGATCATTTCTCAAAGGAATGGAAGATTTAGTCTTGTGGTCGGGACTCTTACTGCCAGAGGCACCAGCTACGGCGACTTTAACCATACTTTCGTGGATGAATGATTGATTGTGTAGAAACAGTTGTGTGATGTGACCAATGCCTTTGAATCTGAATTATCTTGATTTCTCCTTTTCTTTCTCAGACTCATCCTCAATAGACTGCTGGCTCTATTGTATCCGAAAGACATCTGCGCCAAACATGCCTCCCCCACTTATTGCTGGCGGGCTTCCGCCAGGACATCACCACATCATATTGCGGCCGCTCGTTTTCGCATTCCCATGAACGACGGCTCAATCACTATTCCTCATCTGTACTGTCTACTTCATCGAAGAATCATTACCAATCAGCATTAGTAACTGCTTAGAATACCCAGCTTTGGATGATGGGATGCTTGTGGAGTTTCGCGCAGAGAGGATGAAGACGTCACTCCGCTCCGCAAGCAAACTCCGCTCGTCGCTAACATCACAACACATCATGGCGCTAACATCGTGTAAGCACAGAAGTTCCTTTCAAATACATGCTTGAATTGCGAGATATCGCCTTTGTTCCTAAATTCAACAATAAGTGTGGAGGGTAAGCCGGATGACGCTCATCAAGGCCTACCTCTTCTAATTGCCATCAAGTCAGTCCGAAGTCGCCCTCACCACGCCTTCATGTGGGATGTTCAACATTGTCGTCAACATGCACACGCACTTGCCGATATGTGACCAATGCCAAAGGGGCCCCGCGTGGTTTAGAACGTGAATTTCAACTCCAAGGCCAGTTCAGTACTTGCAGTATACTCAACTCTCTCCGATAGGACGTGGCAATTATTCGGGCGCACATGCATGAGGCAGCTGATGCCTTGGTACTCACATAATAGATTCCTGAATGTGGATGTTGGCAGCTCTTCGCAACTTGTAATCAACCTCAGGAGACCTTGCTCCCTGCTTCAGCCTCTAAGAGATGAGGCAATTCACTCACATAATGTTCTGACAATTTCGTGGCCACGGAAACCGCGGGGTGGAGAAGGGGCAACTCAGAACTCATCGCATTGGATGACAGCTGTCATAGCTTTGGAATAAGGCCACCGTCTGATCTAGTGGGATGCCGCATGCGTCTGTAGAAGATTTGAAACGTCTCGACACGCGCTTAGGGGTAGTACGTTCTCGCTCCACACAAGGTCAGTAAAGTCGAGAACGGGGATGACGTTTTCCTTTGTCATCGGCAAGTCCGTGAAGAATCGAGATATCCTTGCTATTTCAGTTGCACGGATCAGCTGAAGGTCTACCTTATGCGCTGATATCTGATATGTACTAGAATTTGCACTCAGCTCACGAAATGACGCTTGTAGAGTGAGTGCGTTTCTGCCTACCAGACCTTTGATGAAAGTTTGCGATGTTTCTCTCAATGTTGAGAGTAGAAATGGATCTGCGTGATCAGCGACAGGGTAATGAACAATTGAACGTTACTTGCACGTTTGAGTAGGTACAGAGAGTAAACCGAAACCGACCATTTCGAGTCGCAACGGTAGTAGCCCCGCCTATAATAAAACATGTTATCAGCCTTAGACTGACACCCAATGCGACGATCATCAGGCGTCTCGAGTCTGTTTTAGGGAGTTGCGTACCACAATACGCCTAAAGATGTGGGCAGAGAGAAGGTAAAAATGAAGCTTAATATGACCATATATAGGGCAGCAGTAGAATAGGAGTTGATGATAACCAAATATAAATGCTTCTCAAAGACTCCGTCATTTCCGCATCCGCTTGAACAAACCTGTCTTATTCACTTCAATTCTACCAAATACTTCTTTTCGTATTCTTGAATTTTCTCGGTGCCAGGCGCATCTCACTTTAATTCTTTTCCATCAACCCTATCCTATCAGCCAACTAAACCTCGCCATCATGCAGATTACCGCTGTCCTGTTTACTGTTGCTGCCTTCGCCATGGGCCACGCCGCTGCCGGTAAGTCTTCACAAAGGCACTGATAGAACTCGGCTAACCTTGGTTTCACTCAATTCAGCTTCGGTACCGCGCAACTTTATCGACGGAAAAGGAAGTGCACTCTTCGGCAATGCGGGCAAGGCGTGCAGCGTTGGTGCTCAAGACGGCGAATGCGACCAGTTTGGTCGCTGTGTTCAGCAGATTCCTCCTAATGAGCAGTCCATTCTGAACCAAGGCAAGAATGTTGCCACTTGCACCGCAGGTGGACAGACCGGAACTCTTTGAGTTGATGTATCTCAAGTAAACAAGAATATTCAGGTGTCTCAAAACACATCTAAATCCCAAACAACGAAATTGAATAAATGTTTTCTTGGAACAAGAAACAATTCTTACCCAGCTCGCCTTGTAGTCGAAGTATGCAAGAGCTCAGTTAACCGCAAGATAACTTGAAAGAATTGTGAACCATGATTGATGATGATAGTCTATACATGACATGACACGGTCTGAGTGTTACGGTCAGCTTATCCAACAGTAGGGTCTACTAACAGAAGCTAAGGGATGACACTAATAAATAGTAATATATTATTATAAAGTTATTAGTATAGTCCTAAATAGATTAGAGTCTTAAGGGTTATAGTAATTAGTTATAAGCCTAATAAGATATTTATAGTATAAGATATACTAAAAGTATCTAAGGGATAAATATAAAGTTAATTACTAAAGAGCTATAGAAGTATATCCTTAAGTTGTAATAAGTCTATCCTATATATAAGTCCTATATAGTCCCTTTGCCTAGGTTACTAAGTAATAACCTTTCCCTAGTGAGCGCTCACTCAGTCTCACTGAGCGCTTAGTGCTAAGAGTGAGCGCTTAGTATCCTATACTAATCGCTCAGTTTATCTTATCTACATGTGACCTATCTATAGTTCTTCCGCTTCCAAGGTGAGATCTTTTATTCCCGTGATTCTGCATACAAATGTGACGTTCTTAGCCGCCCAGCTGTCCTAGTGGGGCTTCCTTGTTAAGTGTGCCCAACGGGTCGTAACACTGAGATACAAGATGGGTTGCAGGAGATCATACGTACTGCCAGTAGCCACAGTTTTAACTTGAGAAAGTTCCATCCTGCAGACCTACCGGTGAGAAGACTGAAGTCAAGTGTTGTCATTTAAATCTGTTTAGGGTCCGTTCAGCCTTCTTTATCCGCTTTGACTATGTTCGTGGCTGTTGATGATTCAAGTTTATGTGCTTTGCGTGGCATGTCCTACATCTAATGGACTTCAAGCAATAAATACTGGAGGCATTTAAAGTCTTCGACAATCTTGTTCACTACAGTAGGTCGATGGCTTTGGCAATTTTCACTGAGAAAAAGGAGATATCACTTCTTCATTCTTCATTCTTCATTCACTCACTCCGCTGGATTTTCTTGGAATTTGGAGACTTGCCCTGCTGCCGCTTTCGGGAATTAACTTCGCCACGACGCAGCACAACGATGGTTTCAGAAGAACAACTCTGGACGCTTTCAATGTCCAGGCACTGAAGTGGCTGTGATGTGAGGGCAACACATGCTCGGTCTGCAGGATCACAGGATTTTCGGCAAGTCTAAGCCGCGATGATTACGCTGCTGCTTCCTGCATTGCTACAATCATTGCAAGTAATCGGCAATGCGCTTGTTTGAAGATACTTTACAGACACTGCCACGTTCACGTGCGGGCAGTCGCATTGGATGGCGTCATGGGCTCGAGCCCTTCAACCAAAGCCACCCTCACACAGACATGATGATGAATGCGAGAAGACCTCGGACTACTTGAAACAATGCTGTCACCCTCGCCTCCTTTCCGCCTTAAAATGTTGAGACCAGCCAGAGCCATTTCTCAATTGCCGTTTCTTCTTTACCTGTTTCCCAACTTCATCATATTAGCCGCCAAAATGAAGACCTCGTCTATTCTTCTCTGCGCTTTCACCGCCCTCGCGGGCCTTACCGAAGCCCGGCGTGAGTGCCAAAAAGACGGCACTCGTCCGGGATTGGGCACATATACTATTGTCAGCGGAGACAACCTTAACGACATTGCGAAGGACTTTGGTACCACTTCCACTCAGCTCGCGGCCATCAACATTATCCCAAACCCAGACTCTATCAAGCCCGGAACTACCCTCCTTGTTCCGTGCGTATAATCGATCTGCCTACAAATCTCGAGGAGGGCGACAACTTCAATCGGCCACCAAGTCATTCATAAGTCTTCCTGAGAGGAACGTTGCTCATGGGCGGGAGTTTTCAATGGGTATGAGACATCACATACACGACGAGATCAAATCAAGCAGTCACACGAAGAGGAAGGTCGTCGAGTTGAGTACGGGAACAGTATCTTTCAATCAGTAATCCTTATTATCACGGTTAAGAAACTTGAAGGTTTTGAACTGGCTTCAGAAGATGCTTTATGAATGTTCTGTGGTGCAAGAACCCGTCTTCCGTTCTCGTGATGCATAAGGGCCTCGGTCATCCCAACATACCCGCGCTCTCACCACCTCACATAGCCTCGCCTAGTTGACCGCCCGCTGTACGAGTTTGCAACTAAAGGACAAATTTTATCAGTCCAAACTTTTGATTTTCCTTGAACATTGACTGATAAATGTGGATTCGCTGAGTACAGCGAGTACACGATATACCACAGCGGCATGGAAGCGTTGCTGAATCGTACCGCGCGGCAAGTTAACTTGCAATTAGCTACAGCAAAGTCTGAAGTCGAAAAAGTCACCACCCGACGAGTCTCAACATTTACACGAGTCGCTCACTTTTATGTCATTAGATGTTCATAAACAAGTCTTCAGTCATGGACATGAAGTTCAGGACTATCCTCGGTGTAAGTCAACGACAAATACTGAGGGCAATATGTCGCTTAGCATTCATTCATCGCATAGGCAACCAATACGCGAGTGCAACCTGGTACCAGCCGGCATACTCATAAGCGAGCTTAGCGCTTATCAAAGACCAGGGACCGGTAGGATTTAGGGCCAACAATGTACTTGCAGTTGGATTAGAAGCGATAGAGTACGAGTCCTGATGGAAGGGAGATCATAACATGGCAAGGCTAAATTCAAGTACCAGGCAGGGGACAAAGAATAATCACACCCCTTTGTTGGCCCCTCATTGTCAACTCCCGAGACAACTTCTCCCAACATGACCCGAGGAAACAACTTCACGACACAAAAGAGCCTCCTTCGATGCGATGCCGCCCACTACCTCTGCTGGCCAACTCATAACATTCGCAGTCGACAAGCGGCAGCCATTCACCAGGGCTAGCAAGCCCAAAGTGAGGACAGGATGCATCACCTGCAGGTGAGTTGGACTTTTGTTGCATGAACGAGCGATGATGAGGCTGACGGGCCGCGACCTCCAGACGACGTCGCAAAAAGTGCGACGAGGGCAAACCAGCATGCGCGACATGTCTTAAATACACCGGCTTTTGCGAGGGCTACCAGAGTGCAGGCGGCAGCAAGGTTCAAGCACGACCTCCTCAGCAGCGCGTCATCCATCCCAAGATCGCGGGAAAGCCGAAGAAGGGCGACATTCTCGTCGAGCCGAATTACTCGTCGCTCGTCTTCACCAACCAGTTGGAGAAAGGTAGCTTCGACTACTGGATGGCTTTTACGAAAACGACGACGCTGTTTCATTCGGACCTCCTCACGAGCATCATTCCGCAGATATCGTGGAAAGATCCGGCCATCAAACACGCTGCCCTGGCCATCGGCGCAGCCGCTCTCGGTAGCAAGACACGCCAGCAAAGACTCCTCGGCAAAGGAAAATTTCAGTCGGATGCGCTTCGGCATTACGGCAAGTCGCTTAACCTCCTTTACTCATCACCAATGTCGTACGAGAGGTCACTTCTGGCGTGTCTCCTCTTCATCGCCTTCGAGACCCTCCGAGGAAACAGGTCTGCGGGTCTGAGCCACATGAACCACGGCTCCTTGATACTCGACCAGTACCACCCTCAGGGCGAAACCCCGAGTCCGCTGTTGAAAGAAGTCATGTCCAGCTTCCAGCACTTCGGGCTGCAGGCTTGGAGTCACAGCGGATCGCACCCCGTCGAGACGGATGCCAAGGTCCCTTGGTGTTGCAGAGGCCGCGCCGCACGATACGCCGTCGACGAGATGCCCGCCGCGTTCGAGAACCTCGACGTCGCGCGGCGCTGGTGGGACATCACGCGGCACTTTGTCAAGTACCACGCGCCCCTCAAGACAAGCTTCGAAGTCGCCCAGATGCCGACCCAGCCGATCGACCCGGAGAAGCTTGCCAACTACGGATCCCCGGAATCCCAACAACGCGTCCGCGGGTTCCTCCGACATCTCGATGCCTGGAACGCCGGCTTCATCCCCCTCGCGGCACGGGTGGAGCGCGCCAGGCACACGAATACGCAGGACTTCATCCGCGCCCTCGCGCTGCGTATCGACTATCTCTACGTCTGGAGCGGAGTGCGCAGCGGAGGCTGGGTGGATGTGAAGGACGTCGGGCGCATGGCTCCGGCCTTTCGGGACGTGGTCAAGCTCAGCAGGCAGTATCTCGAGCTCCAGGGCCAGCCGTCGGACGGACAAGAGAGGTTCACGTTGGAAGACAGTCCGACGTGGGCTCTGGCGCTCTCATTCGTCATGTGCAAGGAACCCGACGTGAGAAACGACATTCTCGCGCTCTTCAAGCAGTATCCCAGGCGTGACGGGCTGTGGGATACCCGGATTTTCGTGCTGCTATTGCAGTGGATGAACAGGCTGGCTGCGAAAAACTTCTATCCCGAAGAGGAGCGCCATATACTCGGGAGCAAGGTGATCTTCCATGACCATTCCCACTTCGTACTTGAGAAGACACGATGGGACCCCGTGAGCTCAAGTATGAAGACTTACGCCATCAAGTTCAGCGTACCTGTCGAACCCGAGGAAGAATGAAGACATGTGCCCGGCTATATGTAGAATTTTGCGTGGTAAAACAATACAGATGGGGAGACGGGACGGTCTGCTGAGCGCTTCTGGACGAGTTGCGAAATCGTGAAACCAACAAGAGAATACGCTGATCTCTGGCGAAATTTTCTCTCTCGACCGAACGACCTCGTGCTTTTCTTTCCAGGACATCGAATATTCAATTCCGCATCATCAAGGAAATCCAAACATAGCCCGGAAACCCCGCCGCCCCACGTGCATCATCCTCCGCAACCCGGTCCCGAGCCCATCCCCACCTCCAGTTACCTCCTCACCCCGCCCATCCCCGGTCCCGACCGGTCCCGCAGACGAATCCTCACCAAGCTCAGCCGCAACGCCACGCTTTCCCCAATCAGAGGATACAGGAACGCGGGAGGATTCCAATAGATTCATCCACACGCCTATTTTAGATGTATACGACCATCTGTAACTAGTCTAATGCTTATTTCGCCCGGCGGCGGTCTACGGAGGGAGGGACGTTAGGCAGCGATGTATGGAGTCCTGCATATCTCAGGGTCCTAGCGGAGGAGTGGGATGGGATGGAATGACATGGGAGAAGACGGCCTCACGTATCCGTTGACAGGTGTATGCAAGGTAAATGATAGACAATCCGATAACGGCGGCCGAAACTGAATCCAACGCAGGTCTCAAAGACCAATTACACCAAGCCACAGATATCTCCAAAGGCGAAGGCGAAGGATTCGGGCTGCATGCAAACCGGTATTCGTATGTAGCCAAGCCACGTCAGAGAAGAGAGAGACTGTGCTTTGCTGCGCCAAGCCAACCCCGACCGAGAGTTGGAGAAGAGAACTCCAAGACAGCTGAGAAAGCCAAGTTTGTTTACGTCCAGCCGTTGGAGAAAGCTGGGCACAAAAAGGAAAAAAATAAGGTTGTGTCAGGCGGCTTTTGGCTTCAGGTACACCCGTTTCCGTGGACGTTGAACGTGGTGGGACACTTGCTGAGGTTAAATGAAGCGATGTAGGGTGATCTAGCCACGCTTCTTCTTTTGAATCTATTCGGAATCTCGCGATACTTTGAGATGATATGTGCTTCATTAGATCTTGAGAAATATGAAAATCTATCCTGGTATGTATTGATGCATGTAGAGCGGCGAGAATAGCTTCACCCTCTCATGGTTGTGTGAGACCTGGGTGGGATGCGCCAACGCTTTTAAGCCCAAATCGTGAAGTGGTTATAATCATTTCATCACAAAGCAGGAAAAGACCGATCGACAAGGTACTGGGTATGCTCTCCATAACATTAGACATTGGTATCTCGATAATCTTAATATCTACAAGTGCTGCGCCGTCCATGCCCACACCTCTTTGTTCGTGGTGTGTTTGTTTATCCGGGTAGGTATGTACAACAGCGAGAAAGGGAAGAAATAGAACAAAAAAACACCTTATATGAAAACCAAACCCACGACCGCATCCCCCTTTTTACGCCCAGAAAACCGTACCGAGTCGCCGAAGCTCTCACGGGTTTGTTATCTACTGGTACCACGCCGCCTGGGGCTCGCCGAGGCACTCGCCGACGGTGACGGCGCGGAAGCCCTTCCCCCTCAGAGCGTCGAGCATCTTCTGCGTGAGCGGGTTGACGGTGGTCTGGTGGACGTCGTGGGCGAGCACGATGTAGCTGTTCACGCTCGGGTCGCCCAGCTCGGACTCGAACTTGTTGACCGAGAAGTCGATGTCCTGCGTGTGCTCGTAGTCCTTGGTGTCGAGGCTGGTGTCGACGATGACGTAGTTGAGGGCGCCGAGGTCGGCCAGGCAGTCTTGCTCGCAGGACAGGAAGGGCGCGCGCATGTAGCGGGGCTTGAAGCCGGCGATGCTCTGGGTCGCGTCCTCGACCTGCTTCATCTGGGCCTGGCGGTCGGCGGTCGACAGGGTCTGAAGGTCCGGGTGGGTGCCGGTGTGAGAGCCGACGTGGTGGCCCTCCGAGTGCATGCGGGTGATAACATCAGCGTAGTCGTAGATGCTGCCCCAGTTGTTGGCGTTCACGAAGAACGTCGCCTTGGCGTTGTTCGCCGCGAGGAGGTCGAGAAGTTGGGATGTGTAGGCGAAGGGGCCGTCGTCGTAAGTCAGGGCGACCAGGCCGGGTTGCGTGCATTGCATGACCTTCTGGCCGACGAAATTGACACGTCGGTTCAGGGGGCTAGAAGTATGTTAGTCCTCACGTCTGTGTTGCAGCCTGTTAAGAACAGCATACCTAGCACTAGCAACGCCGGCGAGGGCGGCAGCAGCACCGAGGATAGTAGAGTAGTGCATATTGGTGGTTAGAAGAGTTGGGTATATTAGGAAGTAAGAGGATCACAGTCTGTGAGGTAGACTCGGACGGGGGAATCAGTATTAAAGATTGAGGCTTGCTTGAAGGATGGAGGTGCAGAGGAACTGGAGATGAGGGAGGAAAAGAAGAGCCTTATATGAATATCAGATGGGACTCAGCAGAGGTAGGTGCAGGAGGGAACCATGCAACAGTCGCGTCTGAGTTCATGATGGACCCAGAGCCAAGACTTCGATGTCGTGGGTCGGGCCCATCCAAGAATAGAGTCTAAGTGTATCTCTGTGAGAAGAGAACCCACACAGCCTGATGGCGGAGGAGCGGATAGCTTGCATTCCTCATCGTGGAGAACTCTGAGAAAACAGGACGATGACGGTATCTTGCAAAGCACTTGCCTGCAGGAGTAATCATTCAGCCCTGGGCCGCCATGATTTCTTGGCGGGCATGAAGGAAAAGACCCGACGAGGCTCCGATACGAGACGTGGTGGGCAGGGTAAGTTAGCACCGAGAAGAGCGGTGGAAGGTATGGAGGTATGCAGCATGCAGCATGTTTTGACATCAAGATGGCTTAGAGCATTCTAAGCTGACTGGGTTTTTCATAAGAGTACTGATGGACATGGTCCCCGCAGGCGCAGACGGAAGACGCGAGCATCAGAGCAGTGGGGATGAGCAACGCTCGAGCGTGGCTCGAATGTCTGTCATTCTGTCATCGCCGACAAGGGTGGCCTGAGTATGGCGAGGACATAAGGCAAACCCCAGGTTCATCCGTCCGAGATGGGCCGGGATGGTTCAAACGGCACTAGATAGAACGGAGTTGAGTACTTGAAGTCGCGTGTAATTAGTCGAGGTTCAAACGTCGACGCATCGTATTGTTGTAGATCAGCGCGACTTTGACAAGGTAGAGTCAGCCACAAGCGTACGGCGTTGCTGTCTCGGGATGGCCCATGGAACTTACGAAAGCTATTGGCACCGTGGCACACAAGACTGCTGTATCCTGACGGCTTGACTGAAGGAATGTTTGCCTCTAGAACGGCTAGAATCCCTCAAGGCTTCCGCGAAAGACTCACTTTCTGATGCTGGCTCAGCCTCTAAAGGGGCTTCTGGGGTGGCCTCTCACGGGGTCAATGTCGCAGCACGGAAACATGTTCTCGTCGCAAAAAAGGCTTGTGCCGAGGCCAATGTCACCAAAGCCCCCAGTGGAAGTCGAAAGCATCAACACGGACTTCGCAGCGTGGTGCGGCCGCATATGGTGTTGGTGCTGCAAAGGTGGTCCGGCAATAGTGAGAAGTAATTGCCGAACAAGGTCCTCATGAGAGAGGCTCTTTTGCGCTTAATTCATCTCCTCATCACGCCCCATCAGCATGCGCCGTCGCCCCGGGGACGTGGAGGAACCGCGGGAGACTGAATTGCCTGACAGCCCACTCGCGGACGATGAAAGATCGTTCCGCTGATTATCTGGGATCGTCGTGTACAGCTTCTCTCTTAGTGGGATGAAGTGGATGGTAAAGGTAGCATTGGGTGTGGCACCTTGGCGTTGGCGTCAGCAACGTGCGCCCGAGATGCGGTAACGCTACGTACCGGCCGACGCGGGGGTTTTCAAGGGGGAAAAAGAAAAGAAGAGACCGCAAGACAGGACGGTGTGGTATGTCAGACGGCACCCATCGAGCTGAACTAGCACTTCATCCCGGGACGGTCAGAGGTCCGGCGCCCATCCGTACTCCGTCGGGGACTCCAACCGTCGCTGTCGGTGAGCTGTGCTAATGCATCGGAACGTATGCCAAGGCCCCTTCGCTGACTGCGACTGGTCCCTCGAGGGTTTCCGAATGGTGATCGTCCAAAGCCTTCTGGGCCCTGGAGCCTGAGAGGTGAAAGGGGTGACTCGGCCGGGCGTGGAATACGAGACTGTCGTGCAACTTATTTTTTGTTCGTTGTGTGCCCTATCTCGCATTGAACCGTCGGGATTCGTCCGTACGCCGTTGGCAGAATGGATTATTGGCATTGGCTTCTTGGCCTCTTCCCATCGGGCGCATGGAGCGTCGACGGGTGCTTCCCACCATCAGAGACCTGTCGTGGTGCGAGGGAAAGCTTGGCCTGTCGTGTCATCGGCCGTCCGCGGCGAGTCAGACATTGTTCGGCCGTCTTTTTGGATCAAGAAACTCTTCAGCTGGCCCGGGTCAAGGGTCGGGTCTCTCGGGCTCTCTGCGTCGTGACTTGGCAGAGGCGGCGTGTGGATTGCTATCCATGAAGCTGACTGAGAAGAGCGCGCTTCATCGTGATGAGTCGTGTGTACTGCGCCTCGAAGGCTCGCAGGCTATCTCACGGCGCGCGCGCGCGCATTTACTTGCTTCTGCTTTTGCTTTGCTGCACAGCTGCTGACGGTCGGGTGAGAATAATCCCTGCTCGCATCTTCGCGCTGGATGCAGCAGCAGCAGCGCAGCGCCTGTTCTCACGCATTTCGGAGGCTTCTGCTGCATTTGCTGCAGTCCGCTGCAGACCAGAGCAAGTTTTTGAGTCGCCCATCAGCTGTAGTCGCTGACCGAGTCAACCTGTCCCGGCCCTCAAAAGTTGAAAAAGAGGGAGGTCGGGAATAGCTAGAGGCTGAAACAAGCGTAGCGGCCACGCTACCGTCACGGCGGAACAAAAGATGAACTCGGCACGTCTAAGTCGCTTGCCCATCGCCGACTGGTTGAACCGCTTAAACTTCGAGTTTGGGACTGGGATTGGCGATTTCTCCCTCGTGCGCCGGCAAAATAGAACCATGATGCTGGGATTTGGAGACTGTCACTTCAGACTTCCGGCCCTACGACCCTAATTCTCAGATATCTTCCATCTTTGGGGAGCCAAGACTCTTGGCTGCTCAAAGCTGGACATTTTCTCAGGGACGTCCCCAACTCATCGGAACCCCGCAGCACACTGCGTCCAGTATGCGTGTAGTGGTGTGTTGGCCCGTTGGACTTGGTGTCACCAACGCCCAGCATGCGCTGATTTCCTTGTTTATCATGCATCAAGCGAACAAAGACGCATCTTGAGAAAGGCTCGAGGGAGGACGTGCTGGCCCGACGCGGCACCTCATCTCCTTGCTCGACCTCTGCCGCTATTCAAAGCAACTACCGAGGCATCTTACATGCTCATGATCGGCAGCGCGTAAGCTTGTTTGCATCTGCGATCAGTAAGACTGAGCTATTCCGCAGAGAATATCAGCCGACCTTGCCAGACAACGTTCGTCAGCATGCAGCTTGATGGCGATGTTCTTCTCTCGACGCCGCAAGAAAACGGCAAATGACGGATGAGGCCCATGGAGGGAGGCACTATCGCACTCCAGGTTCATCCCGGAAGAACGAGGCCTCGCCTCGAGAGAATGCGACCGGTGCTCTTTCCAGCGGGCCGAGTGGGAACTATTGTTTCTGAGACACGATGACAAGAACGGTGAACCTGGCTTGACGTCAGCCCCCGCGAGGGGAAGGGGAGCGGCCGGCATTCCTCACGATGCAAGAACACGTCAGGCGTGATGTTGATTCTCGTAACCGCATGGTATTTCTGTGGCTCTACAACGCCTTCTTTTCGCATGTTCTTTTCCGAATAACGGAGGCTCGCAAATTGGCTTCTTGACGAGATGAATGCGCCTGAACGGTGGCTAGACGGAGTAGCACTCGGTACGCGGGATGCTGCTGACGCCCGAGATCGACGGCCGGGGTGGAATGACGGGCGCCGGCAGAGCAGACGGCGGCATACCGCCAACCCTCGTCAGATTGCACCCAAGACTCCCAAGGGCCCGGTTCATTACGGAGCAGTCCGCCAAATTGACCGTCGCTTTCATTTTTGGACCGGATGCCGCGACATCGCCAATACGCGCATCTAAATCAGAGGCGATGAGGTTTCAAAAGATCCGCGTCGCATAGTTTGCCAAGATGTCCGCGTTTTGGGAGTTAGCAGCCCAACACGAACTCCCTGGCGAGTCAGCGACGTTAGCATAACCAAGCGTCGGGTCAACGCCGAATATGCTATTCTTTGGCCGTGATGTGACACCGTCAAACGACGAGGAAAAGTCTCGACGTGGTATTTGTTGGCAAGGCATGGAAAGAGCGTCCAGGCTGCCATGGACCGAAGTTTGCTTGCTGTATGCAAGCGAAGCCTCATTACTGGACTGGACCTAGAGTCTCAGTGGGTGCGGGAGCGCTTCAGAGACTGGACCTGACAAGGAATTTTTCCAAGAAGTTTCTAAGTGGTTCTTTCTCAAGGAGTTGCAGGAAGCTAGCGCAGTCCAAAACAATTCTGCCATGGTCTGTTTTCCGTGGGGTCCAGCGCTAGTGCGGTCAATAACAAGTCTAGGCAGACAAGGCGATGTGTTCGTCGATGTATCTCCGACCAGAGAAGCATGGTTGTGGTCCTCAATCGGCGCCGGCGCGGACATCCGCCGCAGTCCAAGCAGCTCCCATCTTCTCTCGGTATTCGAAATGACACGATCCTTCAGGTAGATGGTCCTTCGGGGGAGAGGAAAAAGAGAAGTGCCTAACCGCTTCCAGTCTCACGGTCTTCCAACAACGCTCGTCCGTATTCTCAGGCGAAGCTAACAGCCATGGCGTCTTCCGCCTCGTCGGTACCGCCAATAGCATCGGCGCATTCCCAGAATTCGCATGGTTCCCATCCATCCTCCACAAGAACCAGTCAAGCTAGGTGTGATTGTTCAAGTTCATCGGAGGGACCCTGCGGGGAGGGCTAGTCTGTTGACATTCTGGAGTGTCCAGAAGTTCTAGTCGTGACTGTCGATGTGAAGTGTGTCGAACTATCATGTGGATATCGGGACAGTCCTGCCTCAATTGGCGAAGACATGTGCAGCTAAGTAGCTTGAGAGCTCGTCTTGCCCTGCTGCGAAGCTGATGAAAAGATGGGCCGCAGACGCAATCGTCAGGTAACTCGCTTAGGGAGGCAAAAGAGTCGAGCAATTGAGAGCTCAACGAGAGCGGTTCTGCTTTCTGCTGCAAGCCGTGATTCTCAAGGATCTGACTGTCTTCAAATTTCCGGCTCGGTTTCTGTTATTCATCTCCCCTTCTCTTCTCCGAGGTTCTTGGTAATCAATTCCAAGGTCCCGAATCAGTTCGGTGCTGATGCTGAGGTATCAGAAAACAATACGCATCGCAGAACCTGAGAAGGCCTATTTTGATCCCAATCATCTGAATCCTCTGTTTGTGGCTTTTTTTGACAGCCGCAGGCGCGCAGGTGCCTGGATCACCGTTTTGGAACGATTCCACGTAATCCTTCGCTGCGCCAGCTGATGAAGTTAATTCACGATAATTTGGGAAGATCACCTCGTCGCTCAGACCTCCTTCGGCAGGCGGCTTGCTCCTGCCGTCGCCGTTGTCGAGGCAATGTTGAAAAGGTTTAGGAAACACATTCGTCAGCCTCTTCTTCATCCTCTCTTCTCCCCAGTTTTCGAGTATACCAAGCCAGATGAGCGGGCCGATTGCCGTCGCGTCCCGGCTTGTTCCAGTAAGATGGTCCGTATCAGCCATCCATCCATATGGCGTTGTAATCAAGACGATGAGTCAATCTCAACAGTCGAGACGAAGAAGTCAAATTCTTGGACGTAGAATATTGACCGTTTCGTGCTGATTGCTGGCGTGCTTGAAGCCAAGGACTCGATGTCACCTCAATATGCGGCTCATGTAGACGCCTCAATGCCACCAATGCCGTTGCCTCCGTCCGCATGTCGTGCTCTAGTTGACGCGTAAGCAATTTTTCCGAAAGGAAGGTAGAATAGCCAAAAAGATGGATTTGGCAGTCGATAGTGTATGCCTGTGTTGTTGCGAAATGTTTCAGGCACCACCAAATGAGGTCGCCGTCCCTGAGCGGATTGCTGACCGCACGTGTGGTTCCAGGCTTGATGGACGCATCGCAAGACGACGCCCTTCGATTCCTCTCGGCCGTGGCACTGAGCGCACTCGACGCTTCTCCGCCGTGGAGGGTCGTGACCTCGTCCTTCCCGCTGCGCCTCCGAGCAGCTCGCGGACATCGTGGCCTTCTTCCTCCGGGGCATGGACCTCCTAGCCCTCCCAAGACCTCAAAGACCTCCAAAGCGTCGGGAGGTTCGAGATGCTGCATAACACCACAGAGGTCTTGATCGTTATAAGTGAAGGAAAACCTCTGTGTTTCTTTGGCGTTTTCCCAACCTCTCCTGGTCAACGAGACGACAGCATCCTTCCTTTGCCGCAGCACAGTCGTCAGAGACGTTGTCAGTCGAGCCTTCCGTTCCGCCATCCCGCCTGATCGAGAAACACGGTCGACATTTCTCCGAAGCGCAATCAACATCCCGCGCTGCAGTGTTCCATCGCTCAGGGTCCTGCCAACCGGCTAATTCACGGTTGCATCTTTCGGGGATCACAGCTTGTGAATCGTTCGGATATCTGCCGGTAATCAAGTCGACAGTCGACGACACGCGGCGCAGAATATTCGAATTGACGAGAGTTTGTCTCTACCACGGTATATAATCGAGTTGTCAGAAGGTACCGGAGAAACGTTTGCAGTGGCGAGCGTCGTTTTCCACAACCTGTCTCCGGAAGCAGGTCGTTGAAGTTGAAAGAGGAGAGAAATTGTCCAATTCTTGTTCGTAGCAGGAAAATCTTTTACAGTCAGCAAAGGCAAACACGACTGGACGTAGCTATCCGGAAGCAGCACCCAGTGACACATTCACGCACCATTCTCAGCTCAGCGCCCCACAACAGCTGAAGCTATCGCCCCAATAGCGATCGATTCAGGCACCACAGGCAGGCACTGCCCCTAAGCCGATCACGTCAGAACCCCGCACAGCAGCTAAGGTAGCAAGACCCCTACAAAAATGACGGCAGCACCCGCGATGGCCTCCGGGGTCTCCCTTCCCCGCGTCGCCTCATCAACATCAACATCAGCGTCACTCCGGCGTTTGGCACTCTTCATCTTCAGTTTTATCGCCATCACCAGCTTCGTACCAACAGCCATGGCAGACAACGGCTTCGTCAACATGGTCTACTACCCTAATTGGCACGCCTACCAGGGCCAATCGCCGGGCAAAATGGATCTGAAGCTCGTCACTCACGTCTTGTACTCCTTCATCGGCGTGAACACGGACGGCTCTCTGATGGCCATTGACAACAACGCCGACAACGTCATCCAAATGGACGGCGAGAAGGGTGCTCTGTTGGCCCTGGCCAAGGTGAAGCAGAGCTACCCCGGCCTCAAGACCCTCATCTCCGTCGGCGGCGCCAACAACAGCAGGGAGTTCCCCGTCATGGCCGCCAGCGCCGACGCCCGCAAGAAATTCGCCAAGGCCATCCACGAGTTCGTCGACAAGTACAGCTTCAATGGCGTTGACATCGACTGGGAACACCCAGACGACCCGACTGCCGGAACCAACTACATTGCCCTCCTCGAAGCCATCCGCAACGAAATGCCGGCCGGCAAGTACCAGCTCACCTCGGCCCTCCCGCCGGCGCAATGGACGCTACGCAACTTTGATAACAAGCGCGCCGCTGCGGTCCTCGACTACATGAACCTCATGTGCTACGACCTCACGGGTCCCTGGACCTCCGTCTCGGGCAACCACGCCCAGCTGTTTGCCTCGTCAACGCTCGCCAGCAAGGACGCCGAACTCCGGCTTGCCTGTTCCGACGGCGTCGACTACCTCATCGCCAACGGCTTCCCCAGCCGAAAGATCGTCATGGGCATCCCCGCTTACGCACGCACGTTTCCGTCCGCCAAGGGCCCAGGAGGGACCTCGACCGGCTCGGGCGAGATGGACTACAAGGACCTTCCTCAGGAGTGGATTGACAAGGCCATTGTTGACGAGGTTGCGATTGCCGCATCCTACGTCGACCCGGTCAGCGGTTTTGTGACCTTCGACACGCCGAGGGTTGTCACGCTCAAGGCGAACTACGCGAAGCTCAAGAAGCTCGGTGGCCTGATGTACTGGACTGGCTCCGGAGATCGTACCGGGAAAGACAGTCTGGTCCTGGCTGGCTGGAATGCTATCAACGGAAGGTAAGGATCTCCTCTTCATCAACCCTCTGTTCTCTTGAGCAGTTACTGACAAATCCTAGATACTGGGTCCCGCCTAAAAACGGGCAATGAAAAGGGATTTAAAAATCTGATGACGAGATGACCGGAGTTAAAATGGGTGGCTTTCTTCCTTACATATTTAATTCGGAGCTAGGCTGTTGCCGGCTTGTGTAATTCATCGCATCTAGACCTGGGTTTGTCATGTGCACAATAGAGACACTATTCGAGTCAGTCCCGTCCTTGGTAGAGAAAACGGGCGAATTCAACGTGACACAAGACAATCGATGTCGCACGAGCGCGTGTAAAATGAGGTTGAGTCTGGCTTTAAGCTTGAAATGATATTCAGGAACATGGCTCTCCTTAAGTAGCGTCATACCAGGATCGCCCGACAATCCGGCAAGCGCCCGTCATGACCCGCCAGCCGGCACCGGCCGAGTCTCCACATGCTCCGGCAGCACTCCTGTCCAATCGTTCCCCCCTGCAGACAGGGGCAGAGGGGCAGAAGGGGAGCCAGCAAGCGCGGACCTTCTCTTATTTTCGCTCTACGCCAAAAAAATCATTTCTTCTCCGTCTCATCTTGCCGCCACGACCACCGCGCCATCCCTTCAAGATCTGCCGCTCAGCACGACTGCAACGCGAGCCGTTTCACGCGCCGGGCCATCCCTACCAACAGCACCTGCCACCTTCAATGTTGTCCTCGCAATTGGAACTCGTCCCTTGTCGCGAATCCGCGCCCGAGCTCGATGACAGAAGCTATGCCATCCCGACTCATCCGTTGAACGAGTGTTCGGACGGCAATCAAGTGATGTGCGACAAGGACTACTGACGGGCCCACGACTTCGGACCCAGGCCGCCAAACGAAACGCCGCTGCAGGCAGGAAGATCGTGAAACCACGTCCAAAACTGGGCGCTTTGGGGATACCGAGCAGCGGGCACATGAGATGGCAAGATGAAGGGGGGCGCGATGGCTTTTCTAGGGGCTTGATGGGATGGCGCTTGGATGACGGGTGACAGCTGACGGGTGGCTGTGGCCACGATGGGTTGAGTATAAGGTCGCCTCCGCCGCCGACCAACATCACGAGTTCTCTTTTGGAAGCCAGCACTTCATCGACTGCAGTGTCTTCGTCCTCGTTCACTCTTTTCTCGCCGTTTCTTTCCAGCCTTCACTTCTTGCTTACTACCCTGTTGAACAGGCTTATCACTTTCGCTTACACTCCTTCTTCCAACTTGAAATCCACATTCTTTCTTCTTCTTTCGTCATCATGGTTTCCAAGACTCTACTTTTGGCGTACGCGGCGGCATTCGCCTCGGCAGGCCCCGTCCAGCGCAGAGTCGTTGACAAGCTCAACGAGGAGGCCTTCACCGAAGCCCAGCAGCGCGACACCACCGCCAACCGCTTCTTCTCCAACGTTCAGATCAAGACGGCGGACGGAAAGTGTCTCTTTGTCGACCAGCTCTCCGGCGACTTCCGGGCGAACTTGACGCCTATCCAGGTCGCCCAGTGCGGTACCAAGGACGGTGAGGGCTGGGATGCCATCACCTCCGGGAAGCACAATGACGAGGCCAACTCGACGCTCATCGTGAGCACTCTGGTATGTTGACTCCATTTTCATCCCACTTCAGAGCCGATCCCTGACTGCGTTGCAGACCCAAGCTTGCTTCAACTTCGATCCCCGTCGCCAGGCCGGAAACCAGGTTCTGCTGTTCTCCTGCGGCGGACGCGCGGACGGCGAGGGCAAGGTGACGAACTCGCAGCTCTTCGAGTTCAACGGCGGCGCCGGACCGTTGGCTCTCAAGCCCGGAAATGCTCAGGGCAAATGTTTGACCGTCAAGGGCGAGGTCGTCGACGTCGCTGATTGCAATGCAAACGACAAGAACCAGGCCTTTACCTTCGGAGGAAAGGCCGCAGCTGGGGGTAACGCTGGCAATGGCGGAAACGCCGGAGGAGACAAGGGCGACGAGCAGCCCGCCAAGACTACGGCAGCGCCCGTCGCGACCGAGGCGCCTGCTTCTCCAGGTGGGTGTGGCGGCGAGGACGCAACCGTCGTCGTGACAATGACGGTCACCGCTAACCCTGGCCAAGGAAACAACGGCGAGGCCCCCGTCGCGACCGCAAAGCCCGAGAAGACTTCCCCTGCCGCCGCAGCTCCCCCGGCTGCTTCGACCACCGCAGCTGCCGGCAACGGCAACGGTAATGGGGCTCAGAACGGCAACATTCCCGCCGCGAACCCTACGGAGCCGGTCCCGGTGTCCCGCGCTGGCGGCACCCTCAACCCGAGCGCCGCGGCCGAGGCCAACGAATTCGACAACACCGCCACCCGCGCCTTCACCAAGGCCTTCATCCGCGCCCCTAACGGGAAGTGTCTCTCAATCGACCCCACTGCGGGCGACTTTCGCCAGAACCTGATCCCCGTTGCGCTGGTAGAGTGCAACGGTTCCGCCAACGAGCAGTTCGACATCATCACCAAGGGAAAGCACAACGACGGCAAGGACGGTGCGGCGCTGGTCGTGAGCAGCTTGACGAACGGCTGCGTCAGCACCGATGGACGCCGGGCGGACGGCGATACCGTTACCATCTTCTCCTGCGGCGGCCGTGCTGCGGGAGAGGGTCTGACGAACACCGGCCAGCTGGTCAAGATCACGGGCAACAGCTTCGTCTGGACGCCCGTCAATGACAAGGCGACTTGCGTTGTGCCCGGAAGCAACGGACGACTCGTCACAGCGCCCTGCAAGGGGGACAACAGCGAGACCTACACGATTGTCGCTGGCAACGGCGTTTGATATGATCAGTGGTCTAGATGGGGTTTCGACGATGAATGTGGTGTTTTCTTCTTTGTATACTGAATATTTCCGGCTTTGGATGTAGATTTGGTTTCTCGAGGAACACAGCACTCAGGCTTAGACAGAAGGCCATTCGCAATGATCCACGGCCATCTTCCCCACCTCTTGCCCAGCTCTCTGCCGTGTTTCCGCGCAGCCAGGTAAATCGGCATCTTCTTCCGAGCGATATCTGGGGAAAATCTAGGCAAAAGCTTGAAGTCTTCTCCAGAAGATCGGGCCCAGCCTAAATGTTGAATAACTGTAGTCATTGGTCGCGTCTCGGTCGAGATCTTCCACCGAAAAGAAGCTTGAACCGGCTATTCGGCACCGACCGAGAGCTTAATCTCTGCCATTCAGTGCTCGCCCAATCACCGCCTCAGTGAGCGTTAGTGGGGGCGTTCGTATCGATTCTAGCGAAGTTTCACTGCCAAGCGACGTCATTTAGGGGGCTCAATCGAGATGAAAATAACCCGGCAGAACCTGGAATCTTCTCTTTCTTCTGCCGAGGATCTTCCCTCCAACAAGCAGGTTTTCCTTCCGACACCAATATCTTTCCTCGACTCATCCAAACTCCGTCGGCCATCGCGTTGCAAACAGCTCAACAGCAATGCACAGACAGTCCCCTTGAGCTACGTTCTCAGACCTCATCAGCTTCTAGGTAGATGCGGCTGAGAGGCCAATTCCTTTTGGCGCCGCGCTGATCCGGCGCTACGATTCACCCCGAAACCTCGGTCTCCAGATCCGCAAACGTTCAGGCTTGCGCCTTTGCAAGTCTTTGAATTCCACCCCGTTAGCCCACGTGCGCCGCGCGACGAGAGCTTCGGTTGTCGATAATACTTAAATGATTTAATTTCCGCTACAATCGCCTCCCGCGACGCACTTCTTCCTCGTCGTCGCGATCGCCGCACACGATGTCTTCGTCGACAGAGAACGACTCCATCGGGGTCCCGATGTCCAAGATGACCACCGACCCCGAAAAGCCCCCCTCGCGCGGCGTCAAGTTCCCGAGTCTCGAGATCGACAGCCGCGACTACGCCGACTTCACCTCCCAGACCTCGCCCACGAACACCCGCGTGCGCATCTCGGTGCCCAACGAAAACGTCGGCGTGCCCTTGAGCCGCGCCTCCACCGACCAGGGCATCTCCCCCCTGCGCCGTCGCGCCGGCACCTTCAAGCCCGTCGAGGACTTTGACGACTTCGACCTCTCGCGCCCGGGATGGCAGCCCGGCTCCGAGCCCGGCTTCGACCCCAACAAGTCCGACGGCGGCCACGCCTCCATGCCCGCCCTCCAGGCCGACTGCGACATCTCCGTCATCGACTTCAGCCAGGGTCAGATGGTCAAGCACAAGTTCGGCAACGAGGGCTTCATCGACTTCGTCAAGAGGCCGCAGGAGCCCTGGGTCAAGTGCCGCTGGATCAACATCAACGGCCTCAGCTGGGATGTCATCTCGGCTTGCGGCCAGTACAAGGGCCTGCACAAGCTCGCCATCGAGGATATCATGAACACGAGGAACAGGACCAAGGCGGATTGGTACTCGAACCACGCCTTCATCGTCCTGACGCTGCAGAAGCTGGTGCTGCTGATCAACGACGACAGCAGCAGCAGCAGCAGTAGCGACGACGACTCGGACGACGGCGCAAGCGTCCGGACGAACAAGTCCGGCAAGGGCATGAAGAAGCTGAAGCGCACCTTCACCATGGGCGGTAAGAAGCGCCCGGATCCGGAGGTGGGCAAGGTCCCCGGGGTCGGCGTGGCCAACGGCAACGGCACCGCCAACGGCGTTCCCTACGGCCACACCCTGAACCACCACACGAGCAACCTCTCCCACCTGCCCGAGACCGCCTTCGTCCGCACCCTCCAGCGCTACCACGCCTCGGCCAACGAGACGCGCACCGAGTACATGGAGCGCCACTCGTCGCTCATCTCGCGCGGCCTCGCCGTCTCCGCCGAGCAGGTCGCCATCTTCCTCACCTCGGACAACACCGTCATCTCCTTCTTCGAGATGTCCGCCGACGACATCGAGCGCCCCATCACCGTCCGCCTCGGCGACCCGGCCACCATCCTCCGCCAGTCCTGCGACGCCTCCCTCGTCGTCCAGGCCGTCATCGACGCCATCATCGACCTCGCCATCCCCCTCACCGCCGTCTACAGCGACGTCATCGGCGACCTCGAGCTCGACGTCCTCACCTCCCCCAACATGAAGCAGACCCGCAGCCTCTACATCTGCGTCTCCGAGATCAACAAGATGCTCACCTTCCTCAACCCCATCGACAACCTCGTGAATGTCCTCCGCGACCACCGCACCGAGCTGAGCCAGGAGGCCGCCGCGCGCGAGCTGCAGAACCCGGCCAGCGGCGTCATCGTCACCCCGATGACGCACACCTACCTCGGCGACGTGCTCGACCACTGCGTCATCACCACTGAGGCCATGCAGCAGATCAAGCGCTCCGCCGACAACCTCATCGACCTCATCTTCAACACCATCTCGGCCAACCAGAACGAGAGCATGAAGCAGCTCACCATCATCACCATCATCTTCCTGCCCCTGACCTTCTTGACCGGGTACTTTGGGCAGAATTTCGAAAATTTCGAAGACATCAAGAAGCCTCAGGGCATCGGGTTCTTGTAGGTTTACTGAACTCTTGCGGACCCTCCAGGTTGAGAGCGTTGTTGCTGACCCGGCTTACAGCTGGCAAATCGCCGTCCCGGTCGTCTTCTGCACCATCATCGTCATGATGCGGACGTGGATCGTCTCCTGGGTCGAGAACTTCTTCCAGAGGAGGAGGATCAGCGCCGACAGGAAGAAGCGGAAGAGGAGGAGGGAGAAGAGGAGGGATCGCCGTAGGACAAAGGCGGAATGAGACGTCCCCTTCCCCGAGTCGACGGAGTCGAGTCAGAGCGTGTTGTACTAGAATATTCTTTGAAGTTATTCGTGATACCCATTTGATAATAGACCTCCGGCACTAGCCTGCCTCTACTGTATCTTAGGCATTCTCGGCTTCGATCCTCGAATGCGGAAATGAATCTACCTATGCTGTAGGGTCACCAGACGAGGGCCCTGTGGAGGGCGAGGTCGACCTGTGATATCATGGCGGCCAAACGGAGCCCGCAGAAGTCGAACTCCTGAGAGGCGCCCCAGACGGCGTGTATGAGCGACACGACGAGAAAAGCGGCGCAAAGGGGGGAGCCGACGTCTTCTTCTGGGTTCTTGTACCCGTGGGCTTGGGGAAAAAAACAGCGCACTACACGTAATACTTGCGCAGTCCTCCATTCCAAGCATACTTGGCAAAAGCGCAAGTCATGAAATTTGGGCCAGTGGATCCGAGCATTCCTGGCAGAAGTTGTGTTCGTGAGCCGAGCCGACGCCCAGTTTATACGGGCCGGTTTGAGACAACTCGACAACCTCCAAGTTCTCAGAACAGATAAAGTGTAAAAATGGTTGAGACACCGGAGGGTGGTCTGGAATGGGAGATGTGAGGGCTCGGTCGAGGTGGTCTGGGCCGTCTGGCAGCCTGCTTCTTCGACTCCTGCGCTCTTTTACACCCAGCACAGGCGATCGGTTTTCAACTGATGTCTGTTACTACACGCTTTCGGGGCCAATGAGTGTTGCGTCGCGGATCACTCGAAACGCCTCGAGGCTGCGATGATACCGACCCGAAAGACTCATATTCCATCAAGAGTATCGATGTTCCCGACAACCACCACCCTCCAATTACAGGGGGATTTTGCCTACCCCAATTCCAGACCTTCGAGACATACTCGAAGTCTGCCTTGCCAATTCTCGATTCTCAGCCGCTCTGGGGTTTCCCCGCACGCGAGCAACACCAAGGGACCTCAGAGATTCGCTGGCAACGGTCCGAGCAAGGGATGTGGCGTTTTTCTCAGGCCTCGAATGGCCAACGAAACGGCTGAGCTATCGAAGGGGGCTTGCATGATCTCGACCAGCTGCAACTTTTGTACGTAAGCGAAGGGGGGGGAAAGTGCAAGAATTCCATGTCACAGACGGCAGATCATGTCCAGACTCACCGGGCGAAGTGAGGCGGACGAGCTGAAAAGTACATGTATTTGAGAGGAACACGGTCCTGCGCAAGTGGTCTATCTCGTTCGTGGTCTCTCCTATTTCTACGAGATCGAAGAAGTTTGAACGGTCAGTAGACCGGTATTATCAGGAAGACATCATGGACGTCTGCACCCTCTCGCCAGACGCGGTCGTCGGCTTCAACAGGACGGACAACAGCACTCTCTTGCTGTCCGACTTCAACGCCTCCCGCCGCAACATGGAGCCCTGCGGCGCCCCGACCTACCTCCGTCCCGACCCCGGCGGCTGCCTCCTCCCCTGGCCGTACACGATGGCGTGGATCCTCATCCATTTGCCCGTGACCGTGCTGCGCGTCACGCGGTGGGAGAAGGTGCAGGCCCTCTCGATCATACTGGCCTTCTTCAGCGTCTACTTCACCGTCCAGGCGTACACCACGCACCTCGTGCCCGACCAGGTCATGGTGTGGATGCCGCTGGCGGTGGTGCTGGACATCGGCGCCATGATGCAGCTCGTCTTCCTGATCGTGGAGGAGAACGGCATCGCGCTGTTGTGGAGCGCCTTCAGGGAGTCGATTGTGCGTCCTTTTAGTAGACATAATGCCGGGGATGTGCGTTTTCCGGGAAGGAGAGAGCAGACGGCTGAACGCAGCAAGAGTGAGTGGCGCCCGCTTCGCCGTGATGCTTCTGGCTTCTGGCTTCCGGCTTTTGGCTTCTGACTTCTGACGTGTGAGATCAGCAACCCCAGTGCGCGTCGTCTCCCTCGGCCCGGAGCCCGTGCCCGCAGACCGCGGCCTCATCGGCCAGGCCTGGCTAACCGTCCTCGCCCTCATGCTCCTGATCACCCTCCTGGTCCTCCAACTCATCGGTCTCGCCCTGGCCGCCAAGGGCCGCAACGTCGAGAACCTCAAGGCGCGGTGGTGCTCGCCCATGTTCCAGTCGGCCGAGTCGACCCTCGTGAGCTGCGACACGGCGCCCCTGCTGGTCGACAAGAGCGCCAGCCAGGGCATCGGCTGCATCTCGCTGCCCGCGGACGAGCAGTACCACTGGCTGAGGGCGACGGTGGCCGTGCTCTCCCTGAGCCTCGTCTTCGAGCTCTTCGACGGCGCGATCCTGGTCATGGTGGGCAACAACACGCGCTGGTGGAGGGCGCGGATGAAGAGGCCGTGGTTCACCATGTTCACGGGCAACGCGGTGCTGCTGTGTATCCTGATCGTCGGTGTCGTGAGCAGCTCGCAGCTGCCCAGCAGCGTGAACAGGGTCGTGTGGGTGTTCAAGTACGAGCAGAGTCTTCACTCGGCGGTGGTGTGTCGTGGGACGTTGATCTCTGCGGGCGTGAGAGGATCGATTATTGGTTGGACTGATGGGTTCTTGCAGAGCTGGGGAAAGACTTACGGGGGATCTTGATTTGAAGAATGTTTCTTTTATGGCATTGTTTATAAGCGGCTCTCTAGTTTCTAATTATACGGTCTATAGTGTCTCGTCTTTCTCTCGAGTCGCCGAGAGATTTTCATGGGTGCGTGCTCGGAACATCGTCAGTTCACCTGCTCCTCACAAACTTCGTGTGTCGTCCGTTCGCCACCGTCGCGCCCCTCGTCCCATCAGCCGCGACCTTGTAGATGTTGACGTGCGTGAACGCCAAGCTGCCGCCGACCTTCTCCACCCTGCCCTCGATCTCGATCTCGTCGCCCAGCTTGGCGCCCGAGAGGTAGCTGATGTTGATGTCGACGCTGACGCCAGTCGCCTCGCGCAGGTCCCACGCGGCGATGGCGAGGCCGCCGGCCCAGTCGACGATGGTGGCCGAGACGCTGCCGTGGATGCTGCCGGACGAGTTCAGGTGGTTCGCCGTGACGGGCAGCCGCGCGACGATCAGGCCCTTGGAGACGTGGGTGAGTCTGAGGTCCGGGGTGAAGAGGAAGGCGTAGATGGGGGAGGCGTTGCAGCGCGTCTCGATGTAGTTGGCGACGTGGGCGAAGGCGGCCGGGTCGGATTGCGCCGGGACGGCGGTGGTAGGTGGGGGTTGCGAGGGTGTGGAAGACATGGCTTTTCGTCCGGTGAGCTGAGGATGAGGGTGGGGAGTGAAACGGACAATGGAAAATTGAGATTTGAAGACTTGCGAATGAGAAGTATGGACGTTGTGATGAGTGCAGTGTGAAGTTCAAGTTGTTGAGTGAGACAGTTTGGGGATGGAAGGTGCAAGAGCATCACGTGCGCCGAAAGTTTTCCCCGTGTGCGGGCGGATTCCGTCCGAGATCGGCCTTCGCGGCCCCACAATGACCGTGAAGTGCGGCATGGCTGCGCCGGCACCCGGAAGGGCCGCCGAGTTCGCATACAGCCACAGCAATTATAAGCATATGCCACCCGGAATGTCGATATGTGAAGATGGGGTCTTATCCCCGAGAATGAGCGAAGAGGCATGCTGACCCGCCCACAGCGGGAACATCAAACGTCAAGGATAATCCTTCCTGATCACGTTGAGCAGGTGGAAGATTTGTCGGGAACCGTCCGAGAAAGGCTTAGTGTCTCATTCGGCAACAATGCCGTATGGTCTGATTATTGTTCGGTTGAATTGTTTCGGCTTCACTAGAGCTTGGCACATGGGAAAGCGCGACTATATATGCGAATCTTTTCCCAGGCCCAGAATTTCCTGATTCCGAGTACAACACTGTCCCAAATTCGATACCCACTTCGACTGGAAACAAACTTGCTGTCCTTTACATAACAAGCGGCACGTGTAGGTTGTCTTCCTGCGACCACAATGTGGAGTCGGAATCACTGGTAAAGTCCAGACTGGCCATCAGTTGCATAAATGGCTTGAGAAAAGGGTGGTTCCCCTTCCTGAACAGTGCAAACAGAGCCAAGAATCTGTTCAGTATCTCTGGGACTTGAGTCCCTTGCGGGGCTGACCAATCTGCGTCGAAAATAGGGACTTGCGAAGCCCATGAGGAATCGAAGTTGAAATCGGTCGAATCCAGAGGGCCGCAGCCAGCAGCAGAGCCAGACTCAAGTCCAGGTATAGGCATTTCGAACACGACACCTCCAGTTCTTGCCGGAAAGGCTCGGGCAACCCGCGCACAATTGCTAGCGACGTTGAATAGCTTCTCGGCCAGACCAACCCCGTGAGTCTCCAAACAGCGGATGTCGAAAGTGGCGCATGCCTCTATCGTTTCGGCGGCTATTTCCACGGCGTATTCAGGCCGCAACTCAACCTCGGACGCGTAAGGATTGATGAAGCCATGTCGGAGTGCGAGATTCCAGAGCATGCTACGGACCCAGTGCCTTGTGAGGAGGATGTCAGCGTGCTGTGCACTTCCCTCCTTCATCATCGGACCGGAGTCGAGCGGCCTCTTATATCGCCGGAGGAGCGATACCAGCTTGTCCGAGGAGACATGAGGATGCTCGCTTGGTTGTGGTTGTAAGCTACAGTTGCTCTTCCAACATCGCACGACAGTCTCGTCAACGAAGTCGACTTGATCAATCATGCGCCCCAAGCCATCGACCGCGGCGTCTTCGATTGACTCCTCGGTTGACGATACACGCTTGATGAGTTTGTGAAACGGCATCATATCAAGCCCCATCAGCCGCGGCATTTGCAGTGTAGAGCCATGTTGCAAAGCATATATCCTGAGGCAAGCTTAGCGATTCTTTCCCACAGCGCATCCGAATTGTGAAAATAAGCTCACCTTTCGACAAAGGCCATTGCCGTCACCGTCCTCACTCTCCGGTCTGCCTCGTCGGGGCTGATGTTCCCGTAGCTGGCTGGATCGTGTAGTCCTAAGATTTCGGCTAAGCTCATGGCTTCTCGGAACCGAAACTGCGCTGCTTTGTGGTTGTTACGGCAAAACTGACAGCCGAATAGAAAGAAACTTGTCATCACGTCCTCAACCGAGGGATCTTGGCCAAAGTCTGGTCCACTATGGAGCTCTGCGACGTACGATAGAACTGATTCGGCCAACTGCAGTCGATCCGGTAATAACGGCTTGTCTTGAGCATGAATTGCTTGAAATAGGGTGTATGCGCAGATGCTGTGCAGTAAAGCATTGAACTGACGGTCGTACTCGTGACGACCTTTCTTGATATTCTCGATGAGGTAAGACCTTTTGAAGAAAGGCATTGAAAGATGAAGTCGCGCGAGAAAGATTCGAATGAGCTGGGTTATTCTCGATGTCCCGAGTGGAGACGGAAGACTCATGGTGAGTGACCGAGGAATCTGGTGTGATGAAGACCACCAACGATAATGAGCATCTGATGGATTAGCTGACATCGGCCTTTGAAATAAAGGGACTGAAATCGGCGGTATAGGAGAATCCATCGATACTGTATAGCCGCTTGTAGCTATACCAGTGCATGTGATCTCTGACGAAGCCGTCCGTGGAACTGCCAGCGATCCTGCTGGTGGGTCTAAGTTGCTCAACAAGTACGGATTTGCCGATTCATTGTCAACCTGTAGCTCTTCAACATCCAGCCCGCCAAATCCAAACTCGCAAGTTCGTCTCGACCACTCGATGTTCGTTGAAGGATGAGCGCCATCGTTATTGGAATATTCACATATTGTATCAGCCGTGTTATTTGATGGCGGATGTGGCCGACTGGCAAGCGAGTTGTTGGCGGCTACTGTGAGCGGTGCCGAAGTATCGCTGGTCTGTGTGTCCTTGACTCGTCGGGCTCTTTGCTTTCTGGCGCGCTGAGTATATGACCTTGTGCCATTCTGCCCATGAAGGGCCTCATCGGCTCCCACCCGCGTCTTGTACTGCGGTCGTCGTTGATAAGTACAAGTCAGGCCTGTCACAGTGCATGTTTCGCATGGCGTAGTTCTTTCGCACTGAGAGATACACATCAGCCCTGGATCGAGTTGCGCCGAGACTATTCCTACCTTCGTCTTACGCGCATAGCAGTGGTCGCACGCTCGTGGCTGAAGAACGCGTGACAGAGTCTGATCCAAGACGATCTGGAACTGGTCGCTCATCGCTCCCGCGACGTTGTTGCGAGGATTCGCAGCGTGGTGATGATTGATACCAATGCTTGTACGGTCATGTCACTTCAGAAGGAGGTTGAGGTGTTGTGAGTTTCATCGTCTCCGCACCGAGGGGCTTGGGGTTCCGAACTAACGGGGCATCGGCTCCGCGTATGGCTGAAACGCTTCGGTCGGGTCGGGTATTTCCCGGGGCTCGGATTATGCAATTACGATCAAGAGGCACTTCATTTGTCGACTAAGATTGTGGTCAATCAAGAGTCTGACTTGACAGAGACAGTTGAACTAGTCATCTCAAGAGAAAGAGATGGTGACAGCAGAGACCCATGGTTAGCCCGGGTTTAAGCCTAAGCTATTTACCCGGTCCAACCGGACGGGACTTTCTGAAGCATAGAATCATGACGTGGTTCCACGACAGTTCTTTTTTCAGAATCACTGGCCAGTAATGCTACAGCATTATCCCAGATGCGTTGCATCAATATTCGGGGCATTTATCTGCAGGATGTTCGCTGTCGCTCGCCGCGAGAAAGTGGCTGAGATTTCTATGTGGAACAATGATCGGCAACTGTCCGGCAAATGTCCCAAAAAGGCAATTTAGCGAGGATTGCCGACTCACATAGTGACGATGACTTACAGCCCGTCATCGCCTCAAGAGGGAAGGAAATGCCCATCTTGACATCGATTTTCTTTTCCCCTACTTTCACAACGATTCGAAGACGAGCGCAGAAAACGAAGCCATGTCATCTGCACAGTTTAACAACCCTCCATACGCGCAAACTCCCGAATCTTGCGGAAATTCAATATCAGAAGAGTCATGTGTGTACTCTCGATCCACCTCGGTCTCGGAACCCGACGACAGTTACATTTGCACTAAACAACGAGAATTATTCCAAAAGTGGCGACCGACTATTCATCTCATCGCACCGACGGGCTGGCTAAACGACCCTTGCGCCCCTGGATACGACCACATCAACGACTGCTATCACATCGGCTTCCAATGGAATCCGGAAAGCGCCGAATGGGGCAACATATGTTGGGGAGCAGCAACATCCCGCGATTTGCTGTCCTGGGATATTTCCCGCGAACCATCAATAGTTCCTTCTAAGGAGGAGGGCGAGGGTGGTGTTTTCACGGGTTGCCTTTCTCCAGTTGAACTTCATCCTGGAAAGTTGACGGCGTTCTACACCTCGGCCAAGATACTGCCGATTCATCACACATTACCTTACACACATGGCTCAGAAGGGCTTCATCTCGCGACTTCGTCCAACAGCGGCAAAACCTGGACTCGTTATGAGGCAAACCCGGTCTTACCTGGTCCCCCGTCCGATCTCAAGGTCACAGGATGGCGAGATCCCTTCGTCTCCGTGTGGCCTTCACTGGCTAGGACATTGGGTGACCCCGACAACACTCTGTACGGCATCGTTTCCGGCGGGCTCCTAGGCCAAGGACCGACGCCTTTCATCTATCGTTTGGATGAAGGGGACATTACGAACTGGGAGTTCCTGTCACCTCTCGTGTCCCTGCCACCGAATCATTCGCCATCCCCTTCATGGCCGACTGATAACGGCGTGAATTGGGAGGTCACGAATTTCCTTAGCCTCGAAGACCCCGACGACACAAGAACGCACGACTTTCTCATCATGGGGGTTGAAGGACGTTTACCCCAGGAGTGGAACAAAGGCCGGTCGGCGTTCAGTGTAGATCATGGCCAACTGTGGATGTGCGGCAAGCTGCAGGCTGACGACGGCAAACCGACGATGGATTACACCTACGGTGGATGTTTAGACCACGGGAGCTACTATGCCGGCAACTCTTTCTGGGACCCAAAAACCCAACAGCAAATCATCATCGGATGGATCATCGAGGAGGACCTCCCCGTTGAGCTGCGAAAACACCAGGGCTGGGCCGGACTCCTCTCTCTTCCACGGGCTCTGAAGCTCCAGAGATTAAGAGGTGTATCGCGGGCTCTTGTCACGCCACTGGAACAAATACCATCCATCCTATTGCGCCAGGATGGTATCCGAGGAAACGAGCCCACGTACGAGGTCACGACCCTCTGTGCCGTTCCCGACGATCGGTTGTCAAGGCTCAGGGGGTCTTTGATGTCCTTTTCCAGAGAAACTTCAGCAGAGCCAGATTCGATGCCGATATTTGAATTCTCCGCTGGATGCCCAGCTTTGGAGGTACTCGCAACGTTCGAAGTTGCTTCCTCGGTCCTGTCCGTCGGATTACGTTTCACGTTCGCAGGAAGTAAGTGCATACTGCTCCATGAGAAATACTGGAAAGAATTAGGCTTACCATGTCATTAGGCCACAATTGTAAAACAACTGTAATCTTCGACCCTTCGTCAGAGAGACTCAGAGTACAACGACATAATTCGACCATAGAAACAGATGTTGTGGTGGTGGATGAAGTGGCGCCGCATACTCTCTTCGAATTCGCCAATGATTCCGTTGGTGCAACATCACCAAGAGAATTGTTGTCTTTGCACATTGTATTCGACGTCAGCGTCATGGAAATCTTCGCCAACGATCGCACGGCTCTCACTACGCGTCTTTACGCCGATGTGCCGAAGGTTGTTGCAGTTGAGCCTTTTGTCATTGGCACGGATCCGACGAAAAACACTAATAACAGTGGATTGAGAGATTTTAAGTGCTGGGAGCTGAGTACTAGAACATGAATTTCAGTTGACTGAGACGGCATTGCATAGCGCGAGATGGTTAAGTTTTACGACGCATAGATGATAGATCATACGTATTACGATATAGCGTTCTTGGTATCCATTTGGTAACTTGCCCAACATGTTTCCCTTTAGGTTGTGTAAAAGGCACCCAGTGAATGATGAAACTTCGATCTCAGACTCAGTGCAGGCCGCCACGAATTCAACTTCGACTGCTATGGGGGTTTAGAAGAATGTCCCTGAGTTGGCTCAGCATCGTGAACAAGAAGGTCAGTGAACTTCTGTACAAGCCTCTCTGCTTGCGCCTCCGACGGATTCGTCACTGCTAAGTCCAGATCTACCACCAATGCTTCCGGAACTCGGTCCGATCTGTCATGATGCCGGCCGCGCTTCTCGAGGTCTTTCCTGATTGAGCTCGCTTCTTTGACCGTCATCACTCTCTTCTCAAGAGCCATGGTGAGCAAGCTCTGCGCAATGCCCTTGGATAGGCGAAAGCCGCTGTAAAGCGTCTGGTAGCTCGCCAGACAGAGACGGAAGTAGAAACGCCACTCCGGACTCTGCACGCCGGTGGTTGCCTCGCGCAGCATGGCGTTGGCGAGGTAGAGTAAGGCGGAATGCCAGAAGAGGCTGAACGACGACTCGGGGTATGTTTGGCGATAGAATAGGACGATTCGTTTCAGTTGATTTATGGACGCCGCGTGGACGGCTCTTGGAGTTGCTTCCTTTGAGTCGAATGACCTCATTCGCGCCCTGGAGGTGTCTTCCTGTCGGACCAGGGGCCGGAAGAGATCGAGGATAGCTAAATGATAGCATATGCTAACAACAGTTATTTTACCGTCTTCAAGGAGCCACCCTATAATGGGGAGTTACTCACTGGAGAAACATGGCATGATGTGTGCACTCGCTTCCCTGGGCTAGATTCAGCGGTAACTTATCCGCCCAGGCCAGAAATCGTTGATAGGTCTGCTCTGCGAAAGACAACGAAAAGGCCTTCGCGTAAGGTGTTTGCTTGGGCCCGTACATGAGCTGGACTATGTCATGTACTATGAGAAAGAATTTGCAATTTTCCTTGAACAGAGCGTTCAGGTATTGTCGACGCTCGTCTGCTTGGGAGAGATCTACGCCTGTTGGTGGTAGGCCTATTTCGGGTACGGGCAGGCGAGGGGGGTACTCGATCAGACGTTTGTGAATGTGCATAGACAAGAGCCTTTGGCCAAGAGCGGCTGGTTAGTCGGAACTCGGGAGAGTTGGGTAAGTCTGGGGGGTCACTTCTAGTCAACTTACGTCAGGGTGTTTAATAACGCCCAGGCAATTTGAGAACTTGCTTGCAATGACGCGGCATCTTGTACATCGGCCGTTGGCGCCTCAGCTGGGTCAATATTGAACAGTTGAAGCCTTTTGGCCATTGCAAATATCTCGTTGAGGCATTCTACGTATTCCGCTCCTGCCCCTAAGGAGACGGCGGTAATGGCAATGTATTCCAACGCAGCGAGAGTACATATGCCATCAGTTTTGGAGACCTTTTCTCTCTTCCATAGGCGCTTGGCCTCCTCGTAGAATGCATGTCCCACGATGGTGGCTTCGGGTTCAAATGCTGCATATCCCTGCTACGGCCAAGTTTAAGCTTAAAAGGAAACAAAAGCTACAGCAAACGCAATGATAGACTTACACAAGCCCAGCTAAAGAGGGCGCTTACGAGTAGCCGGGAACAGAACTGGTTTCTCTCCAGTAGGCCGTCGAGAAATACGTCGATATCGAACAGGGGCGTTAGGGGATGATCCGCCTCCAGGTATAATGATAATACTGTGACTGCGAACTCTGCGGTAACAGGTAAATTCGTCCATTTCGAGATGTCAAGTTCAAGCAACCTGTTGTCGTAGACAGGAGGCAGCTTCAAGGGGCCAGCGACTTTTAAGAGGTTTGCGTTGTTTTCTGAGTAGCGGTTCCCGAACGGTGAAACAGAGTGAGGATGAGATGAATCGGTGGGACTCGATGCACTACAGGGAATCAGCATATGTGACCTGGCACCAAGGGCGAAACTGAGGCTTCGGTACTGCACCCATAAAGCTCAAAATTGAAGGAAGAGGGAGACGGCCCCGAAAGAAGATGGGTATGCTCACACAAATGACCCAGCTTCGGCCCAACGAATCCTGCTCGGAAGCAGAAGATAATCCAAGTTCAGTTTGGAGACCTCAACCGGAGCTCACGCAGGATATGTGATGGGATGTCGCATCATGAGTTCGAATTCCAGCGATGAACGAGTGGGGGGCAATAACGCTCTGTTCAAGGCAATCTGAGAGGGCTCGAGTCCAAAGCCGGGAAGGCTGCGAAATCGAGAGCTGATTTCCGCAGGTTCTTCACCCTCCTTGAGTGCTCGGACCGCCTCTAAACCTTGATCATTTGTTGAGATTCTTAGAAGATCGAGCAAGGCTACATCGGTCTCTGCCTGATAATTGGTTTCATAGTCGACCAGGGAGGTACCAGTGGGTAGAGCATTCAAGACGGCCTGCGAGACAGGTTTGTAGATGCCTGGAGACCCTTTGCGGAGACACATTGAGCAGATGGGCTGGCCACCATTGCACTATCGAAATGTCAGCAATCCATCGAAACTGTGCACACAACTTCCAAAGCTGTCATCTGAAAAGGCGTGGTCTGACATGGGCGGAAAGACAGGGGGTGAACCATGCGAGGTACCATCCACCTTGATGCCCCTGAAGCAAGGCCATTGCCGCCACATCAACAGATGTGAGGAACCACAGAGAAAGCAACTTACTGCGCTCTTTCTTTGTCGACATCCTTCGCAAGCTTTGAGAACATATGGCCTCCTTCTCTTGCGGTCTTTCGACTCACCCGGCGTGGCAATGTTCGGTATCCCGGCGGGCCCCACCCGGTCACCCCCGGCCGTCGTCACTTGCTGAGGGGGCGCTGGCGGGGGTGCCGGCCGAATCGATCGGAAGTGCTGGTCAGTCGGCGGCATTCGTTGTAACCTGCCCTCAGAACCACATCCAAGCGACAAACTTTCGAGTGGACTGGGAGTTCCGCGTGATCAGAGCGAGTGTAATCGATATTGCCATTCACGGCAGGGCAAGAGAGCAGAGCGGCGGAGTTGCTTCCTCCGATTGTGATTGGCTTGTGTGGAACACATATGCGACATTCTGACGGCCGACGGGGCTTTTTGATGGAAGCATGGGCCATTCTTGGCTTGATATCGCCGGAGGGAGGTCCGGAGCCTCAGACGAATGCCATTGGCTTTTCGGCCCGGTGATATTTCCGGAGTTTACCGAGTCGGCACCGGTCTCCGGAGCCGAGTGGATCCACTCCGTAAAGAGAACCCCGCTTTGTTGGTCCAGTTTCACCAGCCACCGGCTTTCTGAGACCATCCAATTGTCATTCATTTCCTCCCTTCGACACCAAATGCATGTTTCCGTGCAAGTTTTCCAGGCAACTTCAACTTGACCTGAGAAGTCGTCTAATCGTTCCAATCTGTAATTATCTGAATGCGAGGAGCTCATATAATCTAGCCGGCTCTTCATTTCTCGTAACCGAGCTATCCGATAACTCTTGGCGGAAGCCAATGCAATCGTTGATCAGCGCGTCCAAGTGGACATGGGGTTTTTCCTGAAGCAGCAGGTGCTATTGCACAAGGCCGACGAGCAGGTTAGAGCCTCTTGGCACACAACATGTTCTTTCCCTCGCAGTGAACCGCAATGTGCCGCATCGAAGCAGGAACCAGGGGTATGGCAGGAGAAGGAGATAACGTTGGAGCGGGGAACGAACCATCATGAGGTCAGAGGACGAAGGTCCGTAGCAATTACCTGCTCTTTATCAACTGCACGCACGCTCATTCACACACCAGCAGGCTATCTTGTCTTCGCGTTCTCGTCCTCTTGTTGTTGACCTGTATCAGCGTCTGGTGGTGGACTCTCCGCGTATCGCCTGTCAAGTGTCGCAACATCGGTGACGAGATGAAGCTTGGTAAGGACCGCAACGGGCCTCAGGCCTTGCTGGCCGCGGCTCTCGGCGCGGTCATGCTCGACCCCGTCGCCGCCGTCTCTTGCAGCCCATACACGCCCTTCGAGCCAATTGACCCTCAGAACTGGGCGAATCCCGACAACATGACATGGGATGACTGGGTAAAGCCACCCGGCACGGACTGGTCGAACCCGGCTCGCAAGGGATCCAGCCGTAACTTCAACATCGCCCTCGTGGTTGTCGACTATCCCGATAGGAACTTCACGATCAGCCAGCCGGCGCATTCGACCATTTTCAATAATCCACAACCCGCAGCTGCCGACATTCCGCGTGAAAAGGTACCAAATTTTTATCGCGACCTTCTCAACACTCCAAATGAGCTGAACCAGGGCCACACGCTGCACGAGTACTGGATGGAGGACTCGGCTGGTCGTTTTGGCGTTGACCTGACCTCATTCGGTGCCTACCAACTTCCCCGCAACGGCTATCAGTATGGGGTGTCCGACGACATGAACCCCGGCGCGTGCCCAATTGGCGAGACCTGCGACCTCGACATCCGAACAGATGCGCTCTCAGCTTGGCGCAACGATGTCGGCAATGCGACTGCCGATGCCTTTGAGCTTGTTTTCATTCTCTCCGCTGGCCAAGACGAGTCTTCGACATGGCAAGAATTCGGCGAGATGAAGTTTGACGGTCCCGATGATGTCCCTGACGAGTTTGGCCCTCCAAAGACTGATAACACCTCCTTGCCCAACTGGGCTGCCACTCGCTACGTTCCTTGGACATCTTGGGCGGCAGCCTCGACACTTTGGCCTAATGCCGGTGGTGGTTCATCTACCCAGGGCGAGAGCTCCGGTATGGCGGTTTATGCCCACGAGTTGAGTCACTTGCTGGATATCGGCGACAACTACAACAATCCCTATGGCACCCCATTGCGCAGGGCTTACACGGGAATCTGGTCAATGATGTCCCGAGGCTCTTTCAACGGACCTGGTGGCCCGCATACTAGATGGCAGATTCCTGCAGTCCAAGGCGCTTCCATGGGCTCACTGCATACCCTTCGTGACAAGTTCCAGCTCGGACTGATCGAAAGGTCTGACATTCTCTGGCTGTCTCGCGAGGCATTGGCCACTTCGGGGGTTGCTGTCGCGCAGCTGACTGCTAGGTCTGTTGATCCAGGCGACGGCTTGATGGGAATCCGCATCATGATGGATGCCGATCGGTCACCAGCTTGTGACATCAACACCGAACCCTTGTGCGATGGTGGAAGCTGGGACAACTACGACATTGAGGTTGTCGACCGCATGGGAAGCGACAGCTTCACTCCCGATTCGGGCGTTTTGATAAGCAAATCCAAGAACGTCGACCGCCAACCTTTCCAGTGGGTTATTGACGCTCACCCTGAGGACATTGAGCTTGTCGACTTCTACCGGCCCAATGGCTCAGTGGCGATGATCACCATGGGCGACTACCGCCAACTCGCAGACGCGCTGTTCCACGCAGGAACCAACTCTGGAAGCGAGTTCGAGTTCATCGACGAGGCCAATGATCTTCATTTCTACATCATTGACCGCCACCGCAACGACGATGGTATTCTTTCGTATACCGTTGCAGTCCGTTCCATCGGAGGAGAGGGTGGCGCAAGCCTCCACGATGTGTCCCTTGAGGACGGCCTGGTGACCGATCTGAAGCAGAACGCGCCAACTGGTCAAGGCGTGACTTGCTCGTTCCAGCTCACCAACCGTGGTTCATACGTGGCCATCGATCCAAACGAGGCTCAACACCCCGAGGACGTCTCAGCGTTCCTTGAGTCCGACGTTTACCGGCTGAGCGCCGAGGTGGATGGCGCTGGATGGCGTATTGAAGTTCCCAACGCTCTCCTCACCGCGAAGTTCGGCGAGGTCAAAACGGCGCGCGTGTCGGTAGGCGCCAGTGCTGAAGCGGCTGATTCTGCTGTGGTGACTCTCAAAGTGACCTCCGAATCTGACCCGTCGGTTGTTGCATCCGCTCAATGCAATGTGGTCAAGTCATGAGTCAGCCTGTACCGCACTTCTTTTGCCCTCGGGGCAGCATTGTGTAAATATTCTTCTGAGGCAGTAGTAATAAGCATAATTGGTATCAGTCCTTGCTGCCGTCCACGTTCAATTGGACTTCAGAGGGATAACGCATGTAGGTTAAGCCGACCTTAAGCGTGTCGGCGGGGACGGTCTCTTCCGCTGTGGCCCCGGTTAGGGCTGATGAGCCCACTGCAAAACCCCAATCTCCAGATCTCATAAGATCAATTCGCCCAGATCGTCTAGTTGGTTAGGATGATACGTTGTGGTCTTGTTACGCAACAGTTCCGTGTTGACGGCGGTTCGAATTCGCCTCTGGGCAATTGGAAATATTCCATGGTCTTCACTTTTGTCTTTTGATGTGTGTCTGCTCGTTGCCTGCGCGGCCAGGTGTCCAAGAGCCCAGACATCAGCATAGACGCCTCTGGTAACGCTTGTTATAACATTTTTGAGAACTCTGCTGAAGTCTCATGACACAGAAGTTGAAACTAAGGATAAGTATTGCCGGGCGAAGCTGCAGTTGTCAATATCAAATTTGAGCCGCAAGAAGTGAAATGCCACCGGGCCATCCCCGACGGCCCCCACCACATGCGGCCATGATCAGACGCTGATGTCGTGCATTTTGGCAGTGTGGTGTGTAAGACTATCGGCAAAAAGCTGATTCGCAGGCACATTTGGGTTCGGGATGACGTGCGCTTCCTTCAGGCTCGCGCCATTCCCCGCGCGGCCGGGGTTCGGCGCCGGCTACGGAGGTGCCTGGTGCCGGTTACCAGTCGAACGCAAAAGCAACTGATATCATGCCCTCCCGGGGGTTGGAAATCTGTAGGACGAGGAAGATTCACACGGCAACATTGCCATTCTCGCATCTGCCGCGAGTTCACCATGTCCCCGTCACAAAGTTTCACCGAGATTCCCCGCATAGACCTCTCTCTCGCCTCCAACCCCGCCACCGAGACCGTTCTCCTGGATCAGCTTCGGCACGCGCTCACCAACGTCGGTTTCCTCTACGTTATCAACCACGGGGTACCTGAAAAGGTCATATCGGATGTCGTCGAAGCTCTTCCAACACTCTTCGCGTTACCTACCGAAGCGAAAGATGAGATTTCACTGAGGAACTCGCCTCACTTTTTGGGGTATAGTGGAGATGGCTCGGAGACTACGGCGGGGAAGAGCGATCGAAGAGAGCAGATTGAGTTCGCGACTGAGCTGGAAGATGGATGGAAGGAAGGCTTGCCTCTGAGAGAACGCCTGAGGGGACCTAACCAGGTAACTAGCGACAATCTTAAGTATGATTTCCCAACTAATTACAGGAGAAGTGGCCTTCCGCTTACCCTGAACTTCGCCCAGTCATCGAAACTTACATCTCAGAGCTCAGCCTTCTCGGGGAGCGTTTTCTCAGGCTGGTTGCTAAAGCTTTGTCACTGCCTGACGCAACCTTCCTCCCCTTCTTGTCTGACCAGCATCGGCTCAAGCTTGTTCATTATCCCGCTTTACCAGAAAACGAAGCTGGAAGTCAGGGTGTAGGACCGCATAAAGATTCATCAGGCTGGTGGACATTCTTACTGCAGGCTTCGCCGCCACATATCAAAGGTCTACAGGCGCTGAACAAGACTGGAGACTGGATCGACGTACCAGTATTACCCGGGTCCTTTGTGGTGAACATTGGACAAGCATTTGAAGTCGTTACGAATGGTGTGTGTAAGGCGACAACGCACCGCGTACTCTCGGGGTCTTTGGAACGTTTCAGTGTCCCATTCTTCCAGGGCGTGAGGAGGGACTTGACGAAAGAAGAGGCGGTCGGGACGTTGAGAGAGCATTTTGAAAAGCCCCAGATCAGAGGGTTAGCGTTAGAGTCCGAAGAAGGCAGGGAGATCGATTCAGCCTTCTTGAAAGGGAAGTACGACACGTGGGGTGAGAACCAGCTGAGGACCAAGATCCGAAGTCATCGAGATATTGGCAGGAAGTTCTATGGTGACGTTTTTGAGAAGTATGTCAACGACGACCAATGAGAGATACCACGCCACTATTTTACAGTGGGAGTAAACACGATTGATTGGGAACTAGTCGTAATATTTGGCCTTAACACCCTTGACAATCTCCTGCTCCGATATCTCGCTCCTCGCCTGCTTGTTCTTGTTTACGCCTGCCCGCACTCTAGCCTTGACCCACTCACCTGCTGTGATGCCGGCCAACTCGGAGTTGGCGTTTGAGTTGTATCCCAGCCGTTCCAAGACTTTACTTTGCACCGGCCTGAGTTCGAGGCTGTCTTCGGGGCGGACAAAGTACAAGACACCCAGGCGGTCAATGCCGGCCTGGTCTGGTGGTGGGACGACGACACGATGGATGCTGCTTTTGAGGAAGCCGTTGCTGAGAAACTCCAAAGCGTCGGCCACATTCACTGTGATACTTCCATCATACGGTTTCACCCTGCACAAGCTTCGTCAGCACATCAAGTGGAATTTGGGCGGTTGAAACGCCGTCATTAGAACTTACCACTTCCAATTCCCGTCGTTTCCTCGAACTTGCAGTGCGGCAACTGGCTGACGGAAGAGCAAAGTCAAACTCCCAAAGTCCGTGTGTCCCTTGACCCAGACGTTCTCGAGCTTGGCGTTCGTCTCATCATCTCGTGCATGGTACTTCATGTATCTGAGATGGCATTCTGAAAGGGCTTCGTCGTACCGATGGCGCGCGGAGAAGTAGTCCTCTGGGAGCTCCAAGATGATGGCGAAGAGAGTGAGAAGCTTGTGGACGATGTTGTCGTGGATGTGACGAGCAAAGTGCTCAATCTCCTCTTTGTTCTGGTTGATGACCTCAGGCTGCGGACGTTCGAAAGCCGGAATGAACTTTGGGATGTTGAAGATCTCCGTGTTATCGAAAATGCCGGGGCGAACTTCCTATAAAGATGTAAGTGAAAGTAGTTGAATGTATTAAAGATCCAACCAACCCTCAGTCCGAGCGGCTTATAACCGTTGTACCCTCCATTCTCGAGGTCAGCTCGATACTTGAGCTTTTCCTCTGTGGGCAACTCAAACACCGACTTTCCGATTGAGAACTGGCGGTCGACCTCTTCTTGGCTTAGACCGAAGTTTACTATGTAGAAGAAGCCGATATTCTGAATCGCATCGAAGAGTTGCTTCGCCAGACCCTCCTTACCGCCTGGTTGATCGAACTTGGACAAGTCGAGAGTTACAAGGTCCGCCCACTCAACTGCAAGGCAGGTAAGCAATCAAATCAAGTGAACAGATTTAGAAATAATTATCACACTAACGCTCATGCTTTGTCTCTGGAACCTGTTGATAGACAGGCAAGACACTTTTGTGGCTGTGCGTTGGCGCTGATTGAACTGCTGCTGCCATCTCGAAGTTCGCGATTGCTGGACTAGGATGGCCGTGTAAGACTTGAGTGAGCTCTCGGAATATCTACTTCACTTGATTCGCCGCAATCACAACTTCATAACTCCACAAGGCTCCTAGTTGAATTGTTCACTATTTAATGTTTGCTAGACTTGTGTCTCCGGGTTCGGCCCGTCATCGTGGGAGTGGTGTGCACAGGGGTACGGCAACCGCATCTCGTCATCGCGGGGTTCGATGGCGAATGCAAGGATTGGTGTCGGATGTCGTCCGCTCAGTACTCTGAACCCTTCTTGATGGCCCAAATACAAGTTCATGATTTCTTTCCCCTGAAAGAACCCCCACGAGAGGATTCTTAGTATGGAAATAGAGGAGTTATCGCGGAGTTCTAGTCTTGTCCGAGTACCAGCGGTACCGCTCAGAGTGCAACATCCACCCCATGCAAGACTGGCAATAGCGAATGAGATTCACTTCAGCTTATTCAATCGCGATTCTAGCATCGAATGACATGATCAGAAGTCGCATGCATCCCCGGCTTGTGTCCGTGAGACGACGTTGTCTTTGAGATGATGCGTTGCTTGGCACGCCGTTGATCGGTGAAATCTTCGATTTCCCTAGAAATGCAACCAAACGAAGTCTTCTTTGATTCAAGACCATCTGCTCAGAATTTCGATTCTGCTCTCAACTGGTCCAGACAGCCAATTGACTCGAGATGGCAGACACGAAAGACATATCGACGCCGGCGCAGTCGTTGGCTGATCACGGCGAGCCCAGCAAAGCGGACGGCTTGACATTCGCCCGACGCGGCGAACAAGTTGACGAAACGACGGCAGCAGGAGATGTCTCGGGCTTCGACGCAGAGCGTATGCGAGCTCGGTCACTTCTCACTGCCGAGGAGGAGAAATCACTCATGAGACGAGTCGACATCAGGATCATGACAATCTGCTCGCTGTTGTTCTTGATGAAGAATATCGATGCCGACAACATTTCCAATGCAAGAATCATGAACAAGGGAACTTCAAGGAACATCATGACGCAGCTTAACATGACCTCGGATGAGTACAACTTGCTCAATGTTCTGTACTATGTAAGATATGCGTGGACGGACCCAGAAGAGAGTTCAACTGACTGTGAAAGGTTCCGTACATCGTCCTCGAAGCACCTTCTAACCTTCTACTCAAACGATTCCGGCCCAGTGCATGGCAGTCGCGCATCATGATTTCCTGGGGTATCGCGCTGCTGTGTCACGTTCCAGTTTCCAACAAGGGCGGTATCTATGCTACTCGATTCATTCTCGGAGCGGTACGTGGCTCTAGGTGTGTGTTGACTTGGGTGCGAGAAGCTGACATTGAGCAGTTCGAAGCTGGCATGTTTCCAGGAGTAATTCTCCAGATGACCTACTGGTACAGACCCGACGAGATGTCTATTCGCCTGCTTTACTTTTGTGAGTGACTTTGGTGACGATTGAGAAACAGCGAGGACTGACCAGAACCATAGATGTCCTCGGAAACTTGTCTGGTATCTTTAGTGGTATTCTTGCGTTTGCATTCGATACAGTATCCGGGTCTAGAGGACTCTCTGGATGGCAATGGTATGTCGGAATGAAACAGTGAGATGAGGACTTCTAATAGCGACTAACCCTTCCATGTATAGGCTTTTCCTGGTTGAGGGACTCGTTACAATTGTCCTGGGCGTTGCCGTCTATTATTTGCTTCCAGATTGTGCGTTGTTCCCTATCCTATCCTGACATCCGACTGAACAGAGACTCATATTCATTAGTTCCACCGACCGCTAAGTGGTTGACCGAGAAGGAGAGGGCCTTCATCCAAGCTCGTCTACCAGCCAACGCCCCGCGAGCCGAGGAGATGAACTTCAACTGGAGCGAGATTGTGGACTCATTGAAAGATCGCCGGCTGTGGCTTTTCACTCTCATCTGGGCAACCTTCACCGTCGGCACTTCCGGTGTCCGCTTCTACCAACCGACCGTCATCGCGAACCTGGGCTTCACCACAATTGCCAGAGCGCAGCTTCTCAACCTCCCGATTTCTATCCTCGCCATTTTCGTTATCGGAGTTACTGGTTTCTTCGCCGACAAGGGCCTCATACCTCGTCCGCTGTACCCTCTAGGCGTCTTCGCCGTCATCATGGCCTGTTACGGCGTGCTCGTTGCTTATCCGTCTAATGGCGCCGTCTATGCCGCCACCCTCATCGGCAACGCCTTCACCGCCGCGTTCTTCCCATTGATGTGGCCGTGGCGCGTTCAGACAACCTCTCGAGCGACGGGGTCAGCCTTCAGTATTGGATTTGTCAACAGTTACGGCCAGATCGGTGGTGCCATCGGTCCCCAAATATTCCGGTCTAAGTATGCTCCGCGCTACCAGACAAGTTTTGCATCTGCGATGGCCTTGGTTGGCTGTTGTGCAATCACTACGTGCATCACCTGGTGGGTGACAAGGAAGACCGAGTCTGATACCCGTAGGCTTAAGCGGGCGAGAGTTCGCGCTGAAAGAGAAGGTCTCGCCGTGTTGGACGACGTTGTAGATCGCGACTTGAACAAGAAACGCAGCGACGATGAAGAGAGCGCATGAATAGTAAACCTTAAGATAGAATCTGAGAGTTCGAATGTCCGGGACGCTTTCCCAACGTCTTTTGTACAATGCCTTTTTATCTCGAAAATCACAATCTCCTCGCCGTTCGTAGAGTTTAATAAGCTACATGTATAGATTTACACTGCGGAATGGCAAGACTGCGGTACCACGAGGACTGATGTTGATGTCTCCGTACCAGACACGACAGAATTTTCCCTCTCCTTTTGTGTTTTTGTTGACTGTAATGTCACCATTTCTGTCTCATAGACAACGTTTCGGCCAGCTTTCGACTCGATAGGCTGAACTGCCCGTTTTCCGAATATTGTTCTCCATAAGTGACCAGCATTGGGCATGCAGGCGGCAAAAACGCCAACACAGAGCTCAGTGAAGGTCCATACGTAGACCCAGAGGGACTCAGCTAGGGCGAGCTTGGTTAGCTGCGTTAGATTGACGACAGGAGATTGCCAACTTACAGGTCACATTGCTGGATTTTGTGAAGTGCAGCATTGTAGAGATTCGTATAGCGCTGACAGCAGTGATACTGATAAAGATCGTGAGCCCAATCCTGACCAGCAGCACAGGTTTCCAGAGAGGAAAACACTTACAAAAGGCCAACGCTGAACATTAGCATAACTCCAATCTTCTTTCGCAGAATGAGGTTCAGCCCATACAACTGAGTGAGTGGGAGAATGAGCATCCAGACATCTAGTACGATGTTGATGAAGGCATGCGTCACGATGAGCTTGTTAAAGTCAAAGCAGACGTTGCTATGGTCCGTGTTCCACCCCAACCAGTACAGGGAAAGGGGGCGGCACATCGTGAATGTAAGAACGACGTAGACCAATCCGACAAGGAAGTTAAATCCTTGAGTCGCCCAGAGAAGCTTTCGAAACCCGCCTGGAGGAAATATGCGAAGGAAGAAGAAGAGTATCGATGCTTTGATGGCCATGAGTCCAGTCAGATACAACACCTGCGTTGCAAAAAGCATCTTCAAATTTGAATGCCTGTTAGCATTGCATCAATTTGGTTTGGTAGGAAAGAGTCTCTTGGCATATGCTCACCTTCAAGAATTCTGTCATTCCACTTGGCTCGACATTCCAAATCGCGTCTCCGAGTCCAATATTCAATGCTTGAGAATTCATTAGCTCCATACGTCTCTTGGGTCCTAGAATGCCCTACATCGATAGATAATCGGTACCAACGGTATTGTACAAGCCTGCTCACTCCATGTTAGTACTGAACTGTGACAAATACGTTGGAGCGCACGGAAACGCTAGCCTTACATATCCGACCATCGCAGCTGTATCATCCGAGCCCCAATACGTCCGATTTAAGGCTTTATTGACCAGTCTGATAATGATGAATGCCGTGGGTAATACGAATAATATCCCTGTGAGGAATCGAGGAAGCGCTCTGTCGTCGGAAACGGCGACATGACAGCTATTTGCCGAAATCTTTGCCAATTCTACACAGAACTCAGCACAAATTCAAGCTCTGATTTTTCAGTCTTCCTCACGTATGCGTTCCAGGGTTGTACAATTGGTCTTCACGCACGGCGTTACGACACTCGCAAAGTTCGTGTCTTCGCAGAGACATGACGGTTCGAGGTCTCGGCAGATCGTTGATGGCAGGGCCTCGATAAAGCAGCGAACCTGAATGACATAAGGTCAATGTTGGAAAACATGAAATACGTGTATGTTACTTACTGCACACTCAGGATATGGAAGGTCTGACAAACCAGCAGACGCTATGCGCGCGATGGCCACCAAAGTCGCGACGAAGCTTGACGGCTTCATGACTTCAAGCTTTCCTTGACCATACAACCAGGAATTGGATGGAGTGACGATGAATCTCGGACTGAAAGAGCTCAAAAATGAGTAAAAGCTTGCAGCGCTAGGATGAAGAGCGGCAAAGGTGACATAGGCTGCACTGTCTCATCGGCTTGCCCGATAACAGACGCGGCCCGAAAGTATTGGCGTACCGGTAGAGCAAAGGCCGGCTTGGTAGTAAACAAAGACATATTGGGATTGTAGATTCGGCTCCTGTCATCCTCGAGTGGAAATCTCGACGCAACAACGTCCGTTTGCGGTTGAACCGAGTCGGTGGCTGCGGGCAATGCACCGATAGCCAATGAAGGTAAGAACGGCATGAGAGAAAATTCGCTAAGGAGGCCCAGAGCTGTGATAGAGATTCCGGAAACGAACTTTAGACCAATGCGGAGAAAACCTGGAGTATGGAATCCGGACTTTGGAAATGTCTCAGATTGTCTTACTCAGTCTCGGTAATCGTCAGCTAACAAGTGAGGTATGGTCACCACTGATGTCTTAGGTGCTCAAGGGTCTTACTCATGTGTCTTGTTTTGGTGTTTGAAGAGAAAGCTAGCATAATCCAACCGCGCCGGGATAATTGAGGCCGCTCATGAGAGCTCGCATCGCAATGAACACCTTCAAAATACTCAACCAGTGGATAGTCTTTCAGATCAACCACCCTCTGCAAGGTAACCTCCACAATAGAGTCGAATATCAGGACATATTTAGTTATAATGAGATCCTGAATTCAATTCGGGGCTCAGATTTTAAGCGTCGGGTCGGCCGGATAGAGGCGCGTTGATGCTTTGTTGCCGAGCAGGTGTATGAGACCTTTGATGTGCATTGGATGGGGAATTCGGCTGATATTCACACATTTCACGCCTAACCCATATTTCTAATCCATAGTTATTCGAAATCCTTTATATTTACCCGAAGGTTTAAATGGCGGTAACTAGCAACCTCTTGGCTGCGAAAAAGCTATGAGACATCCCGTCAGGGCTGTTAAGTTGTTTTAATCAGATCGGCAGCCTTCTCAGCCACGGCGTAAACGGTAGCTTGCAAGTGGCAAGCCGGGATCAAGGGGATGACGCTGGCGTCCACCACTCTCAAGCCCTCAAGACCGTAGACACGAAGATTCGGATCGACGACTCCTCCATGTTCAAGGGGTAGTAAACTCGTTGTGCCACTCGGGTGGGCGAACGAGGCGAACAAGGAGTTTCTCACGGCTTCTGCGATGTCGGCATCATTGGTGATATTGGCTCCGGGCGCAATCTCGACAGGCTCGCGAATGGAGAGGGCCTCACTGCCCATGAACTTCCGCATGGCTTTGACACTCAGAACGAGAATCTCCAGGTCGACGGGATTCTGAAGAGTACCAAAATCTATGACCGGCGCCGCCGCTGGATCAGGATTGGTACTGTTGATGGTGACAGTGCCGCGAGAAACAGGTTTCTGGAAGGCAATTCCAGCACCCGCAAAGCCGCCGAAGGGAATCTCCAACACGCCAGCCTCTGGGTTGCGGAAAAGCTTAGCCAAAGTCTTCCGCTGGGCAAGGAAGCCTTCGAGAAGCTCTGGGTGCTCAGTGTAAATCTTTGGCAGGTAGTCCTCGGCCTTCTGAGCCTCTATAGTTGATGTCAGGTTCTCGTACTCGGGAGTCAGGTCCTGAAGTGAAAGGAAGACGATGTTATTGCCACGAGCGTGAGTAAATGGGCCGGTACGATTGGCGAAGTACTCTGCCTCCGAGGCATTGAAGAAGACAGGGTCATTCATAGCCTCATTTCCCAGCTCAGGAGGGTTTCCATCTAGGAGAAGGTCAGAATGTATCGTGATGGCTGGCATGGGTGTACCAAGCCCAGGGAATGAAATAGACTTACATGAGTACAGTACCAACATCCAGGGGTGATCCTGGTAGTTCGCACCAACACCTGGAAGGTCGGCAACGACGTCAATGTCGAGAGACTTCAGCAGTGCCGCCGGGCCCACGCCGCTCTGCTGGAGTATTCTTGGTGTTTGAACGCCTCCAGCAGCTAGAAGAACCTCTTTCTTAGCCTTAATCAAAGAGGATTCGCCGCTCTCGCGGGAGATGACGTTGACACCAACAGCTTTCTTGCCTTCAAACTCGACCTTGGAAGCGAAGTGCTTGATAAGCAAATTGAGGTTGCTGCGGCTCTCAGCTACAGGATCGTAGTACCCTGATCGCGAAGTGGAACGAGTCACGTTTTTGGCTTCGTGGTTTTGAGGAAGCTGTGCCACACCGACGTTGTTGCCGCCAGCGCCGTGGTCTTCCAGAACTGGAACACCTAGTTCTTCGATCCAGGCCTTCCTCTGTAAGTCTGTAGACCCGCCATTAGCTTCTTGTCGAGCTTAGACGACTTTGGAGTGAGCGAAATACCTCTGTCCGGCCACTGCCAAGATGGAAATCCAACCTGAATAGGACCATCGCCGTATGTGCTCGGGTCGTAAGAGAAGTTGTACTTTTCGACGTATTCTTGAGCGGGAAGATGGAAGGTGGTAGACTGAAGCATGGTGTCAGCTGATGGTCTTCATTCGGTATCCGGAGCTCAACTACCTTCTTGAAGTAGTGGAAGAGGCTCTCCCAATCCCATCCTGGATTTCCAAGCTCGGCCCAGGCGTCATAGTCAGCTTTCGAGCCCCTGTCGAAAGCCATCCCGTTGACGACAGTACCGCCTCCAACTACGGTACCGGTCTGCACACCAGACGTTCTGTTGTTGAGACCAGGCTGTGGGATGGAAACTAGCTGCTTCATACTGTTGGGGTGGGTGTTGGAAGCGTAGTAGGGGATAGCGACATCCCAAGAGTTGTCGAACTCTCCATACTCGACGACGAGAACAGAGGCTATCGCCCAAACCGTCAGTCAATCTCAAGCCCGAGATCAAATAACCTCGGAGTGCCTACCGTCGGGATCCTCGGTCAGGCGATTGGCGACGACCAGACCGCTCAGCCCACCACCTACAATAACGTAGTCAAAGGTATCTGCAAGCTCCGCCGCACTGCGCTTAGCGAATTTAGCAGTATTCGAGGCGGCCAATATTGGCTGGCTGAACACGAGAGCAAGCAGCGCCGCTATCTTGAGACCCCGAACGACGTCCATGATTGTCGAGTAGGCCGAGCCGGTTATGGTGAACTCTGGCCGAGAGAACGTGAGGAACGAGAAGAGCGGATGTCTGTGGAAAATAGGACCACGTCGCTGGTTAAGAGCGATCGAGGAGTGGGGCAGTTCTTACAACCTTGATCATCCGTCCGCCCTCAGAGACATCAAACGAACATTGTTCACGGAGTGCTTCCGAATGCCGAATCGCCTCATTATTCCTCGGCGTGCGCAAGCACAACGGAACTGCCGGTTCTTATTCGATTGACCAATCCACGGGATCATTGCGTATCACACGCCAGAAAGATAGCAGAATTCAGTGCCGGGCCTAGCTGTGAAGATGGCAGACCGTCCGATCGTTAACGCAGAGAAGGTTGTTGTCCCGTCCCATCAAGCCTTCTCATAGGGCTGCTCGGATATGTTGTACGGGGCCCCTGTCGAGACCCTTGTTGTCAACCCCGGAAGGCACATGAAGACACAGGGACGGGAGGGTCTAGCCGGCCAGTGGGACGAGTCTACGCCGTTTAGGCAGCTAGATTTTAAGAAAACATAGGCGATGTTACGGTGTGTTTACCACTAGGTTGGATGTTGTAAGCACTAAACATATTGATACCCATAAAACTGCTGTTGTCTTGGAGAGTGGAGGCAAGTGCCAGGAATTGGAAGGAAAGTTCCATATGAAGACATCTTTCCAATTGCAGCAGCGGCCAAAATTGGTAATATTTTGCGTTTCAAAGGGATACACGGAATGCACCCGAGAGACAGTAAAGTGACAGAACCAAATCTAAAAGGGGAGGCTAGGACAATGGATGAGTTTGATGTTCGGGTGGCAAGAACTGGAACTTGTGTTGGAAAAAAAGAGACGATATATTGCGAATTTGTTACGAAAAAAACGAAACAAGTTCTGCCTCACATATTGGCATCCAGTAGAAGCTCTCAAGTGCAGATTTGAGGGCTTGGTTGATGCCACAACGGTTCAGTCAGAATTGGTTATGTGTATGTTTACCATAGCTCAACTTGCGACTTACGGAAAAAACACAGGATATTACGGGGTCGTAACGTTTCATTTGACGCGACTACATGCTCAAAATTCCTCTCTCTATAAGAAAGCTGTGTTCAAAAGTTAAATCTTCGTGATCTTGAACCCACCAGGACACTTGGTCTGGAAGACGCCCTTAGGATCATACTTGAGCGCCGCTGCTCGAATCTTGTCCACATTCTCCTGCCCGTAAGTTTGCAACGGATTCTGCGATTTGTCCGAGTAGTTCAGATAAAGCCAGTCTTTCCATACACCAATAGACTTGGCATATTCGATGAGGCTGTCGTACCAATCCTGTAGTACCCCGGATGCGAACTCCACGTGCTGTTCGTCTTTCACGTTGGCCGCCCCCAAGAATGAGATGCAGTTGCCACCCAGATTCTCCACGCCCAAGACGTTTCCTCCCCTATCCTGGCCCCTCTTCGCATAGAGAGTCGGCAGTGCTTGTGCGAAGCAGATGGTGTTGAAGCCGTCGTCTGGTATTCTTTCCCTCAACCTTGCAACGAAGTCCCTGTGGGTTTCAACGAGCTTATGCAGAATTCGTGCATCATTGCTGAACGTGGCAGACCGCCAGAGATTACTGCAACCGCAGTTAGTTTTGCCCCAGTAAAAGAATATTTCGCAATATTCGTGACTTACTAGAGCTTCTCGGGCGATTCCATGTGAAGGGCGAATTCGGTGACGCCTCTGCTCTCGACGGTGCTAACCATTGCCGGAACTTCCAAAACATCAGCCAATGCTGGAGGATCAACGACACCCTTCGTGTTGGACATCATGACGGTGAGAATAACGTCTTTGAATCTAGGTTCCCATGCCCAAACTAGACCGTAGGAAGAGTCCGCCTTCTCCTCAATTGTGTCGATATAATCAACGAAGTACTCAATATGCTTCGGACTAGTCGATACATGGCAAATATTCACCCCGCCCCAAACTTGAGTTTCTGGGAAAGTCTCCAAATCGAAACGCGTGACTATGCCGAAGTTGCAGGAGCCACCCTTCAAGGCGGTGAACAGATCGGAGTTCTCATGGCTGTTTGCTTGGATTATGCGACCGTCAGCAAGAACGACCTCGAACTGAACCACTGTATCGCAGCCGAAGCCGGATCGAGGTATGAGCCAGGAGAAGCCGCCACCGCATAGGAAGCCGCCGACGCCAACAGCGCCCTCGCGGCCTCCGCTCACGGTGACTCCATTGTCCTCGGCTTTCCGATACACATCTCTCCACCTACAGCCAGCCTGTACTTTGACGACCTTCTTTTCCCGGTCGTATTCGATGCCGTTGAGTTTCCCAAGATCGATGACAATGCCATTATCGCAGTTGCTCGAGCCAGGCCAAACGCAGTGCCCGCCGCTTCGAACAGCGAATATACAACCTTCGACTTTGGCCAGCACGGCAACCGCTTTGGAGACCTCCTCCGTCGTAGTCGGTTGAACCACGCAGTAAGGTGTGAGTTGAGCAGTAAGGGACCAATGCGGGGTCACCACTTCGTGATATCGAGATTCTTGAGGGTAGACCAGTTGCTCGCCCAGTCCGACTTCCTTCAGTCTCGAGGCCTAAACACGTTATTAGGAAGGTAAGTTGTGTAGGACGACGAATTTCCGGATGGTTCGTGAGAAGCAAACGCTCAGCCTCAATCAGTCCATCCGAACTCCATGTACAGGAAGACAGGGTTTGAGTTGAAGATCGCATGATGAGGTATGACTCAGAATGTACAGAAGCACTTACAGCGGCGATGGCACTTTTCTCCATGTTAAAGATTTTAACTCCCTTTTCAGAACAGTAAGTTCTTTGCTTGTCGTTTGCTTGTCGTTTGTTGTGTTGTGAGACGATACGGGAGAATGAAAAAGGGGAGGGCCGGCCATTTGAATTGGTGAGAGATGCGGCGCAACCTCGACGTCCATAGAAATTGCGGGCGCGGTTAGCATGTGTTGGTTGTCATATCAAGGATGTCGCGCAAGTTTGTCACTTCCCCACTATCATGGTGCATGAACGGGTGAATCGCACAAACATCGTGGCGATGTGGTGTACCAACGGCTCGCGGCTCCAATTACAACGAGCCACCCGCTCATATCATTTCGCATGCAGAGTGCTGGGTCTGTAGCACTACGAAAATTTGGCTTATCGTGCCGTTCTGGTCTCAGTAAGCGTAGAAGATACCAATTCCTCACGGCATGCTAGAGCTTGAGGGAAAGAGCTGAGACCCGTGCCTGCATTATCAAGCACTGACAGACTCATATCTCCTAGTGCCTAGTGAAGATACGCTGCGACATCTTGGGATGGGCTCTATGCATTGGCGGCAAAACGGCAGCCTTCAATTTCAGCGGCGGTCAGTGTTCCACGTAGCCAGGGTGGAAACAGTTATTGCTCTGGCGTTTCCAATTGTAGTCAACAGAACCAGCCGGGGTGTTCACTGAGGCAGGCGTGGTATTTTGTTGGTGGTCAGTGGCTGATGCTTATCAGAACTCAACCAACGAACTTGGAGATGGGGCCTGCCTCTATACCCTGCTTCTATCATTCATTAGCGTCATGGTTTAGAAAGCATCGTTGACATGGGCAGAGCAGAGCTAAAGTAAGTGCTTCGGTCAGATGTGTTTGGAGGTGAATAGTGGAGGTTTAAAGCCTAACTCCAGCTGTCATTCCATAACGCGAGTCTAACTTAGTATATTAGTAATTCATCGAAGTTCAAGCAAGCTCAGTTTGTTTGCAGCCTTTCGTACATCCTAGTACGACCGTATCGGCTGGTGAGGATGTCAAATGAACAACACACATCGTCAACTGCGTACTCAGACCGGATGAAAGAAACGCTGGAGTCGGAAGTTTTAGTTTGGAGATCCACACTACACGTATAGGTCCCGTAACATATGCAAATGCGAGGCGATGATCGATTGAATTTATAATGACTTCTGATATGTACGTCGACAATAAGGGAAAGGCGGGTTACACTGCAAGATCATCGATCGCAACACTCGCACTAGGATAATTGTCAGATCATATTCGGGCTTAGAAGTTCATGAAGTTCCCATTTAAGACTTACAATGACAGAGCCACCGTCGCTACCGGGAGTCGCGGCCTGGGAGCACTGAGCAGCGCTCTGCTGCTCGGTCGTGGCGCAAGGGAAAGCGCCAGGCTTCGAGATCGCATCGCACACGGATTGGGGAGACTAATAGGTTGAAATAATCAGCGACGAAACACTTATAATTTTAATCCTCGTAGGCTTACACAGTCGGTGCTTCTGGTTCTGCAAGCAGCGAAGGCCGTCTGCGCCAGGCAGAGGGACAGAAGGGTAAGAACGGAGAAAGACTTCATCTTGATTATTTGCAAGATTTTGTTGATGACTTTCGTTGGAATAAGTTGCAATGGCAGCTGTAGATGATGCAAGACTTGTTGAATGAAGGTCAAGTTTGTTCTCCTTTATATCCAGACAGCCGGTAACGGCATCCCGCTGGCATCCCGCATGACTTGCGGGATGCTCCACGATACCCACCCCGAAACTGTCGGGGAGCATAGCATTACAGGGGGGCTTTTGGCAAGCGGAAACAGTGATCTTCGTAAATAGAAGCATGAACCCGAATGCTGCGACATCACCGCTCCTTTTCAAGACCTCCAGTTGGTCGTGCGAAAGCCCACCTGCTTGACGTCAGCCTATGAGACATACGTAGTCCTTGTAAGTTCGTCTCAACGTGTGGAGAGTTGTGAATTTGCGCAGAAAGTATAAATCTCGAGACGAGCTGGAAGTGGTAAAAGAGCTGCAGTTCAGACCACTGGCCCGAGTCAGGCTCGGTCAGCCGGCGGCAACCCTTCCGCCCAGGTTAGACGGATCCAATTGACTTGGCGCCAGGCGATGTTTTCCCATGCGGTTTGAAGTCTTTTGACTTTGCGGTTCTGCGGTTGTTGCCGCAAAGCTTGTGGTTAAGCCGTGCTGTCAAAGTCCGGCATCCAAAGTCTGGCATGTCCTTGACAGGCAAATGCATGCGATTCAGAATCAAGGGCCTCCTTGTGCGGAGTGCCCGTTGGATCAGATCTTCCAAGAAGCCATTTCATGTATCAACTAGTCTATGATTTGTTGATGCGCAGAATGGCCTGGCGTTGATTAATACCCCAGCACCGTCAACACCCACACGAACGGGATGGGCTAAATGCCGTAGGCCGAATGTGCGCAGGCCCTGAATCGCAAAGATCTTACAAGGAAGCGTATGCAAAACACATTCATTCGATTTGCTATAAGCAATGACTAGACATTCAAGAAAACGAGTCGAATTTTTTCTTCAAACTTCAAAGTGGATTGTGAACAGGCTGTGACAGGAAATTCGCGGCAACTGGCTGCTTGCAGCCAACGCTTAGTACCGACGACGACGCCCGCTGTAGCTTCTTCCTCCGACTCGCATCAGCTCATCCAAGACCATCCAGAACATCCAAGCCTTGAGGTGCTCGTACGCCCACCTCTTCGTCGACTCGGGCGTGGCGCTGTATCCGACTGCCCAGAGACCAGCGACAACGCCGCAGACGATGCTCCTCCTCAACATCTCACTCGGACCGAACTCGGCCAAGCCCAAGAGCATACCCTCGCAGATGATGTAGGGCCAGTAATTGCTCGGGTGCCATACAAAGCCAAGTGTTGAGCCCTGCTCAATGCGACCATTGCGAATGGTCGAGCGGCTTGAGCCGGGGAGAACGACGGCGAGAGGGTGCGTGATGCCCGCAATGCGCCATTGGAAATAGCATGCCGACAGCATGGCGATGCCGGCGAAGAGGCGGTCGAAGAGGGTACTGCCGTCGAGATTCAGGACCCACACGACGGGCGTGAAGGGGGTGGAAGCCGTGTAGAGCAGGATGATGAGGGCAAGGGCCGCCAGTTGGCGGGTGAGAATGTTGCTCCGGCTGGGCGGCCCGGACCAGGTGCTGTAAGGGGCGGGCTGAGGGTCCGCAGCCGGCGGAGATCGCGGGGAGCGTGGGGCCGAGGACGGCGTTCCGTCAACCTTCGACATTGTGGTAAGTGCGAATGGGTATTGACTTGTGTCGAGTAAGATAATTATAGTATAGAAGGAAAGGCCTCTTCCAAGTGTTTGGAACTGGCAGGAATTCGATGGAAATTCGGCGCGATTCGACACCCTTCTGCGGTATACGATTGCTTCAGCAACAACTCGATACAGTAAGGTGAGCGCTTTTGAGACCAAACCAGACCAAATCTGCAGTTTGCACACGAAGAAGAACCGATGCGATACTTATATTTGTTGTTTTCAGCTGTGCCTCGTTTTTGCCGGGGTGGCTGCTGCCTTGTGATAATATCCGCAGCTTGGACGCGAGATCCTTCTGGTTACTGTTTCGAGAGGCTTCGACAGGGGGATTGTGCCACGCCACTAGGCAGCTGTTGGCTTCTGCCAGAGCAATCGGTCCACTGACAACGGTGTGCCTATTATTAAAGCGGCGTCCACGGTTTCGCAAGGACAGAGAGACACTACACGTTGGTACACAGCTTGCACGTATTGCGAAGCTGAGTTCAAACTTGCAGTTTGTTGGTGCTGTGCCGTGTCGCTGCAGTGGCAGTAGCGATGGTGGTGATTGTGTTGCTTTCTCGGCGATTGACAATCAAGTTGAACAAACCGCACAGCCCCGCTCATACATGGTCTATCGGTGAAATATGGCTATTCCTAGGTCATGAATTGCTGTTGGTGCTGGCGCCGATGCCTCTTCTGAACCGCAGGATCGTCCGCCACGGGGAATACCCCTGACTTTGGCATCCTTCTCCGAGGTCCTAGTTGACTCACATTAGCCACCCCAAGTCCTACGCATGCAAATTCTCTCAACTCCAGCTTCCTTTTTCTGTGATACATCGATTGCCACCGTAAATTTACTCACTCATAGAGCACAGGTGAAGCAAATGAGACCGGATCCATCATTTCCTGCGCGGCCGACAGGGATTCCGAGACCGATGGTAAAAGCGGGTCAGTCGGCCCGGGATTAATGGGGCGACTCCCGGAAAGACCGGACTTACTCTCAAAGTCAGAACTAGACCAATATGAATAGCCTAAGTCAGGTTTTATGATCAACAAATTGATGAGGAATCAATTCGTTAAAGTTCAAATTGGCTTTCTAAGAGTAAATACAAGAAGTGGAAATGGTCATGGCTCATGGGCCGCTTGACAAGCCAGCAGGCCTTCCGAGTTCCGACGCAGACATCTATCTACCCAATGTCCCTACTACTTTATACAATTGAAAGAAATTCTGTGTAACATGCTGGAACTGTGAGCGTTCCATGGACTTTGGTGCTCAATTTGACGAGATTCCAGCGTCAAGCTCTGAGGGCAAGTCTACTGGTACTTCTTCAGCACCTCGTTGTAGTAGTTGTACCCAGCACCAGTCTCGGGCTCGAAACTGTACATGTAAGATGACCACCAGGGCCCCGCAGCCCACCTTTTCTTTGTTAGTTACTGTTATAGAGGGTTTGTGGATTTCAAGCTCACCAGATACCCCCAAGCCAGATGTCGCTGTTCTCCTGAAGGTAGTCAAGAAGTCCAGTGACGGCCTCCTTACACTGCTCGTTGGCACCACCAGCAAACTCGCCTAGAACACCGACCTTGCCGTTAGAACGGAGCCACTCAGTGGCGTCCTTGACACGCTCAACGCCAATAGTCGTGGAAGTGCAAGTCTCTGAAGTACCGCTCGAGTCACCGTCGAGGTACTGATGCATTTCATAGGCGGTCTTGTCAAGCGGATCAGTGAGACCCTTCATGTTGTCGTTGACGCTGGTCCAGCTGTGGGCGCCGCTCCAGGAGTTGCCCTCCGCCCAAATCCAGTTCTCGGCTCCGGTGCTTCGGATACCATCGATGGCAGCTTGGTTCAGCTTGAGGACGAGGTCTTGGTCCATCGAATTGTACTCGTTGTTGGTATCGAAAATAACCTTGTCGTTGGACTTGAACTCGTTGGCCCAGTTGGTGAAGAAGGTCTTGAACGCGGCTGTGTCGGTGATGATGTTGCCAGAAAAGCGGCCGTAGTTGTGGGGGTCGAGAGCGACATTGGCGCCAGCAGCGGTGATGTGGTTGACAACCTTCGTCAGACCGGAGACGTAGTCGGTGTTGAACTTGCCAGTGAGGCCATCAGGAGCGACACGTTCCATGCGGAAGTTCAGACGGAAGGTGTTGTAGCCCTGGCTGATCAAAGTCTAGATCAAATCAGCATTGATATCCAAGTATGCGTTTATCTCATGTCTTACGTCGATCTTGGCGGTGTCCGGGAAAGTGTAGTCTTTGCCAAGAACACCAGGGAGGTTGCCCTCGCCGAATTCTGCACCAGACTCGTTCGAACCGAGCCACTTAAACTTGCCGGACTTGCCAGGAGAGGTGGAGGCGGAGGCAGCCGGGGCAGAGGCTGACTTCGCCGACGTAGCCGGGGCTGCGGAGGTGGCAGCGGCCTTAGAAGTAGTGACCTGAGGCGGTGCAGAGGTGGACGGCTTGGCAGCAACGGAGGAGGCAATGGCCTCAGCAGCCTCTGACTTGACCGGAGCTTGACTGCTGGAGGCGGAAGCGGAAGTCGGCTGGGCTAATTGGGTGTCAACAGGCTGAGTGGAAGATTCAGCGGCAACAGCGGAAGAGATAGTCGGCTTCGCGGGAGCGATATTTGTGGAAACCTGCGGCACAACGGCGCTCTTGTTGTCGGATCCGGCGGTCTTCGACTTACAGCTTCGTCTTGTCGATGTTCTCATAGTGGTGGCCTGCTGCGCGCTGACACCACCGGCGTTGGCGCCGCCTTGGACGCATTGGCTGTAGTAGTCGTTCTGAGCAACACAGGTGTATCCAGATACACAGGTCGTCTCGCCGGTCCATCCCTTGCCACCGCAGGGCATGTAAGGGCCAGCTTGGGCCATGGCTCCGCCAACGATGGCAGCGCTAACGATGAGTCCCTTCATGGTGAATACCGGATTCGATGATAGAAGGAGCGTGTAAGTGTTTGAAAAGAGCGACTGGGTTCAAAAGAATGTGGTGGCGTAAAGCCTTGAAAGAGTGACAAGAGGAAGCAGAAGCTGCATGCAATGAGGATGGATAGCAGAAGCTTCCTCGGGAGCTTACACCCGTCAGAGCTTTATATCTGGACGAGTTCCTGAACGGAAATTGCCATTACATGCTTTCGAAATGCAACCCAAGTGCCGTCTGGCCGGAACAGCGCAACTCGACATCCTTGTCGTGCAAATGTGATTCGTGGGGCCACTCACTCCGGCTAATCGCCCCATGCCTCTAAACAGCGGCGTGAGGGTCGACGTGAAAGACGCAACAGTCGAATTGTGGGCATGCGGTGCACAATCGTGTGGTGAGACCAGGATATTGCCTGCTTGTCCTTCATTTGGTTTCTCCTCCTTCATTTCCATGCGCCATTCTGGAGTTTTCAGGTGGTTCGTCTGATGTGCTGGCTACTCGGAAAGACATCCGCCGGAGAGGGATTAAGCTGGGGATGGGGCAGGTTCCATGCGCCAAAATGAGCGCGTTACTTTAGAATCAGCGCACTTCCCTGAAAGTTCATCACACGAGCTGCCGATTAAACTTTGAGTGTGCACGCCAGTCTGGCATTTCGTTACTGTGATCTTACTACGAGTCTTATATCTATCAACTGAGATATCAAACATGTTCTCGAACGATCTAACATTGCATATTATGTTGGTGGACTGGTCAAAGTCTTGGCTTTGCTGCCGAGGACGATCATTCTGGGGGAACGGCCCAAGCCAGGCCTGCATGCCGTAACGCCGTGCCGGATCCGAAAGACCCAGTGTGTCTCCGCGAGCCGGGCTTCCGAAATGTTTCGGGTTTGAGTAGTTTATTAGTTTTACTTTCTTTCTCTCACCGTTGACGGATTACACACCATATTGGGAGAAGCGCCTTGGGACAGCAGGGGCCAACCATGGCTCTTTTGCAGCAATCCATCTCTCTCTGTAAATGAAAGCTAGCAGCCGAAGTCCAAATATTTCCTCATTTCAACCTGTCTGTCGATATATTCCGGAGGCTACTTCACCGTCATTGCCAACTCTGCTCGACGAATGCTTGTTATGAAACTGGGGCCACAATCTCTTAAGGATTTCACTGCTCTGTGGTGCGTGCAGTCAACTTGCTCATGCCAGTGCAGCCTCCCCAACCCAACATTTTGCTAAGAGGCGGGAGTGTTGTTTGTTACATAGTGGGAAACGATCAACCAACGACGCAGCGCTTGTTTTACCTTCTTGATGTTTTTCCGAGCTTCCATGGGGTGATCGTGTTCGGTCTTTTGCTACGAGACGCTCCTTGAACGATGTGCCTACCCCGATTTCAGTCTTCTACTAAACCATTTTAGCTTCAACAGCACAGAACAGGTTCCAACGGAATGTGGCTGCCTATCCTGATTAATCAGCTTGAGAGGGCAGTGAGACGGCACCATCCACCAACGGACCCCTTGATTTCTCGATGTCTTCTTTTCCACGCATCAGTTTCTTCCTTACATTTCTCTATTTCCAATCTTCCATCCGCTCCGAAAAACGTCTGAAGATGCCCGAACTCGAAAATGTCGGCTATTCGCATGAGGCGACGATCTCTGACATTCGCAAGTACTACCAATATCTCGTCAGCATGTATCTCGACGACTCCATGGTTGTCGAGCCGCCTGAAGGAGGCTGGCCACACATCACCACGGAGACTGCGAAGGATCTGGGCAAGTCGGATGAAGTGATCAAACTGCTTCGCCATTTGCCCTATATCTGCAGGCCTGACGACGGCCGGGACATGGCTCAAGGCGTCCCCGGGGGCTACTTCGCAGACTGGGCCGCGGAGATTAAAATTGCAGGTGAAGAAAGAAATGGATTCAAGATTGTCAGGCAGCTTTCAGAAAGCTCAAGCTTGGCGGGAAAAGTCCCGCCGCACGTCATCGGCCTGACGATGGGCGCCCGCGACACTCCCATTTTCCTTCTCGACACCGAGCTCGGGGTCGTGTATTGGTACGAATGCCCCGGCGAAATCAGGCACGACTCGGAGTACGAGCAGATCGAGGACGATCCTTACGACTATGCGCCTGAGGAAGAGGCCGAGTGGCGAGCTGAAGGCGGTAACTGGGCCATCCCTGACTTTTTTGAAGAGTTGAAGGCACATTTCCGAGAGCTTCACTTTGTTCCGGTCAACTCACGAGAAGTCAAAGACATTTGGACCATATTCCATCCCTCAGAGAAAGCCTCGCTGGAGATGATACGGGGTATATACCGCGAGCATCATTGGCCAGATTTGAAGAAGTTTGACAAGTCAAAGTGTCAACAGGCATTACAGGCTGCTTTCCCGGATAACTTTTAATCACCCTAGGGGTCAATAGCTGTTGGGACATCAGCCCTTTCGCTTTTTATATCTTTTCATGAGACTAAGGATCAATATTTGCATGTAATTAAGAGTAGAGATGCATCCAACACTTTTTGTGTCGTTTTCGGCATCCAGTGCTTCGCGCTTGTGCAGAACCAAGCGTTACTCGAGTCGGGATCAACTACACGATATTGACTCCTGACTACTCTAGTCTTCTAAGCAACGCTAAGCTCGAAAGTGAAATCGAAAGGTTCCGTGTAGCACTTGTACTCCTCAAACGGCCTCGGTCCAACAGTCGCCGACCCAATTCCGTGATTATCGTAATCCAGGTTTAATATCGTCATGTCCAGAGGCTTCAGATCGTGAGGATGCTTCGCGGCATCCAAGTCGAAGGGCATGTACCGCCGGGCAGTGAAGCTGAAGATGTCATCCTGGGGTCTCCTCGCGTCGAGAGTCACATCACCGTTGCCGATCTGCACCCACCGCAGATCTTCACGGTTGCCGTTCTCTTGCGGGTAGTCGTAGTACGTGAAGAGGTCATCGACGCTCGACTCATATCGCCCGATGCGGCAGCCTTGCTTCGTGTCCTTGTAGTTCTCACCAGGGCCGCGACCGAACCACGCAACGTCGTCGAATTCAACCGGGAGAACAGCCATGAGACCGATGCGGGGGACGACTTCGGGCGTGTTGTTCCCAACAAATTCGCCACGAGCGTGCACTTTGAGGCCGGTGGAAGAAGTTGTGTAAGTGAGCTCAGCCTCTGCTCCCCACTCAAAGACTTTTGGTGCGACTCGAACTTTGTAGTTCACCGTCAGGCCGCCATCAGCTTCTTGCCATCTGACATCGCGGACTTGGGTGTGAATGTAGCTAAGCCTGGCCTCCTCCCAGATAGGTCCGTCACCCCATTCTGACTCGTCGTTTTGTGTCTGGGCTCGGTAGAAGTAAAGTTCTGGCCCGCGTTGGAAGATGTCAACGCCGTTGATGTTCCAGGTGACGTTTCCTTGGAGAAGGTCGAAGTCAAAGGAGGAGTCGCCATTTTCGACCTTGAGGTGCGTCCTGTCTTGCTTGAATTCCAAGCTATCTGACTGCCGAGTCTTAACGGCAGGAACTGCACGTCTTGTCCAGTTGGTAGAGGCTGGGGCGTTGAGGTGAAGCTGGTCCCACGCAATGATATGGCCCTTGTCTGCCCAGACGGTGTCGTTCTTTAGCGCAAACTCAACGGTAACCCACGCCTCGCCGGAAACGCTAGAATTGCTAGTGGGCAGGGGAAGAGTCCGCTGTTCTCCAGCTGGTACGCTTCCAAGTCCCAAAGGGCGAGATTCAGTTGCATCTTGCCCGTCCTGCACGACATGCCAAGACGCGTCAAGTTCGTCAACGTCGAGGAAGTCGTAGTGGTTCGTAATAACCATGTGGTGGCCATCCTCTGCGAGGACCACTGTGATTGGCTGAATGGCCTTGGTATACTCGATAAGTGATGGCATGGGGGTGTGATCGGAGAGAGTGAGGCCGTCCATGATGAAGTCGGCATCATTAGGCTCGTCACCAAAGTCACCGCCATATGCGTAGAACTCGGTGCCGTTCTCTTCCTTCAGAAGACCGTGATTGCTCCACTCCCATACCAAGCCTCCTTGAACGAGGGGCTCGGCGCGGAAAAGCTCAATGTACTCTTTGAGACCACCAGGCCCGTTACCCATGGCGCTGAGAATTGTTGTCAGAAAAGCCTTGATAAAACCAAAGTACAGATTGACTTACTGAGCATATTCGCACAGAATGAAAGGCTTGTCCGTGTGGTTGCCAATCCACTCACGCACAGTCTTCGGAGACTTGTACATCTGACTGTACATGTCAACTGATGTTGCGTTCCGATCAGGCTCATAGTGGATGATGCGGCTGGGGTCGCGCTGCTTGATCCAAGTCGTCATAGAATGCAGGTTGCTTCCATAGAAACACTCATTTCCAAGCGACCAAATAATCACAGACGCATGGTTCTTGAATCTCTCGACGAGCTGGTAGGCTCTGTCGACGTAGGCTTCCTCCCAATCAGGGTTGTTCGAGGTCCACTCAGCCGACTTTTCGTCCGTCTCTTCGACCTTCCCGAACCCGTGACACTCCAAGTCCGCTTCAGAGATCACATAGAAACCAATCTCATCCGCTACATCGAAGAAGTCTGGATGGGGGGGCTGGTGGGAAGTGCGGATTGTGTTGATGTTGGACTGCTTCATGCGGATGAGGTCTGCCCTCATGTCCTTGTATGCAACTGTGCGACCTGTTATATGGTGATGCTCATGTCTGTTGACACCGTAGATGGTGATGGGCTTTCCATTGACATGGAAATTGGATCCCACGATCTCAACACGGCGGAAACCAACTTTCTGGCCGATAGTGCGACCGTTAAAGGTGATGAGAACCGTGTAGAGTTTCGGCGTTTCGGCGGACCACAGATGGAAGTCTTCGCCCTCGAGAGTGTTTTGATAGATGTCTGACGATGACCCGACCCTTTCGTCAAGAATATCACCGCTAGGAGACAGGAGTTTGACCGTCATGTTCCCTGCGTCACCTTGAACTGTTGCGTTGAGCCTGATGGTGCCGCCTTCAAACGAGTCCATGATATCGGTGTTTACCTGATAATCCACGATGGTGGAACGAGGAAATGGGATGAGGTAGACATCTCTGAAGATACCTGACAGCCACCATTGGTCTTGATCTTCGATGTATGAGCCATCGGACCATTGGTAAACGCGAGCGGCGAGTGAGTTCGCTTCGCCGGGCGTCAGGTAGTCGGTGATGTCGAATTCGTGCGCGTTCCGGCTTCCTTGGCTGTATCCGACCTCCTCGCCGTTGACCCAGACGTGGAAGGCGCTGTCAACACCCTCCAAACGAAGACGAATCTGATCATCACTATCCCAGTCTTCAGGTATCTCGAACTCTCGCCAGTAAGACCCAGTAGGGTTGATGTAGGAGACGTTCGGTGGAGTTACCGGGAAGGGATAGTCGATGTTGGTGTAGTGCGGGTGGCCATAGCCCTGCCGCTGCCACATACCAGGGACCTCGATGTCGTCCCAGGACGTCACGTTCGCCGTTTCCCAGATAGGTGCTTCGAATGGACTCTGGTCATAGTGGAATTTCCAAGTGCCGTTGAGACTTAGGAACTCGCTCTGGTAGCGGTCGAAGGACAGAGCGGCATCCTCATTGGCATAAGAATAGAAGTGGGCGCGCGGGGCCAGAGTATTGCGATGAAGGACGTTGAGGTTCGTCCAGTCGGGCAAAGAGCCCGGGAAGGCCATGCCTGAGATGAGGTCCATGGCCATGACTGGAAATCTCGGGAGAATGTTGTCTATGGCTTTCTGCTGGCCAGTCTTCGCAGGTCTCGCGGAAGATCTTAGGCCACCGCCGTAATAACCCCGCCATTCTTATATCGTCACTCATAACCTCGGATACCTCCCGGTGACTTACAAAAGCCCGGCTGGGCGCATGGCACGATCATGCTGCTGCGCCAAGAGACACAAGTTCCAACTACTCCTCCTTTGCGCACCTATCGTCGATTTCACAGCTACTATGGTTCCTAAATCGCGGGGTTCACGTGGGCGGGTATGACGACTATGAGTTGCATCGCGGATAAGAAATTCTCGTTTATGCGGTGCTGTGTGGAAGTTGAAAGCTGGGCAGCGGGGAAAACCATCAAAATCTGGGTCAAAATATGCATATTTCCGTGATTTCCCCGCAATCAATGGACTGATGAACGTCGTCCGGTCCCGGCACCCCCGCGATCGACATTGAGGCGGGGAATGGGGCAATGGAGTTGTGTTCCGGCGGTCTCCATAGATGATGGAAGGCATCGTTTCGGTGCATCAAGCCGCGAAGCACGGCGTGGTATCGTCGCAGCCGGGCGATTTTGTGTGTTCTCTTTAGCCATTCCATTTAGGTTCAAGTATCTTGGTTATTAAGTGAATGGATTGTTTCGACCATGTCCAATTTCCATATTTGCCAGATGAGAAGTTGTGCCATAGCAAGGGGTCTCGCGGCATAGTCGTACAGCTATCCGACTCTGTTTCTAGCCCCCTCCTCTCCACTCGCTATGTCGTAGGCGTTTCTCCTTGCAAGAACTTGGCGGGGAGCCTACATTTCCTCAGAATCCTCCGATCTCCGGTTTCAATTTGCCCTATTCTCGCGGCAGCAGCTCTGCCCACACCACATGTTTGCCAGCCTCGCGGTTTTCGAATGATCTCGAGTGACCAAGAGAACCATCTTTCGAATGGGTTTCTCACTCATCTGCGACACTTTCATCAGGCGTATATAGCTCTGTGTGATCATTCAGATAGTTAGCTGGCAAGATCCCATCTTCAGAGCCTCAAGCGCAGTTGAGACGTTCGCCACGTGACAGCAAAACAGAGATAACAATGGATAGAAACTTACCTTCAGTTGTGGAAGAGATGCTTGGGGAACCAACAGCAGTCTGTGGGTCGAATCTTGCCAAATCCCTCAAGCTTCTCCCGAGTAGACACCACCAGGGTGCGGTATGTCTTTGTCTAGGAGACGGGATAATGATTGCATGATTCTTTGCCAAAGCTTCTTCGATCTCTGCCAAGATATCTTCAAAACCGCAGGATACTTCATTTTCGAGTATGCGACGAATTGCCCGATTGAGGCTGGAAGACCCGATGTCGCTTATGCCACTGCCAGAACTCAATAGACGTTCTCGGAGTCGTTCCTCGTAATACGGGCTGTCCAACAGGTTATCGTACGACTGAATAGGAATTCCTTTCTCGTTGTAGAGTCGACAAGGCTGTTTCAAGACGTGCCAGCCGAATTCCAGCTTGTATCCTCGACGTTGGTTCTGCGCGATCGACAAGACTTGCTTGAACTGTCCGGAAATCAGCTGCTTCGCCCGCGCAACGAAAACACCCAAGATTCGATCTCTTCCGCCATCGAAGGTTGCTAGCAGCCTGTTTATTGTCACCGGGCTTTTCAGACTTTGTAGATCATCGTATGCAACCACGACAACCGCGCGGCGATTGGAGAGGTGAGACCGAATCAACCGTGCATAATTAGCGAGCGTAGGAAGATCCTGAACGATCATAGGAAGCCGGGGTAGGTCATAATCGTTTTTGATCGTAGTTTCGACGCGAAGAACGTCAGCGGCGGTGAGATCCCCAAATTCCGTTAACTCCATTATTGCTCTGCTGAGTAGAAAAGTGAAAGATTCTTCGAGATATGGTTCTTCCTCGCTAATTTCGTCACAAATGCGCTTCATTTGTGTTTTCTCGGCCTCAGGTCTGTTGGTGCACGGAAGAGCGGAAATCTTCCAGGCCAGTAGGCCACGCGGACGATGGAGCACAAACTCAATGGTGAAGCCATGTCCGAGGTACTCCTTGGGTATGGCGATTCCAGTGATGGTCTGAATAGTCGTTCTTTTTGCCGATTCAGACTCGCCGCAGATAATAATCTTTGGGAGGTCAATATAATGGTCTAGCCCTTGTAAGAAGAGTGATTGGAGAGCCTCGAGGATGTCATGAGCCTTTTGGGATTGGGAAGTCATTGTTGGAATATCACTTGTTTCTGAATGGCTGACGATGAGTTGCTTGGAAAGGCGATGAAGCGCAAATGCATCGTCTGGATCAGGGCCCAAATTTTGTGCGTAAGGCCGGTGTGTATTAGTTTGGAGGGGCCAGAAGCAACAATGAAGAACGAAATAATATTCAAGCCAAATCTCAGCTCTATTATTGGAGGCGTCGGCTGGGGATAAAAGAATTTCACACCCATCCACACATGTACCAGCTGAGCCTACCAAGTCCATCGATTGGGCTCGTGCGGGACCTAAGAAGTGTGTTGATCTCACGGAAATCCTCATCAGCTCCAAACTATGCCCATCAACCACATCCCTACAGTGAAGGGTGGAGGCTCAAGGTTTGTTGTTTTAGACTTCACATGCGGGAGGCCCGCCAAACATAAGTCTAAGAGTATGTAATTTTGATCTGATTAGCTTTTGGTCCAGGCAGCATGGTGTCGGGTGATACTCGTCGTCCTCCCTCAGTGAAATCGAAACATATGGAAGAGTCTGCCCTTCGGCCACGGTGAAACTCTACAGTAATGATGACACGGAGCATATCTCATCGGACGTGTCACTTACACATCACATCATACTTCCATATCACTGCTATGATATCAAAGAATTCAGAGTTCACTTCAGAGGACTATTTGACCACCTAAAGATTTTCGTGATTTGTCGCAGTGGCTCTCGTCCGTTTGTCAAAAGCTGTTACTCAAACATACTGAATGAGTCGCCTAGCACATAGCTACCACTGAAATACGCATTCTCCTCCGTGATGTACAATTCGATCAATACGGCAAGGTTAAGGCAGCAATGTCAGCTACTACGGTGATTTCCTCACTCTCCCGTACTCAACTATTCTCAAACCCCGATCACACTCTCTTCAGGAGTGCACATAATCGTCAAAGTAGAGACGCTGTCGAGGTCGTCAACACAAGAGCTGTCGGTCGGGGTAAACATGTCTAGCAGAAACTACCGTTAGCTTGCGCATTAACAGGAGGGCCAGTGTACTATTCTAGCAATAGAGATGACGAGGATTTTCTTTGGGCCTGGTCATACCTTCTGAAGTAGAATCAGTTTGGGCCCCAGGATCAGACTCTGTAAACTTCAAGAAGTCCTCAAATGCAGCGATTCTTCTTTCCAAATTCTCGCGTTTCTTTCTGGCGATATCCTGATCGGCGTCCAGTAATGTAGTACATTCCATCAGCCGACAAATATCTTCGTCGCTTGCTGCAGCAATATCTGAACTAGTGAAAATACACGGAAGCTTTTTTGGGAGCGCAGTCTCCAATATTAGGACTCGAAAGTCAGAGATGAGGCTCTGAGCACAAAGCTATTGGCATGGCGGTGTTAGTCGCTTGTTCATGTCATATAAGGTTACGTTATGATCAGCAAACTGAGCTAGGGGTAAACTGACTTCTTCTTCTGCTTTCAACTGAACTTGTACACAATCCCGCACTTTGCCGTTTGCGTAAGCAACAATATTCGTGAAGAGCTCGGAGATCCGAGAAAAGTCAGAAGCGATGTATTTCGGTGGGTTGCTGAGTACATTGGGCCCGAAAGCTGCTTCGAAGTGGCTCGCTATGTCCGTCTTCTCAGCCTGCTGCATTTCTCGGGCCTTCTCTGCTCTGTGAGGATGACGTGATGCCTGTCGATAAGCGTTGTGCCGCACAAGCACTCCATCAATCTCTTCGCGAAGTTCGGTTTCGAGACCTTCAAGCTTCGGGAAGATGAAGTTCCGTAGGACTTTGGCAGAGTCGCTCGGCTCAAGCACACATCTGATGATCTCTCGCGCTGTGTTGTGAATCGCTTGGAGGACTTCTGTGAGTGTATCGTGGACAAGCAAGTCCCAACCGTCGCCGAACTTTCTCGGACTGAATCGAGCAATATCCTCTCCCAGCCATTGATCTCCTCGCCCCTCGTATGCAGACGCTGCACTGCTGTGCCTCTTCACCGGCGTCGTCAGAAGGCTCGTTCGGTTTTGAAGGTGGTGCGGTTGGTCGAGTGCATCGCGAAAATTCATAGCCAGGCGGCCCCTCCGACTGTTCGCCTTCATGATCCTCTCGAACATGGCGAATATTCCACGAAGTACCACATGAAGATGTCGATAGCAACACTCGAAAGATGAGGAATTCATCCAATCGAAAAAGTCAGAACAGTAAGTCCCATTGATGGCCTGTCCCATCAAGTCTGAAAACATTTCACTCGCCTTTAGCAAGTTTGATCGAAGGGCATAAATGTCGTTGAGGGATTCAATCTTGGCTCGAGTGTCGGTCAGATGTCTCTGGACATTCTCCCGGATGAGAGGCACGCAAAAAAGAGAGTGAGGTCGAAAAAGCCGCTCATATCCAATTCGCATGGGTCTCACCGTTGGCACGTTCGATGTGGATTCAGAAAACTTCCGTGCCCAGTCGGCTGAAGCCATAACAGCAGGTAGTATTCGCTTCTTTGAAGGATCGGCCCTCGCGGCCACCAGAAGGAGCACTACTGGACTCATTTGCTGTTTACCAGGTGTAAGAACCGGAATCATGTAGCTTTGGGGGCTCTTCGTGTATCGATATTGCATGCCTTCGAAGCAGCGGAACTTGGGACAGGTTTTCGGGTGAAGACGAAGTTCCGGTAGGTGCATCAAGCTGACGAAGGGAAGCCCTGGCCCCAGTACGTCGATTCTGACGACATCCTTCACTCGACGTCTTTCGGTGGAAGTACAGTGAGCGGCCTTATTCTGATCGTCGGGGACAAGACCGAGAGTACGTCGAGCATCATCGAGAAATCGTGCCAAGTCGGTTTCTCGAAGAGGAAATGTGCGCTTGAAGGCTTCCAAAACCTCCACTTCTTGGGCTGATCTTGCAGCCGACGGCGTGATGGTGATTTCAGCCACAGCTTCGCTGATCCACGGCTTCGACGGACGGATGTTGAGCTCGAGAAAGAATTGGTCGCAGGAGGATTGTGGCGGAAAAGAGACGCCGCAGAGGTCTCCCAAGAGACTCACTCTTTCCGTTATGGGCCATCCGAAGAGGAGCAGTCGTGGTAGGTCGACGTAACGATCGACTCCGGCTGCTCGGAGTTTGTCGATCGCACGCAGAAACTCATTTGAATACAGGACTTTGTCGTACATGTTGCGCCTTGGTAAGGAACAAGAGATGGTAAAGAACAGAGTAGTCGTTGTGCCGAGAGGATTTCTTATCGGTATCGGTTCGAGCTGTGCTTAGGAGCACTTTTGTAGTACACAGAGTGCTTTCCCTGAATCATAGCTGATATATACAAGGCAAAGCCTGGTGAAGGAGCAAAGCTTGGTAGTTTTGAACTTTCGGTAAGTTCGACGCATGATTGCAGTCTTGAGACTTTGGTAAGTTCATCGGATGTGAAAAGGCAATTGGAAGGTTTCGATGATCTGACTACGCGCTGAAAACCGAAATCAGATCATAGATGAAGTCTTGGTATGACATGCGATAGGCTATAGCCAACGTCGTCTGCTGAGACATCACCACAGGATATCCCTTCTTCGTTTTCTCCGCAGGGCCCCGGGAGGCTCAAGGCAGAGACCTTGGTGGCTAGTGAACTCATGAGTTATCAGGCATGTCATCTACATTCTACGGTACCAGGCCAAAGTTTTACCCCCTGCCCAGGTATTCCGCCATAAGATATTTAGTGCAGTATATTGCTCTTAAGCAGGTATATAGCCACTTGAGACTGGGGCTCATATCTTCTAGTGGGATCTTAGGGTGTGCGATACTGTGGCTAGAGGTTAAACTAACTGGTTATACCATAGTTCGCAGTCAGTAAATCAATGATGCGTTCCACCGCACAGAACAATCCGCGTCCTCCTAGATCCGAAGAGACAGGAACAGAACCAGGTAATGCACCGGCAAAGCTCGAACTCGTGGCCTTCAAGGCGGTCAGAAGTAATGCCGCGAAACCAACCTTAGCAAGAGTCATTCATAATGTTACAAGACCAACCCTCAACTGAGCCACGGAAGCGTCGTGATTGGCCAAACAACATTACCATCACTCCCAGCTGAGCTGACCGCGTCCCTCGGGTTGTGGGAATCCAATGATGGGCGGCTCTGCTCTGTTTGCGGGGAGGTGGGTCGTAAAGGACCGATACAACATGTCGGGCAGCAACAGCTGCGTCCGAGTCCGCTGTGCCGAAAAAGCTTGGAAGACTTTGGCTTCGACTTGCATATGCACGAGGTTGGGGTTCTCTCAAGCGCCGAGTCGTCTCGTCAGCCAATGCTTGACGAACGGTTTGCAACTCCACGTTCTGGGGGAGAGGGCGCCGAGAACGCATGCTGTTTCTGTGACATCCAGTTGGCTGGGGCTGGGCAACTTACGACGAAGCTGAGGGAGGGGCACTGGACTCGGAAACTCACGGAAAGAGTCATAAATTAAGGGACAACGCATGAGATGAGGAGAAAGAAAAAATTTCTCATGGCACTCGCAATTCGTCTTCCGAGAAGGTGAAGGGTTTGAGGCATCATGTGGTCTCCGTCGGAGGCTTTTTCGCTGTTTGAGCCGGAATTCCCTTAGGTAAAATGGGGGTAACGAGAATAAGCCAGCACCGCTCGGATGCCCCCTTCGCCCACACAGTGCAGTCCGACGACCGCCCATCTGTTGAGAAAAAAGCACTCAGATGGGGTTCCTGCGAGCTTGCGAGAGCAGGAGTGAAAATTTTGACTTTTTTTCTTCCTGTTTCCATGTTTTCTCGTGATCCGAGCCTGCAATGGCAACATCGGAAGTCGACTTACACGTGTCGACTGACGGCTTTTACGGCGATGCTCGGAGCGGGGCGGCGTGCGCTCCCAGGCAAACCCTTCCGGAATAGGAAATATGACCCTACAACGACGGCGGCGGCCGACTTTCGCTTGCGGCGGGGCACCGCGCGCGTAGCACAGCTTTGCAAGTGGTCGACGTTCGAAGTTCGGACGGGCCATCGGCCGAGTTTTCTTATCTGATCGGAGCGCGAGGCTTTTGATTCGCGGTCCTACGCGCGTGATGTACCTATATATAAAGTCCGGGGAAAAATCCACTACTAATAGCTAGCTGCGTCTCCGATCTCGAAAGATAAGATAACGTTCCTAGTCTTCCTATCAGACGGCAGATAATGCGTTTTTGTTTTATGCAGGGCGCGGTCGACGCAAAGTCGATAGCCCAGCCCAGAATGGGCAGCCAAGACGCGGCGGTCGACAGAGAAAGAGACGGTCAGCAAGTTCACGTGGACACACACGCCCAGCGCAGGAGGAGGAGGGCAGTGCCAGACTGGAAACTTACCACGCCATACATCCTCTCACCCTTACACTCACCCCTCCGAAATCGCCCGGGGCGGTGGACGGAGTCCCGGGTTGAGGACGAATTTCCAATGCCTCGATTTCGTGACTAAAAGTTCCATGGGGTTGCCGTGCCCCCCGCGAGGGCCTCATGACTAGTTCACCCCAAGTGACCGATTGCCGGAGATAATGTGGGAGCACCCCGATGTTAGCCGGAGCCACCTTGCCGGCCCTTGCGGAGACAGCTCTTGAGAATAGCATATCTGACACCGTGAAACCCCCGTCACCCGAGTATCATAAGAGACTACCGCCGCGCGCACCTGACTTGGTTTCACGGCTCTGCTCATCTCTCTTTCTCTATCTGACATCTCTCGCTCAGTCTAAAGGATCTGCTGCATCCCTCGGCCTCTCATTCTACATAACATTCTACATAAAGTAGCAACCAACACAACAGAAACACCAAGCTTCCTTCAACGCCACCTCAACATCATCATCAACAACACCGTCGTGATGGGTTCCATGCCTGCTCCGTTGAGGGTCGCCATCCTGAAGGCGTACGACATCGAAGAGCCCAAGCACAGGGGCATGGTCCAGTCCTTCCGCGACAACGTCCGCCGCTGCGTCCCCGACGCCATCGTCGACGCCTACCAGCCCATGAGGGACATCGCAGAGCTGCCGGACCCGGCAAGCTACGACCTCGTCATTATCACCGGCGGCCTCAGCAACTTGTGCCAGGCGCCCTCGTTGTTCGAGCCCTGGGTCAGCGTCGTCCTGGAATGGATTAGACAGACCGTGGCGACACAGCACATTACTAGGACCAAACTTATGGGAGTCTGCTGGGGACACCAGGCTATTGCTACGGCTTTGTCTGGGACTATTGGAAGCTTCGAGTTCCCGAGGGTAAGTTTTCACTTTCCTCTGATGTAAACCTGTCTCCGTTGAAACTAACCATCTCCGACAGGTCGGCGTAGAGGAGCTCTCTCTTAACAAAGACGGACAAGCACTGTTCGGAAAGGATAAACTTGTAAGTCTCCCAGGTTATGCTGTAAGCAGAAGCGCAATACTAATAAGTTATTCCAGAAAATTACAAAGTTCCACAAGCGTTTCGTCAAGGACGTGCCGCAAGGCTTCAGACCACTGGCCGCCGACAACGAGATCCTCTACGCCGACTCGGGCCTCATCCTGTCCATGCAGGGACACCCGGAGATCCAAGGCGAGCTCGCGCGGCAGCTCTTCGACTACGACGTTAAGTATTACAGCCAGACGCTGCCGACCGAGGAGGACCTCCAGCGCTACTTCGCCGGGATGAACGACAGCTTGGAGGACGGGCAGTTCATCTTCAAGAAGGTCACGGCGTGGGCGGCTTCGTGAACGGGGCGCCGCGGGTGCAAAAGTAAATAAATCTGATTCTTGGTGTATATATTTCACAAAAGTAAAAGTAGTATATGGGTTCAAAAACGTTTCGGTTTCTTCGGCGTGTTAGTAGTGTTCTTTGCCTCGTATGTTCCGCTAGGATGTTCATGGGGCAGATCACTTTGGGCAGAATTTTGACGCGCAAGATTGAATTTTCTGAAATGATCAGATGCCCCAGCTCTTGTTGTACGCGTTTTGTTCGAGCCCTGACTTTACCTAATGAATATCGGAGTCGTTGAGGGTTCCCCGGATCTATCCACCTTTTCGCACATGGCTTGCGGAGACGCTTCACGAGTAAGTCAGAGTTGCCCTCATTGGTCCTTGACTTGGAGGCTTGGGGGGTCCAATCACAGTTAACGCAGCTCCCTGTAAGGCTCTCGTAAGAGCTCGGCAGTGGTCTCCTGGGTGACCTCAGCATGGAATATGGCAACTATACCAACCTAACACTATGATAACCACCATATATCACTGTTCGCCTGAGAAGATGAGAACTCGGAGTGAATCTTTGAGCTAGGAACTCGGTGAGAATTCCTAAACTCTCATATTCGTATATTGTCGAGTGCCTTGAACCTAAACTATTGCAATTCCTATCTGCATTACGCCATAGATATATGGTTAAATATGTTGCTCAATGAGAGATCCTTCTCCCTTCCTTTCTTTCTGAGGGAATTGTGGACTGTCTCCTTCATAACTCGGCATAACGAAGATGCATGCGTTGTATAAACTTATCCGTTTGTGCTCGAGTATGTCCGGTTTTCCTACCCTAACTTGCGGACACAACTATCATTTAGGTGTTCAACAGTTGCAATTGAGCTCACTTTTCAATCATTAAACCAGATGAGAGTCCATGTAGTCACAACTGTGTCAGTATTCAGTGCCGACTTGAACTGGGGTGTTATCAGAAGAGAGCCTGGGTTCCACAAACTTGCATCCAAACAACTTGAGCAATTCCTCAATTAGGCAACCGGCTCACAAGTCATCATGCAGCTAAGACAGGGAATCTTTTAATCCCCAGCACGTGTATCTGGAGAAGCCCTCTTTCATTGCTGGAAATATCCACGTGGGTACTATACCCGCCGTCAGGTTTCCGTGTCAACAAGAAGCTAAGCAGAAAAAGTCCACCAGACACTGGAGGGCACACACCGAATCCGGATCGCGGGGTCCAGCCGGCACCGAGGGTTTGGACCGCTGCCTGCCCTTCTCAGCCGTGTTTGGAAGGCGTTGCTACTCATTGATAACAAGCGACAAGGGCGAGAGGGGGGACTTATCCGTTCTCGCGCCCAGGAACGGCAGACGGGAGCACGCAGAGGCCATCGCCCACACAATCACACGTTATCGGTCACAATTCCGAGCCAGCGATGGGAAATTAGCAGCGCCCAAGCCAGGAGGAAACTGACGCACCTCACCGAAGAAAGGCCAATTGCAACCCTGTCATTTTCACTCGCGAAGTGGACTGCGCGCAACCAACAGAGCTCACGATTGGATCGCATCTCGCGGGTGAGGGGCCGGCAGCTCTTGGCCGAGGTGGCCGGGGTCATCCGTAATCCGGGCTCTCGTTCCCTCCTTGCCTCCTCCCACCCCTCGCTCCTCCTCCGACTCTTTTCTCTCCCTGACATGATTTCGAACAATTTAAAGACAATTTTCCCTCCTTTTTTCTTGTCCTTCTTTACCGCCAGTCGTTTTGTGGAACCTCTGCGTGCTGTCACATTTTCCCGGCCCCCCTCCCACATCACTTTCTGCGCGATCTTTATCAGAAGATCTATGTAGTGGGTTCATGTTTCACTGCACGGCCCTCCTTGCGCGCGCGCACCGCCGGCTACCATGGCCAACAGTCAACCCACTACTACCACTGCCGCCACCAGTCGCGACCACGTCGGGCGTGACGAGGAAGTTTCTGCCGAGGAGCGCGAGAGCAGCGAGCGGGAACACCAGCCGGGCAACAGACCCGTGAGGAAGAGGAAGGGGACTACGCGCTCTCGCGAAGGCTGCTTGGTCTGTCGGTAAGCCATTCCCGTCGATGAAAGTTGCTATGCAAATGCTTCTGTCCAACCCCTGAAATTGGGGGTCAATGGGCGAGTGGGGGTGAAAAAAAAAAGAAGAAAAAAAGAAAGAGGATCGCGGCATCGGAGAAGAAGAAGAAGAAAAAAGAAGACACCAAGAAAGAAAAGAAGACACCAAGAAAGAAAAGAAGAGAAATGTCTCAATAATGGAAAGCTGACTGACGTCGCGCGAAAATCAAGCAAGAGGCGCGTCAAATGCGACGAGACAAAGCCAAGATGCAACAACTGCGCCAGGCATAACACTGATCAGGAATGCATCTGGCCGGACCTGTCGCGGCGAAGCGCCATCGTGGCCATCGCGCCGGCGGATCCGTTGCGGCCGGCGCTGAACGGCTCGATCTCGCGCAAGGACAGCTGGGCCGCCCGGTCGCTGAGCTACTTCCAGTACAAGTCGGCGGCCGAGTTCGCCGGCTACTTTGACGAGCAGTTCTGGAGCGTCAACATCCTCCAGATGGCCCACGCCGAGCCCGTCGTGAACCAGATGCTCATCGCCCTCGGCGCCCGCCACGAGGCCTTCCGCAGCGACGGCCCCGTCGAGGACCCCGAGGCCATCATGCTCTGCCGCCGCGCCGACCACGAGTACGTCAAGGCCATCACCATGTTCCGCGACCACGTCGAGGAGCACAAGTACACCCGCCTCCACATCACCCTCACCTGCTCCGCCCTCTGCATCGCCTTCGACTGGCTCCGCGGCGTCGACGCCGAGGCCAACGTCCACCTGACCCAGGGCCTCAACACCCTGTCCGAATGGATGTCCGGCGAGGTGTCGGTCCACGGCGGCACCGCGTTGGACTCGCCCGAGGGTCACTTCATCCGCAAGTATCTGAAGCCCATCTTCATCACCATGGCCCTGCAGACGAGGACGATGCCGAACCCGCCCAAGATCCCCTTAACACTAGTCTGCGCCGAAGACGGAAACTTTACGAGTTTCGAGACCGTCACCGACGCCCGCGACGCCCTCGTCTTCCTCCTGGCATACCTATTCCCATGGGTCCTCTCCTACTACACGACGAACGCGAAAGTCAACCCGTCACTACAGCACGACGTCCACTCACAACTGCTCAAGTGGGAGCGCTGCATCGAAGACCTGGTCAGGCGGAACCCCGACATGGACAGCGATCCGAGGTTAGCCATCCTGAAGCTTTGGCACATCAGCGCGAAGCTATTATTCTTCGGGGAGAACGCGCAGAGCGAGCGCATGTACGACGCCTTCATCGACTGCTTCGAGGCCCAGGTCGTGCTGGTCGAGTGGCTGAACGAGCGGTCCGACATCCCGCAGTGCCGGTTCTCCGTCGACATGGGCGCGGTGCCCGCCCTGTACTACACCGCCGTCAAGTGCCGCAACCCGGGCATCCGGCGGCGCGCCATCGAGCTGATGAAGAGGTGGCCGCGGCGCGAGGCCGTGTACGACAGCCTGGCGTGCGCGGCGCTGGCGGAGGAGATCATGAAGATCGAGGAGGGCTTGGAGCAGGGCAACGTCGTGGCGACCGAGGCCGACGTCCCGGGCCACGCCCGTGTAAAAGGAAAGATCTGGTCGGAATGTTTCAGGGACGATATGGGACAGAGGGTCAACCAGCTATGGGTGAAGCGGGAAGGTGACGAGGACTACAGCGAATTCAGGATAGTGAAGTGGTGATATTTTTTTGTTAATGTGTTGTAAAGTAGTTTTTAACATTCCTTAGGACTTTTTCTCTTTTGTCTAGAAGAATACCTTTTGATTCAGCAGATAGCAAACGTCGGAACACAGAACGACTGAGATATCACAACGTTGGTGCAGCTTTTGGTGATGTTTCTTTTTCAAGGTCGCAAAATAAAACACATCGAAATTGCTATGCGACCATAGACGATGACAACATAGCAAAAATGAGCATAAATCGTATCAGAATCATATGGAGAACTCAATTGATACAAAACCATCTTGAACCAAACTTTGTGGCTTGCATGTCGGCAAATCCAGTGTCATTCCCAAGCCGTTGAATTGTCAGGAATAATCCGGCGGAAGGAACCCAAGGTGGCTGTAGAATGAATTATGTAATCATCCAATGCTGTCACTGGCTGCCCCACCTTCTCACCAGCAATCTGGAAATACCTAATCCGCACTCAACCGCAAGACTGCAAACCTGTCTTCAACAACACCCAACAGCCTCGCCACACCTCAGCAGATGCGTTTGAAACAATAGCGAGAAAGAGCACGTTGCTCCGTGAAGCACTCCGGAACGTTTGCCCAGCATGCGCGACTTCATGGACTACGTATCGCACGCATTCGACCAGGCGACGGGCTGGAAGCGCGTCAATTCGTATACGAGGCTCAACTCGACCTCAGATGGTGCGTCACCACATGCCTCGCAGCCGCGCAAGCAAGATCTACTGACTGACTCTCCTGTTTTTCAGCTCTTCTCAAGTTCGAAACCCCAGAAGGCCTGTCCCTCGCCCTCTCGTCGCTTGCCACATCCCACTTCGCGACCTCCTACCAGCTCGGCTCTGTAGACGTAGTCGACGGCACCATCTCCTACCTCTACTCTTCGGTCCCTCTCCACACGCATCTAACGCCGAAATCCGACGCGATATCCCTCCAAGAGTATCTTCGCGCCTACCGCCCGCTCGCCGACCTCCGCCGACCAGACTCGACGTCGTATCCTCTCTTCAGCCCAGCCAACCCATCGCTGCTCTTCGGCCGATTCTACCTCCCCGGACGTACCCTCGAGGCCCTCGCAATCAAACGCTTGTCCCCTTTACTGCAATGTCAGGTTGCCGCCGTGTCGAGTAGCCTCCTCAAGAATGGCGGAGTGCTTGTAGGAACTGCAGAATACGACGTAGGCAAATACGCAGTGGAAGGCCTGACCAACTCCGACGGCGGGGTGCTGGGTATCAGAGGGGTGTACAACTTTGGCGGGGACGCAGAGAATCTCACGCCGTCGCAGTCACGGCCCGCCGGGCGTGCGAACGGAAAGTCCATCGAGGAGCGCATCTACGGTCGCTTCACCACCGGCGGGGAGCTGTATTACGGCATCTTTAACAAGGTTGTTGGTGTGAGCGTGGCAGGGCGCTTCGCAACGCTCCCGGAGCACCGCGGGACGCCCCTGACGGCGACACTCACCGTGAACCCCATCATGGGCCACATCACCGCCACCTACGCCGTCGTGGCGGGCAAGCACTGCAGCCTCGCGACGCGCATGGACTTCAACGTGTACAGTTACGACAGCGCGTGGGTCGTGGGCATGGAGCTGTGGCGCAAAAACTTCTTGAGGCACGACCTGGACCAAGCGCTCTCGGCCGAGAAGTTCGTCAAAAAGGAGCGGAGCTTCCAGGCCAAGCTCGACTGGAAGCTCGACGATCCGGCACCCGAGAAACCGAGGCTGGTACCCGTCAAAGACGAGAAACGGAAGGAGGGGCCGAGGGAACGCAGCTTTCAGGCGAAGATGGAGTGGAGATTGGACGATCCTGCGGTGGATGAGAAGAAGACGGAGACGAAGACGGAGACGAAGACGGAGACGAAGACGGAGGCGAAGGCGAAGACCGGCGCGGTAGACGAAGAATACAGCAGCGTCATCAAAGCGCGGATAGACGATCAAATGAGGATCGGTGTGCTCTGGGAGGGGCGGGTTAAGAGTCTCCTCTTCAGCCTCGGTAGCGCCATCGATTTGCGCAAACTCGACTCCCCGTTCAGGACGTTGGGCGTGGAAATCCAATTTTCCTCGTGAGCCAGCGAGGAGACCATGGACTTTACGAGGACATCGATATTACCCGATACGACATAAGCTCCGAATGTACGGCCCCAATACCCGATTCTTCGGTCGACGGATTCAGCAGTACGGGGCGTAGAGGATGGTGGCATGGCTGCTGAGGTATGCAGCAGGCTACTACTTGCCAGGATCCGACGTCGCGGAACTGGGTCTTCTGGGCGCAGCCCGAGGTGCCACCGCTGGAGTTGGCGCCGGGAGTGCTGTGTTGACTGCATGAATTGGAATGAAGGGATGCGACGTCGCCCACGCCGTTCTCGCATTAGGACATGACCACGCAAGAGGACAGGGGCCAAAAGTTCCCGAGTATCCATACCGATCCATACGACCGTCCTCGAACATCGAGGTCATCTCTCTGAGATTCCTCCTATCCAGGCCCACGATGAGGGCAGATAGCCGGCTTGGCTAAAGCTTGAACGTCGATGGGCATGACGGCCAAGCTTTCTTGGCGATGGTCGATCGTCCAGACGAAGACCTCAAGGCGGCGGCCATGCTCAAAATAACGAAGAAGTGGATATTGATTAACGACTGTACATTAAGAACTCAAACCCAGGAAAAAGGGCATGACGGCGCAGATGATGGCGAGTCGCAACATCGCTGGTGCACATGCGACTGGCTCATCAATAGACATACCTTAATCAAAGACAATCCAAAATAGTGTTCTGCAATCAACAACCCGCGGCGTGACCGAGATAAAAGTCATGGCGTGCCACTATATCAGCTCTGTCTCGATTCAGCCAATGCCGTGCGATACAATGTCGGTCACAATCAATAAGACGCATACAAGTCAGTCAGTCATGGGGTCGTGGTAAGAAAGACTGGATGGAGACTCGGCCGACTGACCAGGTTGACTTGCGCGGGAAAAAAAAAGAGACATCAGAATGAGAACCTTGATGGTTAAACTAGTGCGGAGAACCTTGATGGCCAGCTTGCGCAGCCAATCACGGCCCTCACATTCTGGCTCGAGAATCCGACGGCGTGCGGCGGGCACAGCGGGCTAACGCGTCCGAGCAGGGATCCTGCCGGTTTCAAGCTGACAGCTGCGCTGGAGAACATCCAGTTTTTGGGGGGTTTTCTGTTCTTGATGTCGCGAGGGATGCGCCGATGAAGAGAGTTTACAGAGTTTTCTTTCATGTTGGTATTGCGGTTTATTAATATTAAAATGATTTTACTACATAATGAGATAACTATATCTAATAATAACTGTGAACAAAGGGTGTTCTGTTGATTCGAGGTCAAGAATACCTCGCATATCCGTGCCATACTGCAGGGGGTGTCTCTCGCGGCTCCCGTCCTTGATAAGGGAAGCGCGCCTGTGAGGTAAGAGCCAGGTGCTAAAGTGGACCGCAACGTCCAACGTTGGCCATCAAGGTTCTCATTTTGTTCGATTTTGCGCTCGCTGCTGCTGGGTCGGGTCGTGGGTGTGTGTGTGTGGCCGCTCTGGTCAACAGTTCCTTGCTTCTGACCTTTTCTTGCCGTGACCGTGAGCAAAAAAACATCCCAAAACTGTTCGAACTCTATCTTGAGACGATTATTTTCTCTTTTTTGATTATCTCCAGGGAACATCTCAACTGTAAAAGTTCGGCTCTTCCTGCCTTACTTGGCTTCACTTACTGCTGTTGTTGCTCTGCGAAGAGTAGTGTTCGACTCCATCTCCCGAGACCTACCTGGACTGCCTCCCTCCATCCTTCAAAGAACCACGAGAAATACCGGCGAAGACGACGAAATAAGATCCTTCTCCTCCCGTCGTCTGCAAGGTGCCGGGTTTCCCGACCTTTTTGTGGTTCCGCCGTTCCTCGTCGAGTCTACTGGGACCTTTGCCGTCGTTACCTTTGCCGTTAGCGGTGGGTGTCTCCGTCGTCCTCTTATTCATCTACGACCCCCGCGACCGACGACCATCCGGGTTCTCGACGTCCATCTTCTTCCGCACACGTTTTCCCCCCTGCTCTTGGCGCATTTTATATACAGAGCCTCATTCCCTCCCAGCACTGGAGTCCTTCTACCAAGACGCCAAGCTGCGAGCCAAGACCTGCGAGGATCCATCCATCACGACCCAAGATCTTCCTGTCCCTTGTGCGCCTCTTTTCCCCCGCCTGTCCATCGACGTCTTGGACGTATTCGGCAATTTCTGTGTCACCAAACTCGCTGCAGAGTACACGCACCCGCCCACGGCACTTGACCCATCGTCTCGGGCACGCACAGCTTCTGAAGCTCTCCCTGGTTCGGTATACCGTCATCAGGTACCTCGCCGTAGTCGCCTACTCGACTGTTCTGGACGTGTGCGACCTTTCGCGACTCAGACCAGTCTGCATTTCCCTCAGGGTGCCCAGCTGTCTTGTTAAAACGAGGACGCTTCTCCACCACATTACGGCACTCGCCAGAAAAAAGCAAACAAACCAAGATGAACCCTCTGCAGATTTCGGCGGCGAGGCTCCTGGCCGCTCGCCAGGATGACGGCGGTGCCGCCGCGGAAGAGGCTACCAACGCTTGCGGTGCCGCGGCCATCGACGTGAGCAACATGCCCCTGCGCATCGCCTCCATCTTCATCATCCTCGTCGCCTCGCTCCTCGGTGGCTTCCTGCCCATCTTCCTGGCCCGCACCAGCAGGATGCACGTCCCTAAGATGACCTTCTTCATCTTCAAGTACGTTGGTACCGGTGTCATCATCGCCACCGCCTGGATGCATCTCCTCGCTCCCGGTGTCGAAGCCCTGCACAATGAGTGTCTGGCGCCTAGGCTCGGCGAGTACGACTGGGCTTTCGCCATCGGCCTGATGACCGTCATGGTCATGTTCCTGATCGAGATGGTCGCCTCCAACGTGAGCTCCGGAGCCTTCTCCCACAGCCACTCCGGACACGAAATGAACGGCACCGATGTCCCTATTAAGGTCAAGGACCAGGGTGCCGACCAGACGAGCGCGAGCGAGGTCTGCCCGCACGACAACGGCGATGCTGAGCGGGGCGCCGGCTTCGTCGACCCCAGAAAGGTGCCCGGACTTCCGGACGACGTCAGCTACCCTCCCGGCGGACGCGACCATCTCGGCCACGCCCGCGACCACGTCGAGGGAGACAGCCACACCGGTCTCGCCGGCCAGCTGACGGCCATCTTCATCCTCGAGTTCGGTGTCGTGTTCCACTCCATCTTCATCGGTCTTGTCCTCGCCACCAGCGACGAGCTCGTCGTTCTCCTCATCGTCCTCACCTTCCACCAGTTCTTCGAGGGCCTCGGTCTCGGCTCCCGTCTCGCCGTCGCCCACTGGCCTGCTCACGGAAAATGGTGGCCGCACATCCTCGCCTGCATCTACGGTCTCTCAACCCCCGTCGCCATCGCCATCGGCCTTGCCGCGAGACCCAGCAGCGCGGAGACTCAGACCCTTGTCAACGGAATCTTCGACTCTATCAGCGCCGGTATCCTCATGTACACCGGTCTGGTTGAGCTGCTGGCGCACGAGTTCATGTTCAACCCTCAGATGCGCAATTCCCCGCTCAAGATCCAGCTGTTCGCCTTCGGCTGCGTTGCCCTGGGTGCCGGTGTGATGGCCGTCCTGGCCAACTGGGCATAGACGCTTTGATGGTTGCGGTGTCCGTTACGTGAGCTTGACTAGACTTGAAAAAATAGGATGGGATATTGGATATGGGATATGTATGGGTTTGAGAATGATACCTGGGTCCTATGACCTTGCTCGTGTTGCATGGCGCAAGAGACTCCCGAAGTAGGCATTTTGCATTTTTGTTGCGAGAGGAGGACCGGGCATATAATAATGATTATTGACAGAATGAACGCGATCCAACACTTGCATCTGTACCTCTATGCCTATCCTTGCCGCTGTTATCAGCTCTAGTACTGCGCTTGTTATCCATTGTCACTGCCCAGGTATTCGACCAGGAACAATAACTGAGGAGTACATAGTAGTGTTAATGAGAAAGATATCACCTTCAAGGAACATAAAATCCGAACCCCTCTTCATCTCGGCGCCCGGCCTGCAGAATTCCCCACCACGCCGGGACCCCAATCGGTACTAGCGCAGTCACTCAGCTCGGTGACCGGTGAGCCTTGTCAAACCAGATCCACGTGATGACACGCACGGACCCCAGGGCTTTCTGCCCTGGCCGCGAATCCCAGGCCCGTTTTGCAAACCACCAAAAAAAATCGCATCGCGAACATCTCCGTGTATCACGTTGACCGATCTCATCGCCAAATTTCCCCAACCGCCCAACGCCGCACCCATTTTTCCCTCCCCAACCCCTCAAATCAATACCGCAAAAATGGCCGGTGGTGTCTCTGTCCGCGATGTCGATGTAGGTTCAAACCGCTATCCTTCCTAGGCCCAAGCCCGAGCGAACATTTTTCCACGAAAAAAAAAAGAGAAGAACCTCGAAAATGGATTTCTTCTATCCAACGCCACGTCTTCTCCGATGATACCGCGCGACTGTCCTCCTCTACACAACGGCACGAAGCTTCGCCATCGACCATCACCCCATCGCGACCACTACAATCTTTGCCATGTCGCATTTCCTGGCGACAAGAGAGAGAGAGGCGTGTATGTGTGTGCGTGTGTGAGCGGGGCAGGCTTCGTCCATCCGAGAGAGGGCAGTCGACGGCTAGGAGATGCGCGTGTGCATGGAAAAGAAAGGAGATTGCAACATCACCAATTCGAGGGGGAAAATCAAAACACACAAAAATGGAGCAGGCGCGAGGGAGTCGAAAGACTTCTGATGACGGAATCATTGCTAATTGGTGATTTTCTCTTCCCGAACAGGCGCAAAAGTTCATCAACGCCTACGCTGCGTTCCTGAAGCGTCAGGGCAAGCTGCCCATCCCCGGTATGTAACTGACTGATCCTCCTCACCCGCGAGACTATTACAGCTTGCTAACATCCCGTCTCAAAAGGTTGGGTCGACATCGTCAAGACCGGCCCCGCCAAGGAGCTCCCTCCCCAGGACATTGACTGGTTCTACGTGCGCGCCGCCTCCGTCGCCCGCCACATCTACCTCCGCAAGACCGTCGGTATCGGCCGCCTCCGCAAGGTCCACGGCTCCGCCAAGAACCGCGGCGTCCGCCCCTCCCACCACGTCGACGCCTCCGGCTCCGTCGACCGCAAGATCGTCCAGGCCCTCGAGAAGATCGGCGTCCTTGAGCAGGACGAGGAGAAGGGTGGCCGCCGCATCACCCAGTCCGGCCAGCGTGATTTGGACCGTACGTTTTCGCGCCTGTCTCTTCCAATTGACCAAACTCGTGCTGACATTCCCTCAGGTATCGCCCAGACCACCGCTGAGGCCGAGGAGGAGGAGGAGGATGACGAGTAAATCATTCGTTTCTTCACCACCACCAAATAAACAAATACCCCAATCATCAATTGAGCCCTGCTGCTTGTGTGGTACAAACAAAAATGAGGGTTCACGGAAACGGGACTGTACGGCATGACAAGAATTTCAAAAAGGGGACAGGGCACTTCGGGTTTTTAGGCGTCTGAAAATGGATTTGCACAACGGGTTTTCACGATTTCAAAGACTACAACGGTTTTGGTTTGGCAAAAACCCTGACCAACGTTCTTCTCTCCCGAATTCAAGTTCCACGTCCCCCGTCTTCCAAACCCGGGCGTTCATGATATCGTTCTATTCTTGGCTGAGTATGTAATGTGTAGCGCCCCCCTCTGCGGCTCATGAATTTATGCCCCCCTCCCTCCTGCCTCGAGACTTTGCTGTCGTGATGTCTGAATTCGTCCTATTTCGTCTCGTGTCTTGGTGTTGATAGTGATTCTTCACGTGGGACTCTCCAACGACACACAGATGATGCTTCATCCCATCCCATCCTATCGCGCCTTCCTCGCCTGACCTCCTTCCTGAGCTTGATGAACTGCTAGCGCGGTCGTGAGCGCCACCGCCCACCTTATATGAAGCCTTTCAGAGCATCGCGAACTTTCGAAACCTCTCTTCAACCCATCACAACCACCACCTCTTCACCACGCACCCACCCCACCCCCAACTTCCCTCTTGTCACTCCACCATCTATCCCTTCGCGTGTCGAAGATCAATCTTTCTTCCCTCGTATCACAACGACTAAGCTCGGCCTCGCCTTCCAGTCGCAACTCTACATCACACGCCCCTCTCCTCGAGTTACCACAGAGCGACATCTATCCCTCTTTTTTTTTTCTCTTCTCGCCCTTCGCTTCGGCGCCTCGATTTTCTTCTCTGTCATCGCTGCGTGGAGTGACCTGCCTCTACCCCTTCCTCCGTCACTCTAGTTCAAACTCCCGCTCAACTCGAACTACATTTTCCATCCAACCCACCTCGCTCTCTTCAGTCACACCCTCAGCTTCAAGTTTTGCGCTCCTGCCTGTCAAGTTCGTCGGCATTCTCCGGTCCTCCTCGACGACCCTGGGACACTTGCGGTGCACCTGCCTTCACCCGAGACGGCCGTCTATCCAATATCGCCTCAGATCCAAAACCGAACTACCTCTCGCCGAGTAAGTTTCCCTCATTCACAGTTTATCTGCGATTTCTTAATTTCGTCCTTTTCTTCTATCGTGTTCTGCCCGCTCTGCTCCTTCCTTCCTCCTGTCGTGGTTCATCTACTGACAAGTTTCGAGCAGGTGTCTTTGAAGTCACTGCCATCGTCATGACGAGCACGCCCGCCGAGACCGCCTCCGAGCCGGTCATAGCATTGGAGATGATGGACTACGATGTCGCTGTTCTGACTACTGAGCACCGGCCGAACTCAACCCCGTCTCCGTCATCGTCATCACAAGTTGCTATCTCGGAGTCGCCTGCCAGCGAACTCGCCGTCAAGCATGAAGATGACGATCTCGATCTCAGGTCCTTCGCAAATCTCCACATCGCTATCGACAAGACCCCGACTGACAATATCTTCTTTTTTAAGAGGATGACCGACGCCGGCCCTCGTTTCGACGCGCTGATGGAGGTCGGTCGTGGAGAGCTGCTTCCTGGCTCGGAGTACAATATCGAGAACGGCATGTGGGAGGTCCATGACGGCCTCTACGTGCTTCGGAAGACCGGTCCCTCCTTCAAGGTCCTGCAATCGATCGGAAAAGCCCAGTATGAGGCCGGCAGGTCGTGGCACAAGGCCAAACACATCTTCAGCCTCAAAACCTGCGCGTTCCTCGCCAACCGCGACGCGTCTGGCTCGCTCCACGTCCTGTGTCTCTGCATCAGCGGAGACAGATTCAAGCTGGTCGACCCTAACAACGCCGATGTCCTTCACAACCCGAGATGGACACGTCGTGTGAAGGAAATTGCCAAGCTTCTGGACCTGAAGATGGGCTCCCCTTACGATAGCCATGGAAAGAAGGCGACGGCCCAAGACGTGGGGGACTGGGCTGCGGGTCATACCGAGAAGAAGCTGTCGGCATTTCTTGTGTATGCGTTGCTCCAGGCTTACGGCTGTCGCACCCACAGGAAGGTCACTATCCACGACCTCCGCAGCTTGAGGAAGACTCTGCGAGCGAAGGGCATCGCGCCGCGATTCGAGATTCACCTGACGCGGGCGCCTTGTGGCACCCCCAAAAAGCCCGGCAAGTGCGTTGCTTTCGTCCAGCGACTCAGCCATTTGACAGGAGTAGAGGTTACCATCAACTACTGGGAACAAAATGTCATTCTCGACGGCACCGTTCCCCCTAGAACTAAGAAGAAGGCGTCAGACTTCCAAGGAAACGGCAACGAGCATGGCGGTGGCGATGACGACCACGCCAGCGACTCAGAGGAGGAGGACCTGCAGACTCATCTCGCAGAAAAGTACCCCGACGACTGGGGCCTGATCGTGCGGGACGGTTTCGACGAAGTCAACGAAGACGATGCCTCATCTCGCCACTCGTCGCCTTTCCCACAGCAAATCATCTCTCCAGAGGCTGTGCAGAACTTCCGCAAGAAGATCAGTGAGAAGTTCAAGCGCGCGCGAGACGACATCACGAAGCCGTACCCTCCTACGCCAGTATGGGAAGATATCACTCAGTCCAACAATTTCCACCCGAAGCAAGCGTCGACAAGTTTCTACTTCAACGACGATACTCCCTCCGAGGGTGACACTCCTACTTTAGCAGACCTGAAGCTCCGGAAGAACCGCGCAGCCAAGGCCGAGGCGAAAGAAGCTCGCAAGCAGAAGAAGCGCGAAGCACGGGAGAAAGCTGCCGCCGCCGCCGCCGTCGCAGCCTCAGCCAACAACAACGCCGCCAATGTCAACGCCGCCGCGAACAGCAGTTCCCCCGGTGCCCCAGGTATTTCACCCACCTCCCAACCGTCAGAGAAAGGATGCCGGCTAACACACTGCTGGCGAAGGGGCCTCTGTTATTGCAGGTCGCCTGGGGGCGCTGGCGCACTCCAGCCAGCGGATTGGTTGATGAGAATGGCCTGAGGGACGACGACACCTGCAGGGGCGGAAACGTTTTGACGACGTCAGATGATGGGATGGTTTATGGGAGACGAGAAATGGCTTACGACTGATGACAATTGCTTTGGACTTTTGGTACGGGATTCGGGACTCCGCCCGTCGTGTGGTTTGTGGTCTCTTGATGGATACAGCCTCGAATAGTAGCGGCGACTACGGGAATTGGGTTTCACGAGAGATGATAACGAGCTTGGACGAGATACTTGGTTAGATTATGAATGATACGATTTCCCGCTCTAATCTTCTCATCCACATTCATGAAGTGACTCAAATAAACACCAACACCGTCGCAACCATCACCACCAACATCGTCCAACCAGCCCCGATCGACCCAGCAGCATTCTCATCCTCGCCACCACTCGATTCACCATCACCACTTCCACCTCCATCATTACCTCCTCCAGAACCACCGCCACTACCACCTTGCACCACATCTCCCGGCCCGGCAGCCCACCCGAACCCCGAAACAACCTCCTCCGAAAACCCCGGCGCCTCCTCCCCCATCCCGCCGCCCTCACCCCCGGCCGTCGACCCCTCAACGCACCTCCCGCCCCTCCACTTCACCCCCGCCACAGCCTCCCACAACCTCCTCAGATCCGTCACCGTCTCCCACGTGTAGAACAACTTGCAATTTGCCGCCTCGTACCGGAACTGCACCGGCGCGCCCTCCAGATCGTCGTCGAGGTACACGTTGGCCGAGTTCACGACCCACGAACTCGTCGGCGGGCCCGCGAGAGGCGGCACGTCGTCGGCGAACGGCGTCACGTCCACGTCCCCCGGCGGCGGCCGCGCCAAGGCGCCCAGGACCGGGTACACGCTCTGGTACGGCCCCAGCGCGATCACCGGCCCGCCCTTGGTCCCGCCCACGGCCTGCATCGGAGCGGGGAGGGGACGCCCGCCCATCGCGACCGCCTGCACGCCCAGCTCCCGCGTCATCATGCCTACCACCCACGCGCACGCCGAGGCGCAGTGCCCGTCCGTCACGATGACCGTGTCTTCGGGCTCGAACCAGGGCCGGGGGAGGTCGAAGCCGCCGGGGGCGACCTCCAGCGGCTGCACGACGTTGGTGAACTCCTGCCCCTCGTCTCCCAGCTTTCTCGGCCCGTAAAAGTCCGCCCAGCTCGTCAGGTTCCGGAGGTCCTCGTCCACGAACCCGTTGAAGCCGACGGGGTACGGCAGCACCGACAGGTCCGCGCCCAGCCCCTCGGCCGTCGAGCCGACCCAGTCGAGCAGCGGGTGCGCGCGGAGCCGCAGGTTCATGTGCATCGTACCCTCCGCGGCGGCGGCCCGCGGGAACAGCGCGGCGTAGAGCCGCACGGCGTTCGCGACCAGCCCGCCGCCGTTGCCCTGGAGGTCGATCACGAGCCGGGTCTTCCCCCTCCGCCTGCACGCCTCGACGAACTGCGTGGTCACGCGGAGGAACTCGACGGGGTCGTAGTTGACGAAGAGCGCGGACGACGCCGTGCGCGTCTGGTTCTGCGAGACGAAGCTGTTCACCGCCAACACGGCCGTATCCCCCAGCGCCGCGTCCTCGTCGTCGTCGAACAAGTACCCGCTGAGATACCGGTCCCGATGAACAACAAACGGCTCCGGGTACCCCTCGAGCGCGGGCGCGAAGGGGGTCTGGGTCGCGTTGACGGGCACCTCGGCCTCGCCGTCCGGGCCGGGGACCTCGAAGCGCGCGTGGACGTCGTCGCCGGAGGCGATGCCGGAGAAGTTGGCAACCACAAAGGCGGAGTTCGAGACGGTCTTCTTCGTGCCGTTGGCGAACTCGAGGACGCTGGCGTCCGGGAGCGTGGTGTGCGTGTAGAGCCCCGCGCCGGGGAGCTCGCCGACGTTCTTGAGGGCGGCGGTGTAGAGCTGCTCGTTATAGGCGGCGTCCGGGTCCTGGTCGCGCGAGTTGTCGACGGAGCGCTGCTGGAGGTGGTCTGTGATGTTGGCCTCGTCGAAGCGGGTGACTTCGGAGGGGGCGTAGCCCTGCTCGACGCTGCGGAGGTAGTCGGCTGGTGGAAGAAAAGCGCGTGTTAGTCCGCCGACGACTTCACCAGCTGGTGTATCTCTCTCAAGCGTATGTCAACTCACAGTAAAGATAGACCTTGGGCATCTTCACCCCATCCTCCGAAATCGAGATGAACGTCTCGGGCGTCCTGAACTGAATCAAACTGCCCAGACGCGGAACGTACGCCAGGTGCCCCTCGCGCGGCTTGACGTTGATGAGCCGGTACAGGTCCACCGCGAAGTCCATTTGCGCCTCGTACTCCCCGGTCTCGAGCCCTCGCGTGATATTATCGAGCCCGCCGAAGATGTCCACCCCGGGATACAGGTACCCCTCCGGCGGCGAGGGCAGGATGCCGATGGTGCTCTGGAACTCGAGCCACGGGCGCAGGTACTTGAGCAGCGCGACGTCCCGCTCGACGTCTACCGGGACGGAGCGCAAGCACTCGTAGGCCAGTGATGGCTTCACCTCGGCTTTGTCACGATCGTCAGATCATTTACTCTCGAACTCTTGGGAGGTAATATTCGCGGACTTACCAATCGAATCGTTCGCCTGAGCCAGGTCATATGCCGTCGCGATCTCCGCACACGCGTCGCTCCTCGCCGTTTGTCGTCGCACGGGGTTCGGGGCCGCGACGGCAAGGCCCGCCGCGAGGGGCAGAATCCGCGTCAAGGCCGACGCAAGGTGTACCATCTCGACGCCTTATCTCGCGAGTTACCGACCGTGTCATTCGATGTTCGCGAACCTACTCGCGCCGATTGATGTCTTCCCTCCCCCCTAGGAGACGGAATGGGCGGTCGGCATCCTTTTTATCGGTTTGCCCAATACGACCTCCTATGCGGCCCGCTGCATCCTTCTGTGGTCCCGGAAGCCACAAAGTCGCCCGGAAGGGCTGGGCAAACTGTTGGCGCCGCTTGGCGAGCATGGGTTGTTCGTTGGTTGGTGAGTCGTTGTCTTTCTTGATGGCGTAAGGAAGAAGAGGGAAAAAGAAAAAAGGGAACAGAATGTTCCTCGTTTCCATGTTGGCAACGATGCTCATGGTCCTCCATATAAGAAAACAAAAAACAATGAAGTCTCTTTATGCTTACATACCAAAAAAGAATCCTACAAACTCCTGCTCAACTCCCCTTGTGATGCATTACTAACCCAATAGCCCATCCCATGCCTGCTCAAAAATCAACGTGCATCATGGCCGATGTCCTCGACTTGGGTCGCAGAGTGTCAATGATTGACGTCCTGCGAGATGAGAACCGGCGCGGCCTCACACCAACAGGCAGCAGCGGCTCCACGTTGTCAAAGACTGGGGGGAGCTGCTGAACCTGCGAGTGTGCCTGTGACTGTGACTGCGACTGACGACGCTTCTCCTTTGCTTCCAACCAGCGTTTTTTGACCCCGGAGCTCTAATCCCATGAGACAAGGTCCTTCTGCTTTCCGCTCTCGTCCAGCTCAACCACCACAGCCGCAAACTCGCCGCGCTCATCCTCAGCCTCAAGATCAGTCAACTCCATGTCCACCTCCTCGCCATCCTCAAGCATAATCTTGCCCTTGCGCATGTAGTCGCTCCTGATGTCCCAGCCGAACTTCCACACCCAGGCTTCGAGGTCCGAGAAGGCCTGTCCAACAGCAGCTTGCTCGGGGGTTGCGAGCGAATTGAGAGCCAGGAGCATCTCATTAAGACGGCGCTTGTAGACGATGAGAGCCATCCTCAGATCGCGGGCGTATGACGGGCCGTAGTCGAGAACGGAGCCATCGAGGTACCGCTCATTGTAGACGAGCTGGGCGGTGATGGTCTGCAGGAGCGAGCGCGCGAGCTCAGGGCGCTTGAGAGGCAGTGTGTAGGCCTTGAGCACGACAGAGACCAGCATGTGCCACCACTGCTGAATACAAGCCTCGTTGCCGAGGTGCATGCCGACGAGGAAGGAAAACTGGAGCTCGCCGACAACGTCTTCATCACTGATGCCCGCCGACAGGAGATGGGCAGTCGCATCGTTTGCCTGCTCCGTCCGCACGGAACCGATACTTTCTACGTCGTACGTTTTGGCAACTTGACTGAAGGTAAAGTTGAGCTCGGTGCTCGCGACCACGTTGGGGACCCTCTTCTCAAGCTCGACCTCGGCGGGGAGCATCAGTGCGCCCTTGACGCGGTCAGAGGTGTGCACCGCCCAGTCGCCTGCCTGGCGCGACGTGATTCTGCTGAGCAGGTTGACGGTGATGGAGTTGGTGAGCTGGTGCCAGATGTTGGTGCTCTTTGCGAACTCGGGGTCCGGGCTGGGCGACTGTGAGATGGCGGGCTTGACATTTGCGTTGAGGGCGCGGAATTGGTAGGGCGCCAGCTTGGGGTAGATGTCGCGGATGTTATCCTTCTGGAAGCGAGCCTCGACCTGGCTGGCGGGTTCGCCGATGACCTCGTTGAACTTGTCCCACTGCATGACGTGGATCTTCTCTGTTGCGGAGCTGATGATCCAGAAGCCGCAGCGGGTGGTGCTGGCCTCCGTCTCCGAGACCCAGAAGAAGTGAGGGCCGGGCGGGATGTCTCTGACGCCGAGGAACTCACGGGCGGTGAAGGAGACGGAGTCGTAACCGACGGTGAAGTGCGCGGGCAGGTCCATGATAAGGACGATGTCGCCGCCGCCGAGGGAGTGCTCATGCTGGGTTGGGGATTGGTGGTCGCGCTGAATGTCGGTGACGGGATCATCCTCGATGGGCGCCAGAGGAGGCGGCTCATCGTCGTCGGGGGCGCCGTTGGGGTTCATGGCGGCGACCTCTTGCGACAGCGGCGAGTCGAGTGGTTGGTGAACGTGCAGGCTGCCGAGTGGATGGGTGCCGGTGATGCGGATGGATTTGACTGATGCAGCGGTGGTGGAGACGGAGGAGTCGGACCTGGGCAGGGCCGAATTTTTGAAAAAGGCCGGCCGGACGTTGGAGTCGATGGAGACGCCCGAAGTCATTTTTGGAGACGCTGGGAAAGGTCCCGCCACCGTCCGAATGGGATAATGTGAAGGCGGGGGGGGGGAAATACCGGATGAATTGCTGAGTGGTTGCCAATTAAGCCTGTTGGGTATGATTTGATTCGAAGCAGAATGCCGCAGAGCGATGCTGGTGAATACTCTGATGGGGTAGCAGGGGGAAAAGAAGTTGAGGGCGCGTGATGATTCTGAGAAGATGCTGCGCGCGCAAAAGAAGCGAGAGAAGGGAGAGCGAGCGACGAGGGAAAAAAAGAAGAAGGAAAAGAAAACAAAAGCAAGTTCTTTCTGCCTGTCGTTTGGGAGCAGCGCAGGGCGGGCGAGTGCAATGTTTTTTTTTTCTCTTTGGTGAAAATTCGACGTAGGGGTAGAGGTAGTTGCAGCTATGGCAGAAGAGGAACTCGAGGAACTAGGTGTATGGCAATTTGCAACGGTGCAAGAAAACGGTAGGAGCGGACGAAGTGCAAGCGAAGAAACTGTCGAGGACGAGATCACGACGACGAAACAATAAACGACGGGAGTTATTTGGGGTATACGGGGAAAAAATGGTTCTCCCCCGGAAAGGCAGAAGGAGCAAGAAGAAGATCGTGGAATGCGACCCTGCAGCGGAGGCAACCAAGATTTATTCCAGTCTGGCAGTCACGTCGGCGTCTACGTCCTACAAGTACGCGGAAGGCACGGCAGGCAAGGAGGGAGAGGGGGAGCTCTCCTTCCCACAAGACGGACGGCGGGCAATTTCCCAAGAGGACCAGCGCCTTCCTTCGTTCCAGACCTCCCTCGTTTCTGTTCGAGACACTGGACACACTGGACACGCGCACTCCGGAAGGAAAGGCACAGAAGGTGAAGGTGCGTCTGGGCCGTCTACTGTTCCAGGTTTGACGTCGCTGGACTGCAGACTACGTCATGGGTAACGTGCTGGTGAGATTGCGCCTTTAGGTGGTGGTGGTGGTGGTCGGGGAGCCTGCAGCTGTGGAATTAGTGCGGTGGTCAGCGATGGCGACGGCGATAAGCGAGGCTCAGCATCGCGAACGCATGTCATCCATGGATGTCGGTGGACAGAACAGCAACTCAACCAACCGACAATCCACACGGCTATCATGTCCCGATCGCAATTCTTTGTGACTATAGTATGAATAATAAATCAGACAACTAAAAGTAAGTTCCCGAAAAGCTACCTGGCTATAATCCCCATCTCATCTCAACGCCAGAGTTGTCAACTCAAGCCACCCGACTCTGAAAGCACCAATTAACCATTACTATGGTAACTAGGTAACTTAGGTAGGTTCAATCAACTGCTTTTCCCACCTTTCTATGTGACCCAGGTGCCTCCAAAAACCCACAATCCCCCTCACCACAAACCCAGCCCAGCGTCACCTTGGGGGCCAAAAACTAAAAAAATCACCCGCGAACACCGTCAAGGTACGTGACTAAGTATCCCTCCCAGTAAAGCATTTTTTAAAGTCCCAGCAATATTAAAGTCGACGCTAACACAAACCCATCGACACCGCGGGAATCCATCCATCTACCTTAATTCTCCAGACGAGGGTAACGACCAAAAAAAAAAAGTAAACAGAAACGCCAGACCCATCCCGTCGGGTTTTCAGCCCTCCGCAATCCACCTACAACCCCGCCCGCCGCCCCGGAGCCCATCATCACACCTTACCTTAGCTTCCGTCTTTTTTGGTTCGGCCCCCAATACCACTGCCACTGCCACTGCCGCCGTGCCCGTACTTAACAGTCAAAATCAACAGCGTGATATGCGCCAAAACACAAACTTTCGAATTACTGCAAGAGGAAATTCTAGAAAATATAAAGATTCCCGAGCACGCGGTCGCACTAAAAATCTCTTAAACCAGGCCATCGGAAACCTCCCTTCTCAACTTGTACAAAGTACACAGCGTAGCAATCGCAACACGAGTAACACCCAACCCATCAAAAAAATAGAGAAAAATCACGAGGCAGACCGACCGACCGACCGACCGGCCGTAACCTTACACCACGGAATCAAAAAAAGAAGGTCAGGCGCTTGACATACGGGACACCAACACACAAGTGTCACTCCAGGCTCGGCTCGGGTGCATCACCAACTCAAGAACACTGGACACACAACCTTCTTCCAACCGCCGCCGCTTACACAACAAATCCCCTCCCGGCCCCCTTGAACCCAAAAAGACTTTTCCGAACATTCCAACTCTAAAACTAAACATTTCCTTCCCCCTCATTCAATGCAGCAAGCACCCGCACGCTTAAATGCACCGTTCCCCTGGGTAGGTAACCAACACACACACACCGCAGCTGCAGAAACTCTCTCCGCGCGGAGGGATGGGCCGGGGAGAAAAGGTGGAAAGTGTATTCCATATGGCTCATATAACCCCCTACCATCAAACTTCGTGAACTTCTCACAGACCACAAGTAAAAGGCGACAGGCCAAGGACACAGAAAAAAAAAACATGCATCGTAAAATACAACCAACACCACACCACACCACGCTACAACACTGCACAAACCCGTCTTTGTACGACCTGGCCTCACCTCGAATACCCGCCGCTAACTAATCCACCCTGCCGCTTGCTCCCTTGTCACCCCATCCATCCTTCCCACCTCCATCCCGTAGCGTCAGTTACACAAAGATCTCTCCATCTCCTTCTTCTCCCCGAGCCGAGACGAGGAGAGGCGAGGCGCGCTAACAACCATCAAACAAGCACATGTTGTTGGTCGAGAAACCCTTGTCCTTTCCCCTTTATGCACGTAAGAAAACGAACCACGCGCGCCCAAAAAGGTCTAAACTCGCAAAGGGAATGGTGTCACCACAAAAAAAAGCCTAGCCTACACCACCACCACCATCACAGTGTTTCTCCATATCCATGCCTTTCCTGCGTCATACCACGGCACACACAAAAAAGCATCCAATACCCCGGCCCCCGCCGAATTCTTCAGCGGCCTTCAGCCTCAGCCTTACTCGGCTTCCTTCCACACTGTGTTCGTCCCTAACCGACGACCGCTGGATGGTCTAGCTCGCATCGAAGCCCTTCTCGCCGACCAGATATGCGGGTCGTGCCATCGCGGGGCGATCCCATGTTCGGTCTCACGGCTGCAGGTCTTATTGAACCGTTTGTCTTGCTCGTTGCCAAAAGTGGTCTTTTTGCATTTCCCTTTTCCGCAACTACCATGAAAACAATCTCAACTACCGAAATGCATTCGACGACGCCCTTGAAGTCCGTCCGTGTATGTAGGTATCTCGATCACTCAAAGCATCCGTCCTTTCCAATCCTATGATTTCACTCTCTGCAGTCCGTACTTTCCGAGGGTTCGTCATCACCGTCCGAGGAGAGCACATCTCCCTTCAACGGGCCAGAGTCTGGAACTGGGAAGGGAAGAGAGTCGTCCGCGAATAGTGGGATCCGTTCCTGACTCCGGGGAGATGCTGTTCAGACACCTCCCATATCCGCTCCGTTTGCCTCGCATAACCATATTGTTGCGGCGGTCGTCTTGACAAACTCGAGAAGATTCGTGACTTGTCGACCACCCGAAGCAAACCTCCACCGGTTTCGTCAAATCGTGACCGCTCCCCAACCCGACCTCGTGAATGCAGAAACCACACCAGTCCAAAAAAAAAAGCCATTGCCCAATGCGTCATCTTATGTGTAGAAAGAAAACCGACCAAGACATCTGCATCAGACGCGATGCGAACGTAAAGAAGAGGGCCCAGACGCGAACCGACTGGGTCGATGAGAAAGGTTGCAAAACACCATGCTGTGTGAACGTGTAGACATTCCGAAGCCAGAGGGCGGATATCGCTTCGTAAACCAGAATTTTTGCCGCGCGTCTAATAGCCGAAGAAGAGGAAAGTCGTAGTATAGACAAATGCAGAGCGGCCGTCGTCGTTTGGAAGGGAACCCGGTAATGTACAAGCCCTTTCCCCATTCTATGATTATGGTTGGGTCCTTTCCGATGGCAACCCCGCGTCAATCAGCTTGCCTCAATGGCTAGTTGTCTGACCGCCGTTATCTGCCAATGGAGTCAGTCTCCCATGCTCGTCGAATGCAGGGTTGCAAACTAACGTGAGCTGTACATGCTCTGGTTGGGCTGGCCGTAGGGTGACTGAGGCTGGTAGTTTGCTGAGTACATGTGCGAGCTGCTGTACTCCGGTAGAGGCTGCTGGGCCACGGCTCCAGCAGACGGAGGGGCCGGGTACTGCGAGGGTTGATAGCCGATGGGCGGCAACTGAACTTGGCGACTGGTGCCGTACGCCGAGGCCGACGACGTTCCATCAGCCGCAGACTGAGGGTCTGCGGAGCCATTCTGAGCGGCGGCGGCGGCGGCGGCAGCAGCCTGACGCTGTCGCTCCTCCTCGGCCTTGCGCTGCGATTCCTCCTCCTTCTTGCGCTGCTTCCATTCCTTGCGGATTTCCTTGAATTCTGTGCGAGCGGGTTAGTCTCAGACTGCCGAAGGGAGTTGACGCGAGGATAGCAGTGGGCTGGCTCGAGGCGCGTTCGGGATAATGCCTCAAGATCGCGCTCGAATAGCCAAAGCAACCAACCGCGTCAGACGCGTTTCCGACACGTACCTTCAGGGGTTCTCTTCTGCCCGTGAGACTGCATTGTGACGTGCGCATTGAGGTGGTTGAGCGTTCCGTAGGCCTTCTCGCAGCCATTCCACCCGCACTTGTACATGCGCTCTATCTCCTCGTATCTTCGGCGGGGTCGCTTGTGCTGCTGGGCACCGGGGATCGGAACGAAAGAGTAAACCTGATGTCCAAACTGTTACGTCAGTACACTGAATCTCCGAATTGCTCAAAACAAAGACACGCATGCCGGTCCAAGGCCCGCGTTCATGGCATGCCCTCCCAGATCTTCCCCCTCAGTTCGATTGTTGCCGAATCCTCGCCGGTCCAAGTTCGCAGCAAAGCCTACCACGACCGACCAAACCAACGCGCGGGCACACTTCGACATCGACATAATTCGCAGCTCGACTTACCTGGTTGGGACGTCCCTGAGGAGGGGCGGAGCTCGGCGTCGGGGGGAAAACGTGACTGGCGGGTGTCAAGGGACCGGCGCTGTGTTGACCGTAGCCGGCCCAGTCGGGGCGGGGCTGATAGGCATGCTGGTACGAGTGCGACATGTCCCCCGGCGGGGGGCCGTAGGGAGAGTGCTGTCCGTACGCGTAGGTAGGACTCGGCGCCGCTATCGACGGATCTATGGGTACATCGTGGTCAGACTTGGCCAGAGGGACCTGATGGTGACGGCCATCTTGCTGGGGCAAAGACGGACTGCTTGCTTGTTGCGCCATGCCTCCGCTGCTACCGTTGTGGTTGCTAGCTGGATGATATGATCGCTGAATGTGTTCAGGGAAGGATCCTGACCGCGCAGAAGGCGGGTAGACGCTGTACTCGGAGGTGGGAGTGGCCGAGGTAGAATAGGTAGTGGGGCGGACCTCCTGCTGGGTCGGGTATTGCGCAGCAGATGCGTGATCTGCAGAAGAACCTTCAGAACGGGTGTCGCCGCAGTTGCTTGGGTAAGGCGAAGGCAAACCTGACTGCGAGTACTCGGTAGCACTGCGTTCCATAGAGGTGCTGAGGGAGGATAGAAGCGAGCTGATGGCAGCGGCTTCCGGACGAGAACCTCCAAGCTGGGGCGAGCCTGAAGAGAGCAGTGAAGCTTGGTTGTCAACGAAGTGATGTTGCGTTGGAACCAAGAACATGCTACAGTTCAGTGGAACGTCTTGGTCGCGAAGAGTGGCCGGAGAGTCCTTAGTTCTCGAGCCAATGGCAGGTTCGCAGGTTCGTGGTGGCAGGCCGTCTTGTTCCTTTTTCGTTCGTCTTCGTTGTCCAAGTCCAGGAGCGGTTGTGGGTGAAGTGATCCAGGGCGCGACGGGTCCTCAAGTAGCGGCGGTTGGCTTGTACTTGAAGAATGGAAAGAAGGGTGATGGAAGAATGGTGACAGACGAATGATACCGGAGTGAAGTGAGACTTGAGGCGGCGCGGCGATGGTGTATAAAGATGGTAGCGCGGACCACCCAAGGGCTCGGGTTTATGGTTAAATGGGGATGTGATGACAACAAAGTCGACTAGCCACGGCCCTGAGCGAGGATCTCTCAAAGTGGCAAGGATAGCGTTGTCTTTGCCAGATCACGGAAAGGACGCCTCTTTTTTTTTTTTTCTCTCTCTCCTCTCAGTCTCTCTTTCCCGGCTGAGAAGAGGTTGAAAGTATTGCCTGGGGAGAGCGACACTAAAATAGTGCGCTAACTCAGGTAAAAAAGATGGGCTGGGCTCTCCGCTTGAGTTCAGGCCGAGTGGTCTCTAGCGTCTGGATCGGAGATAGAACAGGGGGTGGGTGAGGGTGAGGGCCCACGGACTGGGTGTGATGGTATGGAACCCGGGACCAGAAGCGGCGAACAGTGCCGTAGGTACACACTCAGCGAGGAGTCGCTGTAGAAGCAGGTCGAGGTAGGGAGGACAATGGTTGTTGAGTGGGGAGCGAGAGATGACCGGATGAGATGTCGAAGTGTTCCTCTTTGCGTATAGCGCAGGGTGTGTGCTGTCTTTGACGGGATTGGTGTCTGTCTGGATTTGGCCTGGTTTCGGCTGGGACCTGACTTGGAGGTGTACGTCGTGAAGTCGACGAAGTATGGGAGTTCCGAGAAAGCGACTGACTCTTGTCTGATCTGGCTTGCGCATGCAAGATGCAGGTGCAGTAGAGGAGACGAAGCGGCGGCAGCAGTAGCAGCAGAAGAGGAAGAAGCGAGGTTGAGGTGAAGGCGGGTTTGATTTGTTGCGCGTGAGGATCGAAGCCGGGTGCGAGAGTGACGGGAGCTTGTGTGATTTGCAGACGATCAGAGCACAGCACAGCACAGCACAGCTCAGCAAGGCACCTCGGGTAGCGTGGCGTGGGTAGGCTGGGAAGTGAGGGCGAGGCAGCTGGAGCTGGGTTGGTGGGCTGCTTGGTGCTGGCGGGTGCGGGTGCGGTAGGGGGTGAGCGGAGGCCCTTGGCTCTGGTGCTGATGGTGGGTTGGGGTGGCCGAATTTGGTGGTGATTGTTGTGTGTGTCGGGTCGGTTGGTGGAGGGTGGGAAACTCCTTCTTCCTTTGCCGACAGTTTACTCGAGTCGAGGTCGAGTCGCGTTGACGACCGTACGTGACGTGACGATGTAGCGATTTTTTGGCGCAGCCGGGGGGACGTCAGGTAGCAGGAAGGCAGGTGAACTAAGGTAGACACGACAGAAGCACGACGTCTGGTCTGGTCTGTCTGTACGTTGGCTACCTAGGTAAGGTAGCGCGTGCCGTAGGAGCAGTAGCAGGTATGAGCGTGCGTTGTGCGCGTGCGTAGAATAGTGCGAACTCCCCCACCGTTAGTGCTAAGGTGAAAGCGAGGTAGTGTCGTGGTAGCGCTGGCGGCGTGTAGGAGGCAGGCCGTAGACGCAACAAGGCGGGTATTCGCAAAGGATGGGATTTGTTGCAGTGCGCTGCGCGTCCAGGTAGAAAGGCGAAAAGCGCGTGGATGCCGATGCCGATGTGGAAAGGTGGATGTTGTGGATGCGGACGTGCGGACGGGAAGGAGAGAAAGCTATCTCTTCTCTAACTCCCGCTCTCCGGATGTCAAGGCAAGGCGAGGCAAGGCGCAAAGCAAGGTGAGATCAAGCAAAGACGGGACTCGAACTTGACACTTGCAAGGCAAAGGAAGGGGGAAGGGGAAGGGGGAAGGGGAAGGGGGAAGCTAAGGGAAGGCGAAGTTGGAGGGGGTGGAAGGGGGTAAACCCAATGAAGGATATGACGAGGGGGGGAGAGAGGTTTCGATCTTAGCGCCGTTCCCGGGAGAAAGACGAATTAATACTCCAGCCTGCAAAGGGGATGGTCTGGGTTGGAAAGGAAAGAATTAAAAAAAAAAAATGTAGATGGGAAAAACGGGGGTTGAGAGGTAATATTGGAGGTCGCCTGGTCCTTGGGTCAGGGTTGGGCCACGGCGGCTTCGGGTGGAGACGCGCAACGACGACGACGACGACAGCAGCTGGGGTGGTGGAGGGAGGATGGCACTGGATATGTGATGAGGGGGGCATGTATGAGAATTTACCGACAGGAAGAGACACACGAAGAAAAAACACGATTGAAAGTGGTGATGGAGGTAGGCAGGCACGGTAGGTAGCAAGGGATAGAAACAGAAGCTTCCCTTCGTAGTAGATGGGAATCGGACGACGAGAGAATGAGGAGCTTGATGGCAATGCCTCATTTAGGTAATTATCCAACCTACAGAGTACCTTATCCAATGTTTAATTCATTGTCAAATGCGCGTCTACCGCTATCTACTGCTTCTTTTCTTCCCAGAGCAATGAGCACGACTTGGGAAGAAGGGACTGCCTTTCCAACAGACAGACGGGACGGGTTCAAGATATCCTGCTCTTGGCGCATGTATTTACCCAGGCACCTTGCTTCATATTTTAGTTTCGCTGCTATTTGCTCCATCTTCCTCCATACGAGCCGGTGCCTGGCCTATCCGAATCATGGGCTTCGATATCATTAAGCATGGCATATTTCAGCTCCTCGTCCTCGTCCTCGTCCTCCTTCGAAGCCTGAAGTGACCTGACCTGACCTGAAAGGTGACGAGGACATTTCATTGTGAGATAAAAAGACTCAGAATACCAAAACCTGAGGCAGCAGGTACCTACCTTACGGATGAAAGCATTTAGGTACGTACTGCATTCCAAGTCGTAAAGGTTTTTGGGCGGCATGCAGCCAGGCGGCCTGTACGAATATCCAGCAGCTCTGTGCGAGTCTGCGACAAGGCAGCGCTGCGGGATCCTCGCAACTGCCTGCTGGCTGGGCTTGCGCTTGCCAGGGGTGTGTGTTTTGTGGCTCAGGGAATGCACCGGGAAGGCTGTAAAAGTACGTACCCAAGTACTTTTTTTTTTTAATCTGCATGGGAGTTCCTTCCATGCTCTTCTGTGATATCCGTAAGGTATGCCTTTCTTACCTGCCGTAAGCACCAGCAACAGCAACCAGCGAGTGGCTGGTAGACACCTCGCTGGCAGGTGGCAGGTGGCAGGTGGCAGGTGGCCCTGGGCTCTCTTTGATGCCTCCCGATCTGTGCGCTTTGTATGCAGTTTGACACTGCGCGAAAAGCCACTGCAGAAACACACCATCGGTGACGACTGAGGTACCTAGCAATCATGATGAAAGTGATGATGCGACCAAGGGACCACCAAAGTCTTTCTGCTTGGCGAACGCCGGCCGCTCGATGCCGGAGCTAGCCAAAAGTGCGCCGTGGCTGAGGATGGCTTGACGATAACGACCACCAATATCGAACCAATGTATCAAACTCAGTCAAAGTCTTTGATTGTCCTTGTTCTGTGACTCTGGCCTGCCTCTCTTTTCTCCTGCCTATCGCTTCCTCGTCCTCATCCTTTCCAATCCACGCCCGAGCTGGACCTGGACCGATTAGATTGGATGAAATGAGCTGTATCAATGGACGAATTAATCAAACGACCCATCAAGAGCCCAGAACTGCGTCAAGGTCCTCCTTCGTCGCCCTCATCGTTTTGCTCAGATGAACAAATTGGGTGCCCATTCGCGTGTCAGATTTATTCTTCTCCGATGGACTCTCGCACTCTGCCGCTCCCAAAGCTGCTGTGTCTTGTCTCTGATTTCTGCCCGATCTGTTTTGTTTTTCTTCCTTGACGCTGCTTACACGTCGACTTTCCGGGATCCTCGTAGATGCTGGGAAATTTGCTATGCTCCGTCCCGCGTTTGTAATGCGTGTCGGCCACACAAGAGAAGAGAATAAGACTCCGATATCATAATGCCATTACTCACCTCGAATCAGCGAACGGCAAGACATGACGAGGGGCGTGTCCGGTAAGAGGGGCGTAAGGCGTACGATCCATGTGTTTCTTGACTCTCACGACCACTTCAGTCTTGTCCAATGACCCGTTCTCGGAATCGTCAAGTCGACTGTGAGTCGCCAAGTCTGAACAATGAGAAGCCGGAGTCAGGTGCCTCAGCAGCAGAGAGAAACAAATCGCGACACGGGTCTCTCCTTATTCCCGATGGATGTTGCCCGACGTCGGCGGGCGCCGAAGGCACGGGAATTGCAGAAGCTTCTTTTTTTTTTCTGTGTCCCCCTCCCCGTCGCCCCTCCGCCTTTGGGCCTGGAGATCGGGATCCGTGACGCTGTAGGGACCGCCCGCTGCCGGATCCGCCGACTTGACTCGTGGGCAAGGTACAAGACCAAACAAAGAGCCGATTACGTGCAATGTTTGGGCCCTCAGGACTAATCTCCGTGCCTAGTGTACTGTAGGTGATCGATGATGTTTCCAGGATTCCATTGACGCTGGATTGGATCGATGACTGTACGTGCGTGACTGGCCGGCTGTGGTGGATTGCTGGTATTTGGATTTCCCATTTCAATCGAGGAATGATAGGTGAGGCCGCCCCTCCACTTCGTTCCCCTCTACCCCTCCTCATCCCAAGACCAGGAGAGGTGAATGGATTATTCCTCGAGGCCGAGGATGAGTGGCAGATCCGGGCTGATCCTGGACTTGCTGTGATTCCAGCACAATTGTGATGGCCAGGTAGCGCAGGTGAGCGAGCAAAAGCCGCGCAGCGGGCCGTACAATGTACCTTGGTGGAGCAGCGAAGCAGAGGCAGCAGAGCTGCTTAGAAACCGAGGGCAGGGACCCATGACGATATCCCTGTTCCTTGCGGCACAACCT